CAGATGCCCTTAAATCGAACAAGTCTGAAATATCTTTAATCAAAAGATTCAGGATCAATAAACCCACTAATATAATCGAACACAGTCACATGGGATGGGCAATATTGAACGAAACGTAAACTAATTTAGCGTATAATTTGCTGACGCGTAATGAAAACAGAACTGAAGAACCTAAATAAGTACCTAATGAAGTAAATAAAACGCGAAGAACAAAAGCATGGCGGTCTTCAAATCCAATATCATACACAACGTAAACGATTTGATAAAGGTGAGCTTCCAGCGACTGCGAGAGATAGCTTCGATTCTTATTAATGTTTGCCCCAAACTTTAATCGTTTTGGAGGATTAAAAGTACATGTAGTTCAACTATAAATTACTGATTTTTGAATTAGTATAAGTTTTAAATAGATTTTACGAGGGTCAAACTGAAAGTTCTTAGAAAATCAAAAACTGATTACATTAGCCAGTTATTAGTTTTATTATATCTTTTCAAAATATTGTCCATTCACGTCAATACACCGCTGCATGCGATGGAACCACTGGGAAAAGCACTTTGCCCACTCGTCCTTAGGGGTCTCTTCAATGGCATCGCGATACGCAGCCACCGCTTCTTCAGCATTCATAAACCGCTTTCCTTTAAGTTTTTCTTTAATTTTTGGAAATAAATAAAAATCACAAGGCGCAAGGTCGGGGCTATACGGCGGGTGACCCAGTAATTCAACGTTTGATGTCGCCAAATAGTCGATCGTTCGCTTGGCGGTGTGCGACGAGGCGTTGTCGTGGTGAAGGAGGATCCTACTGCGAGGTCGTTTCTCTCGAACTTTTTCCAAGACAAGTGGCAAACAATTGGTAGTGTACCATTCTGCAGAAACTGTTTTTTGATCCTCTAACACAATTGTTGCAAAATGACCTATCCTTCCAAAGAACGAGGCCACCATTTTTTTTCCCGCACTTCGATCTCTCTTCACTTTAGTTGGCAACTCCTCGAAAGGAAACACCCACTGAGCAGATTGTCTTTTGGTTTTAGGATCATAACAGTAAATCCAGCTTTCGTCACCTGTTAGTATGTCGAACACAGCATTTGAGTCACCTCCGTTAAATCTTTCAATCATTTTACGACACCAATCCACACGATGGAGTTTTTGAGCCTCAGTCAAATTATGAGGTATCCACCGGGCGCAAAGCTTCCTGACCGCTAAATGTTCGTGGAGGATTTTGTGCACTTGACTCATACCGATGCCTAAGCTTGTCCGAATCTGTTGATAGGTCACTCTTTTGTCAGTCTCTATCATACGCCGCACAACACAGATGTTATCTTCAGTCGTCGCCGTAGAAGGCCGTCCCTCACGTAAATCATCAGTGAGATTAGTGCGACCACGTTTAAACTCATTAAACCAGTTGTAAACAGTCGCACGAGATGGGGCTTCATCGTGAAAGGCCAATCGTAGTCTATCATAACTTTCTTGTTGACTTAAATGACATCGAAAGTCATAAAAAATCATTGCACGAAAATTTTCTCGTGTTAAATTCATGATGACGTGACACAGACAATTTTCAATTTGCCGCCAAATCGTAAAACAAATGACAAATGAATGAAATATATACTCAGTAATATTGGCAAAGAGTTATATTTTCAAATTTTAGAATTATTTTTTTATTATATTGTTTATAAGTGGCCAGTTCTAAGAACTTTCAGTTTGACCCTCGTAATTAGCAGCACTTTAAGAAAACAATAATCAAAATGATACACAATCAAATACACAATAATCAAAATGATACACAATAATCAAAATGATACAAAATCAAAATGAATGTTGAATGTGATTATTTTTTCACATTCAACATTCATTTCGCTCGGTCAACTTTTCTGTTTTTGGAAATCGAGTGGGGTAGATTTTTTTTGCCTTAGAAGGGAACTGCGAAAGGAACGGAACTAAGAAGGGAACCTATTATTATACTTTGCGTCAAATCTATAACTGTTCCTTTTAAATATCAAATTATTATTTTTTTTCAAGAGAAATATATGAAAAATGTCTTAAAACAACATTTAAGGTAGGTAGGACTCGTTTAGAAACAGATCTAACCTTTTAAATGTCACCCAAACCCAGACACAAACTTTTTCGCCGACCTATTTTTAACCGACTTCATTATAAATTCAACCCACGATAGACATACACTTCGAAATTCGTAGTTCCTAAGGAACTTTTTAATGAGATAAAAAGTGTGACATGTAAATCCGATTGTCGCCCGACCGGTTTTGTTATATCTCTTAACACAACTTCGCCAACGATATTAAACCGGGCCGGGTGAAAGTTCAAAGCAACACTACCCCAAAAAAGGGGTGTTGATGTTGTGACGGCGCTTTATAATAATTCATGACGGCGGCGGACTCGGATTACTCGGTTTTTTTTTTATCTCCACGCCAAAGTTATCTTTGTTACGAAATCGGGGTCTATTCTTCTCTTTATATAATTCATTAATAAAAATTTCGTCGAAGGAGTTCCTGTTTAGTGAACATCTTCATTGACGGTTACGGGTGATATGTGGTTTATTTAAAAAAAATAGGTTTTCTTTTTAATAATCGTGCAAATTTTAAATATTTTTTATTAAAGTTATAAGATATGCACAGGGTAACATTTGCCCAAAGATTCTTCTGTACCTTCACCCAACTTTTTTTATTATGATTCGTGGGCCTCGGCGGTCGTGGTAACCCAAAAGTTATCTTTCAAATATTTGTAAATTTAAAAATATGCGATTCGAAATCTTCGAAATTTTTATAGCTTTACCATACGAAGCAGAAAAGGAAACAAGTTAAAATCTAAGGCAAAAAAACACAAAACTACGAGTCGTCATTTCAAATATTACGTTACACGTTTATTTATATCCTGGTAGTCATTTTCGAATACAATTTGCTCGAGGTAAATAATTTAAATTTGGCTACCTTTAACAAATTGTTTTTCAACTTATTCCTCTAGCTTTCTTAACTTAACATTCTTTCTTAACTTTCGTTTTATTAATATTAGTTACTGACAGAAATTAGTCACATCACTGTGTTGTCTATGAATATTAGAGGTTACTTACAACTATTACATACATCTATACTGATGCCCTCTTTATGATAGAGTGAGTTCGAATGATGCATGTATTGAAAGCTGATTTTCGAACCACAATCTATTTGAAAAATCTTTTTAAAAATATGTTTCTTTTTTGTAATCTAATTGAAAGATCGTCATTTACGAAGTGTTTCATTCGGATTTCCATCCGGTTCAATATAGAAACGAAGCCTTTCTACAGAATCTTCTTTCTCATTTATTGTGTCCAAGTTCCATTACACAAAAGCTTAGCTACTTAGTTGTCAAGACCTTAGTCTTTCTACATTAATTGGATTGGTAATCATACCCGGAAATGGCACCACTCTTTATGCAATATAATTTTAAAACCTAACATTAAATAAAAATGAAAACACAAATAATTAGAACAATATACAATCTTTTCTATTTAAGATTTTAACCAATTCCAATCCACACTGAATAAGAACCAATAGTTTACAATTGATAAAAGCTTCTCCTGACATTGCAAAGTCTCTACTTAGCTGACAGCTCCACAATGAACGCTAGCAGAAGCCCGCTCCAGTGCACATGGCTCATTTTCTACTCACAAGACGAGAATGCAATTTAACTTTGCAGTGAAGCCACGCACCGATGTATAGTTAGCTTATGTGTCTTGTTATTTTCTATTTGCTAATACAAAATGGATGTGTTTATTGTCCTTATTTGTAGTATATATTTTTATTTTCTCAATATTTTTTTTACATGAAATAATTGGCGGCTTTATAGTGTGTCTATCACTAGTGTATTATCTATCAGTCACAGCTTATTTGTTCCATAATTAATGAACCGTGTCGCATAAATAAATAAATCTAATTATTATAAGTAGCTGTCCACCAGTAGCATCGTCCGTGGTATTGTACTATACATACAAACTTTGATCTGCAATCACTCTGTATACCTATTGATGAAAACCGTTGTGTATTTTAAAAGGTCTAAGCATTCAAACGGCGGGAGCAACTTAAATCTGTTACACGTTATATACTATGTAAAGATGTATCCCCATTATATTATGCAATATATATCTTGTTCGGTGATGGAACGCACGGTGAATACAGTTCTTTATGTATTGTAAATTTATTTATATCTGTAACATTATTATAATAGGAAATATACGGTTATAAAAGTTTATTATTTGCAATTTGTACGAAACTCCTCACGGTGCATAACGCGCTGGCCAGTTTTTGCAATAAATTAATAGAGTCTATGGATTGTTTCGCCTGTATGCTCAAATATTATAGTTGTTCAGGCTACCAACCTTTTTACAAGCTCGCGCGAGTGTGCGTGGCCATGTATATTTTGATCATTTTTCTCATACAAACTGCGCTTTTCTTTTGTTTTTAAAAATCTTAGTTAAAAACATACATAGATAAAAATAATAATCCCTTAGTAACTATGGATGAAACATTATTATTTATTGTTTTGTACTCTTGAGTTTTTTAGATTAATTCATTGAATTTAATTGTAGATTTGTTTGCTAAACGAATATATTGCTCACGTTTCAGTGTCTTGTCTTTTCATCTTTTTTTTGTTTCAACAATCTACTTTCTCCCACGTTCAAACTGCATTTAGCAGTTTGCGAACATTCTTGCAAAACCAAACACAAACGATTCGAAAACCGCAAATTGATCGTGCTAAAAGAAAATAAAAAGCTTCTCAAAACTCAATTCCGATTTGCAATCGCATCGAGGCATCTTTATTTAACAGAACCTCGAGACGGCTCACAATTGATGCGATTTGAATTCCCGCCGATAGCTTATTTTCCTTTCCGCGTAAGACTAGATTGAAATTTAGTTTATCGAAATAAAAACCGGTACTTAAGGTATTCTCTCGACTCGCAACCACTTCTTATTTTCTTTGTTGTGTAACCTAATGGCGCTTTTGTTTGTTTCAGTGTTCCCGAATGTTCCGGCGGCGCCTGGGATGCCATGCGCTGGTGAAGACAGTGAGTGATTTTATGTTTATTTAGGCTTAAGTAGCTACAATATTTTATATGAATGTGCTCTAAAATAAGGAACTAACTAGCGCAGTGGTTAGCGCACTCGGTCTTCTATATGGTTGTTAAACAAGGATCATAGGATGGGTGACCAACACTTTACTTCGAGTCCCTCCGTGGTTTGGAAGGTACAATAAGTCGTTGGTCTCGGCTGCATCTGCGTTAACACCCGCTAATCCGCAATCTAATCGGATTTAGTTCGATTCCATTTATAGGGAAGCCCTCAACCCTTGCTGTGGGGACATTAATAGTTGGTGAATCATCACCATTCACCAATAAGTGCCCTAACATCGACTTCTAATTGCGATGCAAAGTCTGTTATTAAATAGGACCACCATAAGCATCAGATTTAAACCATCATCCGTCTAAAATAAGTCAATACGTCTCAATTTGATGTTTTCTCTTCTGTTATTACAATTCGATTTAGGCGGCCGATGGTTAGTCGCAAATGCATCCGATGAAAGTCGTATTGAGTTTTTGCAGAGACCGCCTTTGCATCCAGTACAATATGCATACATTTTTGATTCCAATGATACATTTTTCATTTTTGAGTCCTGTTAGATCCTGGGTAGCTCAGTGGTTAGAGCAGTCGCCCGGATTACGAAAGGTCGTGGGTTCGATTCCCATCTCAGGATGTCAGAGACCAAGTGGATTTTTAAGCATTTTGTATTAAGAATAATATGTATACAGTAGACATCTATAGTCGAGAGTAGTAATTACTTTTAAAAAAATCATTACCTAAGCAAATATTTTTAACTTATAGACGAGAATTTGACTGAAGTGAGAACTGTCAATTGTTAATACTGATAGTATTATAACTTTTGAGAGTTTTTACTTCTCTATTATTGCCCTTCTTAATGATTAATGACGAATTGTGAATGCAAATTTGATAAAATATTATAGTCATGAATTCTTTCACAATCTTGTTTATTTATCAAAAAGATTTTAGAAGTTATATTTTCAAGGAATTATTTGTCTCGACTATAGAACAGTGTTGTTTACCACCACCAATGGTTTGTTAAAAAAAAGTTTGAAATATTTATTCGCTCCTTCATCACACAACATCAATAAATAAATTGTGTATATCCGATGCTACATATAACTAAACTTTCCTTTGATAGACTAACGTTCAGTTGCACAAACGTCCATTAAGGTTTAATGACTATACGTCAAATTTGTATCGGTAATATCGCTTTAAACTAATGACAATTTTAACGGACGTTAGTGCAACTGGCTGTGATTCTGCTAATTGATGGATATGCCACAAGTTCAAGTATGGTTATCCTTGGCGTAGTAGAAAAACTGACACTCGTCAATGCTTAAAACAATATTGGAGTACTCATTATACAGAGAATAAAAATAAATAAAGACATTATAGAAAAAATATTAACTACGAATAAGTCATGTACCTGTGTGTAGCAGAGAGAAAGGGTCTAGGCTCAGTGCATTGAAATCACCGAAATGTCGGTGAAGCACTGATTTTCAGCCCTCACCCCAGCAGAGATGAGTAGGGTCAAAATCAAAGAAAAGACTCGAAAGAACAAACATAATGTAATGTCAGAAGCATGTCAGATAGAAATGTGGTCAATGTTATAATAATTTCAGAAAGTAAATAATATATATAAAATCAATTAATAATACAGGCTAATAGAATTAGTATCGTGATAATATGATGTCAAATTTGAATAAACATTTTTGATGGTTTTAAGATTTAATGTAATAAATTACTATTATTTAATTATAGTTAAATTATTATTTTTTGTAATTCTAGTAAGTTTGCCTTCAATTTTAATTTAAATCGTTTTATTAATAGTGAATATATGTAAACTTACTTAAACAAAACTTCAATTCAATTATCTAATGATAATATAACGTTAGAGACACACAATGCACAAGTAGTCTTGCTCAGACACACCTCTCCGTCGTGGAACTGCTGCAAACTCAATAAAACTGTCTTCTATTAATACGGATGCAAACTTAACCGACAAACACCGAAACTTGGTCCTGGAAGTGCTGCCTCGTAACCTTAGCCATTTACTTATGAAAGCTTGTAGTGCCAGCGTTAGCCTCCATTACTGAACTTATGCTTAGGCTGTAAAAAAAATATCACCAACTAGTAATATTTAACTGTAAACTATATCCATATTTATTTTAATAATTAATAATAAAATTAATATTAATTTTAAAAAAATATTCTTTTAATTACAAAAATAAAATAAATTAAAATATGATTCAAACCACAATTTATAAACTTCTTCAATAGCATACTTATGTTATATTCGATCTATTTATTATTAAGAAAAATGCTTAAATAATCCACGAGCCCTAGGTACCCCGAGGTGGGACTCCAACCTACGACCTCTCGCAATCCGGGCTATTGCTTTTCCATTAAAACCTTTATCTTAATAATACTTATATCTAAACTTATATCTGTGACACTTGGCCAAACTATTATTTATCTTTTAACATACATACCTTGTATAACGATTAGCCATATACATTAAAATTTTAAGCACAAATTGTATGACGTTGACTAAAAAAAACAACTGTATTTTCGAAGTTACTTATTTCTTTTCTTAGAACAAAATCTGTTTACACGTACTATCCGGCAACATCGTAATCCAGTTTAAGGAATTGTGATTCGTCAAGGCGATCGATAAGATAAATCGATAAAGCGAATGTGTCGATTAACGTGCTCAGCTAGCAGTGAGTGTCGGCTATAGAGTGCCATGCATGTCCGATTCAGATGTCTTGTTCCTTGGATATAGCAAAATTTTTGACAGGTGAAGAATGTTTCATTAAAACATATGAGTATTTATTTGTAAGATATTGCGTTACGTAGTTTTTATGTCTTTTATTTTAAATTCTGCTACGATATCTAAACAATGTAATGATAGATAACAAATATTAACATTTCCGGCAAATGTTTAGTACCGGTAAATTTTAAAATAAACTTCAATTGACTCATACCTTATATATGCCAACAACCACAACCACAGAGCGTTAAGTACGTCCAAAATGTATTTCGTACTGATTTTTAAACTTGGTTGAATTTTAAGATTTACGATTTTTATTACGGAATCCTGGTGTGTTTATATGGTCATGTGAATATTATCGTAATCTAGATGTTACACATGTGTTATATTATGAATGATTATATTACTAAACTTTGTTAGTCACCAAGTAAAAAAAATTGTGTTATTTATTCACATTTCTCAATATTAACAAGTTAAGTGAAGAATAACTTAAATCGGTGAACTGGTTAATGTAATATTATCTAAACCTATTTAAACCAAAAGTTTTCCTCGTTCCAGGAAGCATATACAGGAGAGGCGCTCGACGGTGGCGAAAGCTATATCGAGTCAATGGACACATCTTCCAAGCGAAACGGTTTAACAGAGTGAGTGATCGTCAAACAAACATAATACTCAAACACTTCCCGGTATACGGAACTAATACATTATGATTTAGTAACAGGTGATGTGTTTTGAAACATTTATGAATGGAAAATATTATTTCATTCTTGTTTCTTATATTATCACGCACCACACTCTACTGTTATTAAATGGCTTATGAACGATTTTTGAAAAATGACAGTTTACATATGACACACGTTAAAAGAATTTATTTGATTAAGGTTTGCTTTCACGTTCTTTCTTTCACTTAAAAAAAAACAGAATTTTTAAAGATAAATTTCAAATTTGAACTTTAATTTAATTTAAACCTATGATAGATTGAATTTTAAAGTTTTGATTCTAATTGCAGCGCGCGTTTTGTGCCTTTTGTCAAGACCGCATCTGGGGCCTCGGAAGGCAAGGCTTCAAGTGCATCCAGTGCAAGCTACTGGTGCACAAGAAGTGCCACAAGCTCGTACAAAAGCCCTGTTCTAACGAGCATGTTGACCCTGTCGAAGTTAAGGACGATGCCAACGGCGAGACCACGTTGGGACGGGCGTCTTCCGTCAGGTATGTACTCGTAGTGAATCAGGTGGATTGTGAAGTATTCTGAAGACTTATTATCTATAACAAACTGTTACATCTCCGACGGCCTGCTATATTATTATATACAGTATACGAAACTTCTGTTTCCGAGAATTTCAATGGCGCAATTCTAAATGAGTTTGATCTATAATCGGAAAGCACCATCAATGAAAATCAATCACTGGGTGACCGGATATTTACTATGTACTAACATCATACTGGGTCAATTTTGGAATCTGTTCTATTTATTGTTATTTATAGAAAACAGCTGATATTTACTATGCTAGAATATTATCAATAGAACATCCTGAAAACCTTTCAAATCTCTTGTAAATTGAGAAAGCTTAATTTATTCATAAATTTGTGATGTTTTTTAGGTCGCGCGCGGAACCAGAGCATCCACTGCCGGAGACACCACCGGCGCCGGTGGCCAATCTTGTGCCGCGTGAGGACCTGGAGCCGGGCTCGCAGCGACAGTACTCGCTCGAGGACTTCGAGCTCATCAGGGTCATCGGCAGGGGTTCCTACGCTAAGGTAAACTCGCTGTAGTTTAGTGTTATGCGAATACAGAATCTGATGTAGATATAAATATTGGCACCACACCTGATTGCCATATTTTTCTTCTTGCTCTCTCTTTCATTAGTAATAAATAGTATAGGAAATAGAATCTTCTGGGACTACCGAAATTAAAAACTTTTGTTATCTGAGAGACGATGCTTCTTTGGTGTGCTATGGCTAGTTTTCACTGTGTTTTTTATTTGTAGAAAAGATCTACATAGCGACAATCTTGTAATTCAATAACAACGAACGAATGATAAAGAATGATATTTATGGATTTGATAGCAGTGTTACCAACTTAGCAATTTATCCTAAATTTATCCACCAAAAGACATGTCAAAAGTAATAACATGAAACAAAATATCGTCACAACGATTTTAAGATTTCGTATCCTATGACTAGAATCAAGGCTAGAGAGTGAGGTGGTCATACTACCACTCCAGACATAATATATAATACTTACTACTGGTTATTTTTTCTAAAACCAGGTGCTAATGGTGGAACTTAAACGCACGAAGCGCGTCTACGCCATGAAGGTGATCAAGAAGGCGTTGGTGACGGACGACGAGGACATCGACTGGGTACAGACTGAGAAGCACGTGTTTGAGACCGCCTCCAACCATCCCTTCCTCGTGGGTCTGCACTCCTGCTTCCAGACACCCAGCCGACTGTTCTTCGTCATTGAGTTCGTTAGAGGCGGCGATCTCATGTGAGTTGCTCGTTTTTACACTCTCCCTCTCTATCTGTCTCTGTTCCTCTCTTATTACTCCTTAATAAAATGTCCTAAAAATTTTGTCCTCGTATTTTGAAACAACAGAATAATCGTCGTTTACAAGGGATTACTGATACTAACCTATGTCTAAGCTGCCCCACCCATTTGACCTTTCCAAAAATTTGGTCGTTGTATACAATTGGAAAGTGCGAGTTCGTATTTTTTCTCCTGTGTTTCAGTCTAGTTGAACTAACGTTTCTCTCCTGTTCTATGTAGGTTCCATATGCAACGTCAGCGACGGCTGCCTGAAGAGCACGCGCGGTTTTACGCGGCGGAGATATCGCTGGCGCTACATTTCCTGCACGAACGTGGCGTCATATACAGAGACCTCAAGCTGGACAACGTCCTGCTCGACCACGAGGGGCACATCAAGCTCACTGACTACGGCATGTGCAAGGTATAATGATGCATACGCTACACTCTCACATATTGTGTCATATGCAGAGAACTTGAGCTGGGCATGACGTACGAGTGTGTACGTCTAGACGTCCTGTGTACAGGTGACACCGAGAAATGAAATATGTCAGCTTAAGCGTTGATTGTACGCGTTAAAACAAATTAACAAAATAGACTTATTTTCCTATTAGATTTCATTCGATCCATCCATAAGGATGGTCTGGATTAGGGGGATATTAATAGGTTTATGATAATATGCTCTTTGTTTTGTATATTAATCTATGTCTATGGTTTCATAACTTATTGTCTTTGTTCCTTGCATTCTTCTATTTTGTTTAAGATAATAAGTGACTAATATTAAAACATATTGTGAGTGGGCGTGATAAAATAGCTTAAACTTATCATAAATCTTTTTAAAGAAGAATAATGAAGGTGTATTATGAAACGTGAGGAATGAATAGACCTATTCTTATTATTTCCTATATTGAAGGGCGATGGAGTTAAAAACTGACAATAATCATTATAAAAAAATTTGAGAGGTTAGGTTCGGTAGTGAAAATAAGTAAAACTGCACAAAACTGAAATTTACATCGTAATAAACATAGAGATTCTAATTTGGAAATCTTAAAATGGCAGGATTATCTTATTATCTTGAAATTAAAATTCGGGATTTTTTGTGTGTGTTACGTGAGCTGAAACACGACCCGCCCGACAGCTGTCAGATTAGTCATGAAGCCCATTAATTATAAATGAAATTCTAGGTGGCGCTGTTTTTAGCTTATTTAGATTTTATAATTGATCGTTATGGCATTGCTCTTGTTTCATTGGCGTCTTTTAATCTTTTACTCTACGCATTTGTTTTGTGTACATATCAGAATGACGTCACGAATATGACTGAATACGAATAGGCGTTTTAGCAGATACAAAAAAGTTTTAATTACAATTTAATTTTAAGGCAAAACACGTGTTTATTTTTCGGAAACATCTGTTTTATGGCTTTTAAATTTAAACTGAAATGAACACTTACGAGTATTGATTTCAAACAGAGTAGAATAGCCTTTTACGTATACATATGTACATATGTTCGTCCGTGTGCAGGAGGGCGTCCGGCCTGGCGACACGACGTCGACGTTCTGCGGCACGCCCAACTACATCGCGCCGGAGATCCTGCGCGGGGAGGAGTACGGCTTCTCCGTGGACTGGTGGGCGCTCGGCGTGCTCACCTACGAGATGCTCGCCGGACGGTCGCCCTTCGACATCGCGCAGGCCGCGGACAACCCCGACCAGAACACTGAGGACTACCTCTTCCAAGTCAGTACCTTATACCTTTTTTGTACGATCAACACACATTTACGGTAAATAAAGCTACAATAATAACATGTCAAAAGTTATCCTATAAAGTGTGTGTAGAAATGATTAATTCAACATTCAAGGAATCATTTTTTTATTGTAAAACTACTTACAAAGTGACATCTAGTAAAGCTAGCCTCCATATTCCCATAGATAATCTTTAACCGACAATATAATGTGTGCGTGCTTTCATTAGTGTTGCCCTACCACAACAGTGTGCCGCAACGATATAAATTGGCTACAACTCGATGACGAATCCTTTGTGCCCTGTTTTGTAATAACTGTACCAATATTATTCTAAAATCCTATTTTGTATATTGACCTCAAAAAAGATTGTCTCTATTGGGATTGAACTCAATAATATCAAGAATTTGTATAACCTTTTTTTATTAGCACATTACTATAAACTTCAAATCGTAGCCATGCTATATGAAGCGGACCATAATAATCTAATTTCAGTTCGCAATCCACTTTAGCGATTAATGGAATTATGTTTAAAGCCCCAGTCGCTTTCGGAACGAATAATGATTTAAATGATCTAGAAACAATAAAACTTGGTAACTTAGACTTAAAGTATTATTTGCGTCTGACGCTTGCCTTATTCGATGCCGATTAACGATATCGTTCATCCAATATCATTCAAAAAACTTCGCAATCGCTACAACATGTCAAGTAGTTGTGGTGTGAAGTTCGTGAACATCTTTCTTTAAAATTAGACAGTTAGGCCTTTGATCTTCAATATACACTCGACAACAAAGAATCGAGTATCGAATACTGTGTGTATATGGGACTCCATCAAAAGTTACCCGCCCGAAGGTTAGTCAAAACGAGGATGGCATACACACTGAACACCCTCCGTGCATCTTTTGTGTTGCACTGCAAATGCACACATGTTTAATTCTGTACTGATGGATATAGTGTGTGTACGTTTTATAATCAGCTTGAAATAAAAACACTCGAAAAAAATAAAAACAATACTGATTTGTTAGGTATATGTTCCCGTTTAATATATCGAGTTAAACGAATTGCATTCAGCTTTCAATACGCCAATGCCAATAAACAAACTTAGCGACGTCATGACAGAAGTTGGCGTTTTCGCGGGAAATTATGAAAGCTGAATTTATTTTTAGATTTTAAAATTAAAAAAATATACTGTTTTTTAAATATTTTTACACATATTTAATGTATATCTATAATTGACAGCAAGTTTTGTACCTAACTACATGACTTTTAAATTTTTGATTACAATAATAAAATATATACGTAAATAAAAATTGATAAAGACTGACAAACTGAATTGGCTATATGACCATGATATTACTTAATCCAACAAATAGCTCGTCATATTTGCTTGAACTCATTAACAGCGAAAGAACACCTTGAGAAATTTTATATACAGATTAGTTCTTTGTATTTCATTTGATGGAACAGTTTTTTCTATAAGATAAATAACCAAAATTGCACAGCATGTTTTTAATTCGTCAATTAATTTGAAACCCTATTCATTGTTAATAAAGCTTAAAAACGATTGCACACATAGTTTTTGATGTTCTGCATATTTTTTCCCATCTCTGCTATTTGAGACTGTCGATTGTTAAATATATTTTTGTAGACAAATGTTTCTTCATTATGCTTTCAGGTGATCCTAGAGAAAACTATACGTATTCCACGGTCGTTGTCTGTGAAGGCGGCGTCTGTATTGAAGGGCTTCCTGAACAAGAACCCGGTGGAAAGGCTCGGCTGCGGCGAGAACGGGTTCCTAGATATCGTTAACCACCCGTTCTTCAAGAGCATCGAGTGGGAGATGGTGAATTTTTCTTTTAGTTTGATTTCATTCTAACCATTCCAGAGATTCTTATCCTTATTTACTATTTATACAATATGGAACGATAATTGGATATAAAGTAAGGCTTTTCAATAGAAAATAATACGAGGGTCAAACTGAAAGTTCTTAGAAAATCAAAAACTGATTACATTAGCCAGTTATTAGTTTTATTATATCTTTTCAAAATATTGTCCATTCACGTCAATACACCGCTGCATGCGATGGAACCACTGGGAAAAGCACTTTGCCCACTCGTCCTTAGGGGTCTCTTCAATGGCATCGCGATACGCAGCCACCGCTTCTTCAGCATTCATAAACCGCTTTCCTTTAAGTTTTTCTTTAATTTTTGGAAATAAATAAAAATCACAAGGCGCGAGGTCGGGGCTATACGGCGGGTGACCCAGTAATTCAACGTTTGATGTCGCCAAATAGTCGATCGTTCGCTTGGCGGTGTGCGACGAGGCGTTGTCGTGGTGAAGGAGGATCCTACTGCGAGGTCGTTTCTCTCGAACTTTTTCCAAGACAAGTGGCAAACAATTGGTAGTGTACCATTCTGCAGAAACTGTTTTTTGATCCTCTAACACAATTGTTGCAAAATGACCTATCCTTCCAAAGAACGAGGCCACCATTTTTTTTCCCGCACTTCGATCTCTCTTCACTTTAGTTGGCAACTCCTCGAAAGGAAACACCCACTGAGCAGATTGTCTTTTGGTTTTAGGATCATAACAGTAAATCCAGCTTTCGTCACCTGTTAGTATGTCGAACACAGCATTTGAGTCACCTCCGTTAAATCTTTCAATCATTTTACGACACCAATCCACACGATGGAGTTTTTGAGCCTCAGTCAAATTATGAGGTATCCACCGGGCGCAAAGCTTCCTGACCGCTAAATGTTCGTGGAGGATTTTGTGCACTTGACTCATACCGATGCCTAAGCTTGTCCGAATCTGTTGATAGGTCACTCTTTTGTCAGTCTCTATCATACGCCGCACAACACAGATGTTATCTTCAGTCGTCGCCGTAGAAGGCCGTCCCTCACGTAAATCATCAGTGAGATTAGTGCGACCACGTTTAAACTCATTAAACCAGTTGTAAACAGTCGCACGAGATGGGGCTTCATCGTGAAAGGCCAATCGTAGTCTATCATAACTTTCTTGTTGACTTAAATGACATCGAAAGTCATAAAAAATCATTGCACGAAAATTTTCTCGTGTTAAATTCATGATGACGTGACACAGACAATTTTCAATTTGCCGCCAAATCGTAAAACAAATGACAAATGAATGAAATATATACTCAGTAATATTGGCAAAGAGTTATATTTTCAAATTTTAGAATTCTTTTTTTATTATATTGTTTATAAGTGGCCAGTTCTAAGAACTTTCAGTTTGACCCTCGTATCAACCGTTTTTATATAATAAGTAATTTAGATATTATTTGGTTTTAAAGTATACAATTTGGTGGAGTTGAAGTTAAAATGAGTAAGTGGGTATGTGGTTATCCATGTCTAATTGAGACTTTGAACTGTTATTTCTCTATAGATTACTTCATAAAACCAATTTATTTTTACTTGAAAGTTTGGTGTTGACCAGAAAAAAATGCATCAAAATAGCGTTATTTATATTATGTTGCAGTAAACAAGAATCAAACAAGTATTGAAAACGTTACGACATTTTATAGAACAAAATAAAGTAATTTAAATAATAAATTTTGAAACCACCTATCGTTATCGTTTACAATAGTTATTGAGTTTTTGTTCTTATTACGTTTTTTTTACAAAAATAAAGAATATATTTTACTCTATTACTGATTAGAGTATCTTATTGTAACTTTGTGGTAATCATCAGCCCTTTACGTCTCCACTGAAGGGACTCAGGCCTTCCTTGTAAATGGTCAAGGAGGATGGGCCATGACCCTCCACGCTAGTACATTGCGGATTGGAGGGTATTAACAAATGCAAATGCAGTCGAGACTGAAGTTTTAACGTGCATTCCGAAGCACGGAGTAGCTTGAGATATTTTTATTTGGTCACCCATCCCGTGACTGACCTTTGCAAAAGTTGCTTAGCAACAACGATCGCGAGTCGCGGCGCTTATCTACTACGCCACCGAGTTTCTCGCCACGAGCCGAAGTTTGTGGTAATAAAGTATAATTATTGTTATAACAGCTGGAGCAGAAGCAGGTGGTGCCGCCGTTCAAGCCGCGGCTGGAGGGCGAGCGCGACCTCGCCAACTTCCCGCCGGAGTTCACCGACGAGCCCGTGCACCTCACGCCGGATAACGAGTGCGTGCATTACTTGTATACCGAACAAAACAATTTTTACATTGTGCTCGTTCCTTTAATTCATAGATTCATTTTTTTACCTAAACAAAATGTAATTTTTTATGTTTTTATTATTGATCAATCAATTCTGCATTCAGAGTGCTATACTTATAAATATTTTTACTTTTTTTTACCTAAACAAAATGTCACTTTTTATGTTTTTATTATTGATCAATCAATTCTGCATTCAGAGTGCTATACTTATAAATATTTTTCGATGAAAATTGCTTATAAATTCCACCAGCTCCGAATCCGCAATCAGGTCTACTACCGCTGTAACTATATAATTGAATGGTTCGAGCATTAACAATAATTCTTTATTTGCTGTAAGTCTCCCGGATTATGAAAAGGTTGTGGGTTCCATTCCCACCTCGGGGAGAATTTTTAAATTATAATCACTTTATTGTGCACATTAGAGACTCACACAGTTAGTACTACCGTCATACTTTGGCATTACCGTTTTGTCTTAATTGTTATTGGCATAATACTACTTTATGCGGAAATTATGTTGACATAATTTTTATCTTTTAGTTTTTTAATATATATTTGTAATTTGTATGTTACTAAACATGAAAGTTCTAATCGAAATTTTTAACATAATCTAAAAGTTATGTTAAAAATATATTTAAATTATTAATGCTTTAAAAAAATTATGCGTAAATGTAAAACAAAATTATGCCATATTATATTATTTTATGCAAATAGGAATGACTGGGTGAAAAAAAAATTAAATTATTTAGTCCGTCAGACAGATTATATAAAAAATTAGATACGTAATTTTTTTACTTCAAATTAACAAGAAATAGCTTAGATAACAGGCATTAAAGTTGAGGAGTGGGGGCTCGCTATGTCCCATTTTTAGTTCATGTGATATTTACTAAAAAATTACGTGTTTAATGTTTTTCAACATTCTATCTAATCTGAAGAAACAAACACAAACAGTCATCATCCCTATTGATAGGGAACCTGGATAAAAGGTTTTAAAAGCACAGGAAAAAAAAATGTGTTTTTTTTATATTCTGTACAAACATTACGTTCTTTAGTACGGTGATCGCGGACATCGACCAGTCTGAGTTCGAAGGGTTCGAGTACGTGAACCCGCTGCTGATGTCCCTCGAGGACTGCGTGTGACAACACGCCTGCCTGCTGCATCCACACCATCCCGTGCAGGTGACACTACTGTATTATTTTCAGTTTCATTATAACCAGATAAGGTTAATATTCAACTAACATCTTCTAACATCCATTGACAAAACTGACGTCCTATTTACACACAAGAATATTTTGGCGGTATCGCGAGATACTTCTCTCACATGCCAGGACGGCAATAGGCCCGGGCTCATCTGTGGGTCGTCAACTTTTCCAACCGGGTCAGAAACTTATTGCCTTTCAAAAATACTATTTTTTATTACATCGGATAACTAAATTAAATCACTAACCGATTTTAAAAAAACAATGATTTTTGACTAATGGGGAATTTATAATAATTATAAATGTATTATTAAACTAAATTGTATCGCAGGCATACGGGTGCGGCGAGTCGTCGTCATCCGACTACGACTCGGTGTGCTCTGAGCCGCCGCGCCGCCACACGCTGCTGCAGCACGTGCTCTGTCTCCCTCTCACGCCGCACCGCGACTAGCGCCCGCCTCTCCCCTCCCTCTCGCACCGCGACCCGCCCGCTACATCTATGGACATTATACAACATGACTCTACCGACCCCGAACAATGTTTCGGCAGTAAAACTCCGGACTCAACTCCTGCGGTATCCTCTATAGCTTCAGTAATAGTTCTGAACGACTCAGCTGTGGACTCCTCGAAAGACTCGCCCGACTGGAGCGACGCTGGTCCTGAACATAACGCGACATCTGTTAATAAAACTAGTGCAGCTCATGCAGGTTCCACGACGACGGTTTCTCTCGTTCCTTCTCTAGCTTCGATAGTAGGAAGCGACACCGCGCCTCTAATCCCTGCGAGTGAAATAATAGATTTGACTACTGGTAATGGTTTGCCGCGAGTACATATCGATGGGGCGGTGAACGAAAGCGATGTTATAATAGCAACAGGATCGCCCTCTAAAGGTTCGCGTGTGAGCTACGATGCGCCAAGAACAATCAATAAAGCATTAGCGAATTCCCCTAGCACTTCTTTTAAATTTGAATACTCTTCGTCAGCGCTCGAAAAGAAGTCTTCTAGTTCTGACACACCGCATGCTACCCGCGTTTCTCCTCGTCTCGAATGTGACGTAGATCCTCATATTTCACCAAAAATCCGCAAAAATGATAAATCAAATAACGGACAACAACTAGAATCTACAGGCAAAATAAACTGCACTGATCTTGTCTACGAAAAATCTAAACCTATTCAATGTACTTGTAATATAACGTCCTCCTTGAACACTACACGTAAATATAAAACCTCTTCTGTCAAACGCGGACGTAACTTAGCAGCGCCATCTATCACAATCCGCGATGAAACGCTAGCTCCTATTCGTGAAAACGATAACATTAAACAGCCAATCACTTCAACTCTAGACACTGCAACGTTAATAAAGAGTGAAAGTGATATGCCTTCTTTAGTTCTGCGTAATACTTTAGCGCCGTTTGTGACGAATAAAACTGATAGAAACGCTCCATCTAAACAGAATACCAACGCGCGTTCTACCAAAAAGAGCCACGATCCATCGAACACGCGTAAATCTTACACTCGTTCGACAGATCGTAATATACAAAGAGATCATGTTTTATTATCACCTTTAAAATTGAATAAACCCGACATAAAAATTACTAAAGACGCTGTAGAATATTCTACATTTGAACGAGAACGTGATATACTGTTTTCTCCAAAAATGTGTCACGAATACGAAGCAGCAGCGGCTATAGCCGAAGCATCCAAGAGTTCATACACCCCATCCATGTCGGAAGATCGCGACGACGTAGCATTATCGGCATTATTGCAGTAACATAGTGCATATATTACCAACAAACTAAGCCATTACTTGTACTTATATGTATATTTAAAATTTGATTGAAAGAAAACAAACAACGTGAGAACGTAATAAAATTTCTAATAACTCTAAACAAGGGCGATTCCAAAGAGATGTAACATCGCTTACAAACACCTAACAGAATATATTGAAGAACCAGAGGATATCGTCGCTGGATATATATATGTAGATATCACATAAAATGTATGTTTTTTATGCAATTATCATAAATATGATTATTATTAGATCTTGGAAATTCTTCAATCGAAATATATAAATATGATACTATATTTATGATTGAGACGGTCAATTGAATGATTGTTTAAGTACCTGTATTTTATTGAAGAGACGAGATATTATACAATGTAATCCAAGAAACTCGATTATAATAAGAAAATAGAGATCATCACAAATTTTATTCAGATACTTTCTTCGCTCTTTTCACACTTTTAACATAAATGAACGTGTTTCTTGGCTAGTGTACACTATAAGACACTATGATTGGCTTCCAATTTTTATAGAACATGAATATCTAGTTAAGTATTTAAGTGGTGCTTTAGTACTGATTATTTTTGTCTGATTAATATTTTATTATTAGATCGAAGTTGTTATTAACTTATTATTATTACTTAACTATTGACACTTGATGTATACTTTTATCTTATACGCGTTGTTACAATTCGTATTTAATCAGATAATTATGATTGCACCAAAGTATATTAAAATATTCTCAATTTCATTCTTCATCTATTGAAATTTACAATACGTGCAGTCGAGTGCAAAAGTGCATTAAAAATTTAAATAAACGTTATATAATTTTCCAATTGATTTGCACGCGTATTTTATCTTATACAACTGATTAAAGTCATGGAATTGAAATATATATGATCACATACTTTTGAATAGCCAAGTTTGGTGCTCGATTAATTATGCTTAACTAAACATAATATGGGAGGTTAAAAGAAACGGACGTACAAAACAGGCGACGTCACATATTATTTCGAGGCGGATCCTTGTAAATTTAAAGCTTGGTGTACATAAACAAATAAAATTAAACCTTATGTTATACGAGATAAGACTTAATATTTTTGAAACTATTGTAGTGTCTATTTATCCTTCCTTAAAGAAAGGTTGAGTTAGTAATATTGGTGTATAAAGATTCATTTGAATCGAGAAGCCATCGCCACGCCTCGACCACTGTTCGGCTGATTGGCAGAATATAACTGTAAAACAAACAGTGTCTTGAACATCTAACATGTATTATATGCTTAAATAAAGTGTCAAAAGCCTTACGCTGTTAGATATCAAATGTCTATGATGCTTTCCCAGAACCTTCAAGAATGGGTCAGGGATATGCATACTATTAAACTGTCATTATTATTTCGAGCAATAAATATTATTGTAGTTGTATTTATGTGGATACCGAGACAGGTTCTCTTGTCGAAAAGGCACGTAAGGAATTAAATGTAGATCTTTTATGGCCCCGAGGCCTAGGGAGCGTATAGCTCTTATCCAAATTAGTATATTCCCTAGACGCCTAGATATAAGCTAGTTTCGTAGCCTTGGCATTTAATTCGCGTGCCGTTGTTTTAACGTTATTTATGTTCTAAATGTACAAATAATATCACAGTGTAATTGCATAACTAAAAAAATTTAAATGGCACGCGGAGTTTATATGCTTCTATATTACATTTAGGGGGATAAAATATCGTCAATATAAAGTTTATTAATTTACAAAACGACTTAAATGTTTATAACATTTTGATTTTGATTGAGAAAATTCTAAATAGTAATAAATAATGGCGGTTTTTATGCCACTAAGTGTACAATATATTCCATGTTCCCTGTAGTAGATCCTGTTGTCCTTATAGCTAACACCATAGGTAGCCAACGAATTTTATAATAAAGAAGATATAATATTGAGCACTGAAACAAATTTTAAAATCGTGTACATTATAAACAAATAACTCTTAAAATACGTCGGTTATAAATTATTATAACGAAATTTATTGTTAAATGTAGAAAGAAAAGACTTATTATATGATGAGAATGTTGTCATGAAGGTGTCGTTGGTGCGCGGGCGCCGACTGAGCTCAAGTGTCCACAAACTATTCTAAATAGTGTGTAGTAAACCTTATCTTAGACATTTTGCACCGATATTATAGTGTTTACACTCTCGCGTCGGCTCCCCTCGATACCTAACAAACGTTGTGATTCCATACGATTCGATTCACTTCGATTATTTAATAGCGTCTATTCGAAAATGTACTCTGTCGTTAAAACCTTAAGACTACAAACGCTAGTATATTTTGGAATTAAATCTATTATTAGGCATGACTTTTACTTAATATATCCATGTTGTGGTTATACCCAATATTGTATTTTATTGATGTGTTGCGGGCGTGATCCGGTTATACGGAATTCAGTGTATTTTTCAAGCGAAAATAAACTCTTATGTTCATGAAGCTTAAAGTTTATTTTCGTATGATTTTTCAGTTGTTGTTTTAAAGAGATTATTCGAGTATTATAAATACTAGTGGTGTTGCGTTGGCGTTTCGTGTTGGCGGGCCGTTGCCTGCATGTATTACTTTGTATTATTTTAATTAAGTATTTATATTGTAAGCGACAGTATTTTGGTACTATCAAATGCTTTAAGTGTATTATTCAGTTAACATTCCGACATAATTATAGAGACACTGTTATGTTTGTTAGCAAGTTGGAGATACTTACTGCTGGGCAGAATTTAGCATGGAATGACAAAAGGCATTTCCCATAATCGTACGACACGTTGCGTATCACAAACGTTAAGTTTTTATATGTATAAATGTTTTATTACCAAACCGCTTTTATTATACTGCATGATAAACGAAAAAAACATGTATAATTATTTAAACACAAGGAATTGTTATACTTCCATCACTATAAAATGAATAATGGTAAATTAGTTTTTAAGTAATCGGTTTCAGTTAAGACTCAAAAACTGTGTAAACCATTTTTACGTGACATAACTATGTTGATTTCTGTACACAGTGTAGGGAAACCAGTAAGTGAATATTTTTTTTTCGTTATGTGAAAGCTTGTTGCGTGAATGCGACTCTTGTCTATATAGACTGGGTGATCTTGGAATACTGTACTATTCTATGCTTAACTGAAAATAAAGAAAGATTAATCTGAGTTAAATCTGTTTTATTTTTTAACCACTGGTTGGAGTCCACAGATTTTCACGCCAGATATTGACAAATTTTGCCGAGAAACTGGATGAAATGATATATAACAAGGTATATATAATATCATGATACTAGATTGTTTATTTTGGGAATTGGACATTTTGGAAATTGGGCATTTTGGGAGAAACTGGACATTGCATCCGTTACACTTAATATTAAGACTAGCATATGCAGATTTATCATCTCACCAAACCTGTAACGTTAGGTAATGCCTTACACTTGCTTAGTTATGCAACTTTGTCTATGATTTTGCATGCTAGGCAGTTTGAAACGATCGATGTTTTGGGAATTGGACTGGGGGATATTCTTCAAGGAAAAATTTACGATGACTTAACTTGTAATGAAATAAAACAAACCATTAATACATATATTTATTTTATTGTAATTAATATGCATAAGACACTACAAGTAACATCAGTTCAAGTTGAGATTATATTAACATTAGTTAATAAGCTAAAATAAAGTACTCTGATCTGAATGAATCCGGGCATCCCTATTCACAAGCAAGGAAAAGAATCCGAATTCGATTTTTATACTTCGTCACTATCACTAGTTACTATAAGTGTAAAGATCTAATCCGTTTCAGTTAGCTTTTGAGATAGGCGATAATGCACAGGTCGGTTTACACAACCGAAACGAATAAAAAGCATATTTTTTAAATATGGTCTCCGGTTACACTATTCACTTTTTTGTTTCGAGCCAGAGATAAGCCGACATTAGCAGTGCAATCAAGGTGTCTTCCTACTACACCGTATACCCATACCATAACCTCCCAGCCAAAAACTAGACTAGTTCGTTATCGAAAACCTAGGCGTCTAATCTGTCTGTATGCCGAGAGGAGAAAAATTTGCGTGTACAATAAAGAACCACGTGTGCGAAGCCGCTGACGGAAAGCTTGTAATATTAAATATCAGATGTACGAATAAATGCATAGTATGTTTCATCAAACATAAGCCTCATCTGTGAACGAGTGTTTCGGTTACTCGACCTGTACAGTGACGTCACAAAATTATATTATTCAGATCTCTTTTAAATCACATATATAGCTAGCTAAATGCTTCGTTGAGATATAATCAGGGATAAACAAACCAATTACATTAAAATATACCGACGCGCTTAATCCTTAAGGTTGTTAATCCCTGAATTATCCTAGTACACGACATAACACACAATGAATACTGATAGTACACGAGATCAGTAAATTATTTCTAATATACTTAAGTACCTCCTCTAATTCATCGCAGTGCAATAACCAATCGCGACTCTGTTTACTGTGACTTATGGTTGAAAATAATATTTCCTATACACATTTACTTAAACGTGAAAATACTTAGTATATAAAATACTCTTTAGATCATATTCACGAACCTGCGCATGTCGAAAAACTCGGATTGGGGGAATCTGTTCAATATTGCCTTTATAGCTGGAAATTATTGATTTTCTAAGTGATGAAAATCAATACTCAATATTATTGATATGCGTTAAGTTTAGTTAGTAAGCTTGGCTTAACTTTCATATGCATATCGTTAAAACTTCGACCGTGTGCAGACCACGTGTGTCCATGACGGATGTTGTTGGACATAACCACATGTTTAAGAGGTTAAGGTTATTTAAGTAAATGTTTAAGAACACGAGGAGTTTTTTTTTTAATTACAGATCAACCAGAAAAATTGCAGCTAAAAACTATTCAGCGTCATGTTTACTTTTTAACACATATTTCTATAATAAATATTAATTATTTTATCTAAAATCAACAACAAAAATAATAAATACGTCGTCAGCAGGAAAGTGCTGTTATAAATCACGGATAAGTTAAGGCAATTTATTTCTTTAAACTTTGAATATATATATATAATACATTTCCCTCCCTTCTTCTCCTCTCTTTAATAAACTGACAATAGAACGTGGTCCAAATGTAAATACTTCACTACACTCTACGACAGTGGTTCTTAACCTTTTTGACTTGGCGACCCAAAATAAAGATAACCATAATCACTCATCAGTCACGGTTAAAATATCACGTTATATATCATGATTTGTATAGTTTGCTTTTGTATTATCTAAGTATAATATTTCATCTATACAATTAGCTCATGTAGCTATCACTAGATTGTGATTGTGTGATTGTGGGTCGCGACCCAAGAGGTTAAGAATCGCTGCTCTACATCCTCATTATAAAGGGCAATTTGTAAATATTCCAAAATACATTTCAGTTTATAGATCATAGACACGTGTATGATTCACCGACATTGGACTATAGGGGATCGATAAACCAATGAGCGACCAATGAAAATGAGTCACAGACATCGACTGCACACAGCATACGGCCTCCATCAACCAATGTATGTAAGCCATAAATATTGCACGCAAATTGGCATAGATGGCTGTCCAGTTTGTTATTAAACTGTTTCTTTTGCTCAATCCTTCATTGGAAAACCTTTTTTTCTCTTCAATCTAGATTTTAGAGAAGTACAAACGTGTTACAAGAATAAAGAAAAATTAACAATCAAATATTTACTTGGACAGCCAATATTTAATAACAGGCGCATTCAATACAGCCTACAAATAAATATAACTAATAAAACTTCACATAAAGCAATTACAATATTTATAACATTATCACATTTAATTAATTGCAACACTACCGAAGGAACATCATCAATTTAATTGATAAAAAAATGGAATAATTATAAATTAATTGAACCAATCTAACTATAATTTCACTCACTTGGACAGGGAACAATGAGTGTAAAGATATTTTATCAAAACTGTTCTAAGTTTGAAACTCGTTTTCAAAATAATCAACCAAGTAAAAGGTGAGTGCAGTCTGGTTTATTTTTATGCTTTTTGATTTTGGAAAAAAATATATAAATCGGTTAAAGCGACGTTTCAATAAAATAAAAACAATATTATAATATTTGTGACAAATTTTAAATACATAAAATATTACACTAAATAAATATCACCCAATAAACAACAAATATGATTTTTTATGGCGCCGTAATTTAATAGGAATTGTCAGTAGCCCACCGTAAATATATACGAATTCTCGTTTTGGAATGAATGTAAAAAAGAGAAAGCAGTCTTCTTAAGCAATTTTTTACAACATTTGCAATATATTTACGAACATAGTCCATAAGGAATTTCTTATTTATTTATAACTATTATTTAGGATTTTTGTATATACAAAAATTAAAAAACACTTGTTGCCGTGTGTTAACAGATTCGAAAATGACATTTAGGTAAAGCGTTAGGTTGTCAAAAAAAATATGTAGGTAATCTTGAAACTGTACCGTTTACTTAACGGCACAATATACCAGACTCCCATAATCACTTTTATAAAAGCAATCATGTTTGCACAGAAAACGACAAAAACGAATTTATTTCACCAAGAAAATACTATAATTACATAATAAATAAATATCACGATCCCGAATAATTAACACATTAAATTAATAGAAGCCTATTCAGTACAAAACTAAACAAACTAATACACATAAAATCAGAATGTCAAATTCCATAATCGACTTTGAGCCTAAAATATAAATAACTTAAAGTTTATAACCATTTGGAGATTGTTGTAATACACTGACATACATTTGATTGTAGAATGTAGCAACTGAATAAGTAATAAAAAGTGCTACAAAATTATCCACAAGATTTTTTTTAAATTATATGTCATAAATAAATATGATATAAGAGGAAAGAATACATTTATTATTCTGTAGACACTGGCTTACTTGTCGCCATTTTCGTGCGTCAGTTTCGCTTTCTTGATGGGCGGCGTGTTACCCGCGAACATTGCTCCTGAACGCAGTTCCGTCATTAGGAATGGAATCTGTCATATGAGAGGTGTCAATTATAAAACTTATGCATTATATGCAGAGGTCGGAATTAGGTAGAGTTATTTATGTACTTGCATCGAAATGTTGATATTAATGTGGACCTTCCCGGGATTTCTTTATTTCTTCTTTCTTTCATTGATGTAAGTTTGGCAACGTCGTGCGTGCAGTAGTTTGTGTAAAAGTAAATAACTTTTTATTTAAAAAATCACGGGATTTTTTCTGCTCTTTAAAATTAATCTCGGGATTTGAGGCATATCCACTTTATTCTTTCGCTGTATGAAATCAGTGTAAGTATATGAATAACTCTACCTAATTCCGACCACTGATTATGACACTGATCACTTATAAATAACCTAAAAGAGTATAAATAACCTTTAAGCATTTTTTATTCAGAATCTTTTTCAATATAGCATTGTGAATGGAAAATATAATAATTAGAATTTTTTTTAATCATTATCGAAATTTTAAATATTTATAGTGAAAATATTTCGTCGGCTGTTTGGGTTGAACCTGAACATTGATGAAAATACACTCTGTATTATTATATATTTTTTATTTTATTTTTTTATACACACATACACTCTGTAGTAGCGAAAAAGTAACAAGTGCTCGAGAGATTCGACAGTCCTGTTAGTTCCTCGTTAGCTCAGTGGTTGGGATTGTGAAAGGTCAAAGGTGAGTTGGAGTCCCATCTCAGAGTGCCATAGACAAATTGGGTTTTTTAAGCGTTTTTCATTAAGAACCTAAGAGAACTCTTACATATTTAAACGCAATTAGAAAAAAAAAAACTATTATAAATATTTTAAATAAATATTATAAGTTGTTTAAGCATAATAATCGTTTTATTTCTAATTGCGTTTAAATATGTAACAGCTGTACAGTTGTTTATAATCTTATGAAATTTTGGGCACTGCATAGGTCTTCTTCCATATTATTGTTTATAATTTTATCACTGTAAACGTATATGACTTTAATGCCAAAATAAAAAATATATAATAAAAAAATCAGCTTTTATTTGTGCATTTTGTAAATAAAATTATTGAAAACTTTATAACGCTAATAATGAAATCGGAGACGAAGAAATACATATGTTTTTACGCGCTACAAGCTTTTCAATAACTTCATTTAATTATTTCATTTTTTTTTTCGTTTTAGTGTGCGCAAATAAAGCTTGTTTTTAAAAAACTTTTTTTATTATATTATTATATCGTACTATTTAGTTATGTCTTATTCTATTAATTTCTGCCATAGCATCTGTTTTTCCCTTAAAGACAGCTCTAAAGAACCAAAACACGATGCAGTTGCGTCATTTCATCACTAAGTCCCTATGACCTTCCGACTTCATCATCATATTAGCTTACTGACACTATAATATTGCATTTTCATCAAACTTACATGTCTGTGGAAGATTTCAAATCTATCTGACATTAGGAAGTGGGTCAAATTTTAGTTCTAAGATTTGCACACTAACATAGTAAGAAGGCACGTGAAATTAAAACTAGTAAAAAACAAGTGACCTTGTGTTCTAGTTGCATGTAATGTGTGGGCGGTAGAGAGAGACAGGCGCGCATGATGTTTTCTATGGCGGCTCGTTGTTTGAAGAGGGCGTTAACTATTGGCGCTGACGCGGGTACAAGCGGCGCCTTCAGCAAGTACGACAGTACTGACAGCACAGCGTGCATTGACTGCCAATCTATGACAGATATATATATTTTTCAACCTTTCGTAAAGCGATGGAGTATCGTTATTGTACAAATATGATTCGTACTAACTCAGAGTAATTTATTATCAAGCTCGTTGGCGTAGAGGATAAGCGCCGCTGTCCGCGATCGTTAATGTTAAGCAAATTTCGCAAGGGTCGGTTACGGGATGGGTGATCAAAAAATTAGTATCTCAAGCTTCTTCGTGCTTCAGAAGGCAATTTAGCCGTTAGTCCCGGCTGCATTTGCAGTCGTTAATACCCTCCAATCCGCATTGGGCCAGCGTGGAAGGTCATGGCCCGTTCTTCTTAACCACCCATAAGGAAGGCCTGAGCCCCTGCAGTGGGGGCATAAAAGGGCTGATGATGATGAATTTATTTATGCAAAGTGAACATTTCAAAAAAAGACGCGATGTTTATAAGATACGCCAAATAATTATGACGAGCCAATTGGGACAAAAATATTTATTAGTAGCCAAGTCTGATGAATACTTAAGATATTATATTGTATGAAGTTCGGGAGCAAACATAAACAGGGCTTCGGTTATTCAATATTTTAGTAACAGTATAGTACTTTTTTTATTTTATTGTGATGTTAAAAACAACTTCAGGTACTAATTTAAAGCTTTTTTGGGCGGGAATGCGACTAACTTACCGCCGTGTTGATCGGATCTGTACCGGACGCGTGTGAAGAGTTCAGCGAGCACGAGCAGGTCGAGTATGAGCGGGACGGCGAGTAACGAGTCCTCGCACGTGTTGTGCACCACTATAGTGTTGGTGCCGTGCAGCAGGATCTCTGACGTGTACTCGTCCATCGCGCGCTTAGAGTCGCCTTTAACAAAACGAAGACGAATTTACCGTGACTTGGGCGCGACCATTGTGGAATGAATCATAATACCCAAGTAACCAATCTGAATGGTCCAATGTTGGGGCATAAATCAAATGTTGGCCCAAATCAAATTCCTAAGAGTTGATCACGGCTGCATCGTCAGTAGTACATCCAAAAATCTACATTAGGATCTCAGAGATAGCCAGGCAATAAAATTGGCGTAATACAGCTACTACTCTACAATAGAAAACCTACATCAAATTAATTATTTAAAAAATAAATTGAATACACTAACTTCCCTTTGACTCTCTAAAGTAAAGTGTGAATTTATCACTTATGAATTGGAGTCATTGATTTGAAAATATACATTAATATGGACATTCCCCTGGAATTATTTGATTTTTATGATTTTTATTTCAAAAGCATAATATTTATTCAAATAGAAATAGGTTGAATAGTAAATAAATTTAAAAGTTTTGATATCTTGCATTAAATTTTGAAATGATGAGTAACCATATCGCTATCAGTTGAACCTGGAATTATTTTCCAGAAAATATCATGTTAGTTATGTCTAATGTTATTTTATTTCTTATCCATGTTATTTTGTCAAAGTCTCTTAAGTATTTTCTTCTTAGTTAATTAAATAATAAACTCACCGACATACGGCACGTACTTGATAACAACCACGTGGTCAGGCTTCTCCCCAGGCTTGTACAGGATCTGGTTTGACTCCACCATGTCGTCTACCACATTACTCTTTGTTATCTGCGGCGTGATACAAGAAAAATTGATATCAGTGTTTAATAATATAAAACTATATTTTTAATTTTCTAAAAAAAATACTGAGCAAAGCTCTGTGGTCCAGGTACTTTAGAATATTGTGTGTCATGGAGAGGCAGTGTGAATATCACCGGACCATGGCGGATCAAAGTTTGGGAAACACTGCTCTGGGGTGATCATAAGTAGCAAATTTTTTATAGAAACCATTTATCTTAATTCAAATTTTAACAACAAAAATGAAATAGGTAGCGTGTCTATTGTACGTATGATTTACAGTAACAAAGACAATTAAACATTTTCACATAAAACCTTTTTCTCAATCTAGTCGGTACAAAGGTCAGCTGGCAATATACAAAATTAAAAATAGATTATACGTTTACCTCTTTAGATCTGAACTGTTGAGGCGCTGATAGATTCTTGCCGTCATTATTGCCCAGATGATTGTAACTCACAATGGATACTGGCTTTAGACCTAAAAGAAACATTTACAAGAACTGAGTTTTACTATAAGATAAAAAATAGGTATAGCCTCGAAGATGGCGTCGAAACAAAACCTTTATTAGGCTTTGAAATAGGTTTTATTTGATTAAACCTCTAACTCGGTGCTGTGACAGCGCTGCTTTCAACGCTGTATTTTTAACAGAATAAGAAAGCTTATAAGGATTGAAGTATTATGAAAGCAAAATTAAATGCAGAGGTTAAACTACTATCGGAAGGGCCAGTTATAAGATGGGTGACCGAAACTCTATCTCTAGTTCCTCCGTACTTCGGAAGACCCGTTAAGCCTTATTTAAGCCATTTGCAGACATGAACACACACACACCAATACTTTTTAAGTAATCAGATGTGCAGCTGTGTTTTACGCGAGGTTATTACAAAGCTGTCAAATTTCTACAACCAATTTTAATCTCAAATGCAAACAGGTTGCGTCAGGACATAATGTGATATCACGCTACCTATGTATTTTAGCTTGTAATACTTACCGGCGGAGACTAAAAAGTCTACCAGCACAGACTTGAGCTTGGTCTGGCCGGACTTGAAGTCGTCGCCCGCTACGAACACGCCCCGCGACTCCGCCCGCTCCAACACGCCCGGCACAATCGTATTTTGCGGCGAACCATTTATGTAGCAACACTAAAATATTATATTTCTTTGTATAAGTATTGAAACTAGATTACCAACGCTCTGCAAACATGCTAGGAGCGGCGGAAATAAATAACAATTTCGTTTCACCATTATACTCAAACTCAAAGTGTTTTCAAGAAATTCGACAGTCTCTCTGAGTAGTACAATTTTAGCAGTGTTTCCCAACCTGTAGCCCAAGGACCAGGGGGCGGCGGACCACAGGTTACATTTTTCTATAATATATTTGAATTTATTAACTCTTTTTATATTCCATTATAGAGTTTTCTTAGACAGGTACGATGTTTGCGTCCTTATTGCACTACTATTATTTGGAACTAAATCCATAGCTAAAAATCGAACTTCAAATGAATTAAAAATCATTTCAAACAGTAGCGATAGTGATTGAGTAACATTAATGAAAAATTGCGTTTTTATTTACTAAAAGAAACATTTTAATTTGTCAAAAGTACCTACAAGACTTGATACAACACACTTAGATAATAAATAAAAACACATTTAAAAAATAATAAGCAAAACGTAATTAAAATAAGCACTCACACCCTCGTCGATAGCGGCGAGCGCGAAGATTGTCGAAGGCGATATTTCAGGCTCATTATTACGTAGTGCCTTCTCCAGGTTCTCAGATGTATCGTGGACACCAGCGCGGATGTCACAGAACCTATGATAACGTCAATCATAGACACTTATAAATGCTCCCTTTATAGAGTAAGATTAGGGTTGCCAGCTATACTGTTAAAACAGTAATTATACCATTTTTACACTTTCTACTATTGCACAAAAATTATACAATATACCTATAACACTATTATAAATGTTAGACAAAAACGCTCACACGATTTTTTTTATTTAATAAAAAAAATCGTGTGAGCGTTTTATTATTAATATAAAAAAAACAACCAACCCTAAGTAAAATCCCAGGGGGGTCACTTGTGTCACAATTTCGCAATGACAATATTTACGGAATGGATGTGTTGAATAATGTATGAGTACACACCAGCTAGCCCAGGCCACCCACCCGATCACAGAAAACAAGGTAGCCAGTAGCATAACTTACTTTTTCGATATTCCACGAATGTATAAAAAAAAATATTTGATTTGATCCAGACTTTTTTCTTTGGGGTAACTTCCGACGTTTTAAATCTCGCCAGTTTTCAAATTTAGAACTAATTCAATCTGTAGAATCCCAGACCAATTCCATGGGCCCAACATTCCCCAAAAACAATATATTTACAAAATATTTTTTGAAAACTAATCACATATCTCTGTGCAATTGTTAACAGTTAATAAAAAGCTGCGTCTCGGGATACAAACGGTATCTATTACATATTTTAAATACACAGAGCAAAAGGACGCCGTAAAAAATACTAGTCGACGTTTGCGATATAGATTTTTTTAAAAAACAGATCCAAGAGCTATTTCAAAAAAGGTCGATGACTCGTGGACGATGTACCCGTTCTATTGTATTATTTAATAGCGGCCTGTAATGCGATATAGGTACTTCGATTATGTTAAAATGATTTTTTGTCGCTGTTGCTATTCAATGGACTAAAAAACCAGTTTAGAGAGAGTCAAACTCGCGCACGAAAAGTTCCTTACTGGACACGAGTAAAAAAATCACGTTTGATGTACTGGACTCCCTTAAATATTTATTTTAAGTATTCTGTTTTTTAATATAGCATTTTATTTTGTACATCTATCATGAGATAAAGCTCGGTGACAAACGACAGCGGATTCTTAGTAATAGTTTCGCGTTTTACCTTTTGGATACGGATCCCTAAAAGAGCATTGCAAAGCTAAAGTCTATCTAGTATATAATTTAGTGCGTCACCTCTCCGTGTTAGCTGTCCACAGCACGAAAACTTTGTCCAATTTATTCTTATCCTTGAAGCTCTTGATATCGGCTCGTATCTGTAAGTACTGCTCCTGCTTCGTGCCCCGGATCAAGTTAGTCGCTCGATCCGCCTGAAAAGTGCAACTTAGTTACGTATCGTTCATCCAACGATCAAAACTTAGAATAACTATACGTAATTACAAAAATAAGTGGATAAATTGATGAGTTCGATATCGCAGTTTTTAAGCAAATTTTGCAGTGGTCGGTCATAGGATGGGTGTTAAAAAATTTACTATCTCGAGCTCGTCCGTGCTATGGAAGGTACGATAAGCCGTTGGTTTCGGCTGCATCTGCACTCGTTAATATCCACAAATCCGGGTTATGGCCCACCACGCGGGCCCTAGTACGGATATATACCTTTGTTAAGGTACCTGATCGTCTGATAACATTCCCATAGTAACATGCGTGATACTCGGAGATATCTATGGCTGTATATACAGCTCTATTCCTTTTGATAGGAAACATACTATTGATTTTTATTCATAACAAAGCCAATCAGTGTCTGTGTGCTTGAAATAGATTCTCTTTCTTCGTTGTGCAAATTGTTATTTGTGTTGTACGTTTTCTATACTTGTTAGCTATTATAAATGTAAGATTTGTTTTTTTTTACATTAATAGCCAGCGAAACTCTAATAAGCGGGTGACACATTGGATATAAGAAAACGGCTAGTCTCAAAAAAAAAATATGTCCATATTTAATGGTCCAGAGCGGAGTTCTTTTGTAATCAAATTAGATTTGTCAACATTCTTCTGATTAAGAAATGTCCTTAAATTTAAAAGTTAATTTTAAATTTCTCACAAGTACACACGGCGCCACATCAAAGTTACTACAAAACGTGAAGTAACTGCAATCGAATTTCAATATAACTATCAATAAGTTAAGGTTTAAAACAGATTGCAGAAGAACAGTTTCGTGGAGTTTGATGTATTATAGACGCACATTGTACACGTGTACACACTGCCGAACAATAGAGGCTTGATGTTTACAAATACTCCTCCTGTTGCCTATAAATGGGGCCACCGATGTAAAGATACCATTTTTTCCGCTTAAATGTTTACAAAACACTGTGTCGTCGTTGACGAGTATTATAACGATTTTCGGGTCGTCTGAACACAATTTATGTGTATTTTTACGACGCCATTTGTTAATTTATATTAGATATTGGAAATATATCACGTATAGCATCTGTATAAACGAATAAGCTTTCTCGTTAAGTTAATTTACTAGTAGTGGTAAGCATTAGGGTTAATTTACTGCTAAAAGGTGGAAATTAACGAAGAAGCTTGAAGACCTTTGATGCTTATATGATTGAGAATCAGATTTGATTGTTTATAACCGGTTACCGATTTATTCACTGACCGTTACAAATGGTTACAGATTGGTTCGGTTAACTGATAAGTGTTTTTGTTTAAACCGAAATGAAAGGGTTTATAGTATACAGTCTAAACCGAATTAAAAGAGTTATTTATTGAAACTGCTAACCTGTATTAAACGGTTAACCCAGGTCTTTGCGGTAATTCGTTTCGATTTGGGTAAATTACCGAAATATAAGTGTTAATTATCGAATTAAATTACCGAAACGGTAAATAACGATTTTTACTTGTTATTAAGTATTTTTTTACACTATTTCACGTCATTTGTGGGGCACTAAAATGCCCCCTTTAATTAAATAGTGATATTTCTAACATGTAATCGATTACGACCAACTCTGGCGTATTTTGTTTTAATGACACAGGTTATCTGAAGACGTGTTAAAGATATGCTAAAGAAATATCTCCTCTAAACGAGAAATGAAACATTAAATATCTATGGAACATGCAAAAACCAAAATAATTCGGTTAGAGAAAACCGAAATATTTTGTAACAGATTATTCCGATTTAACACATTTGTTTATGTAACCCATTACGAAATAACCGAAATGAATCGGTAACCCATTCACCGTTTGGGTTATTTACATTTCAACTATTAAATTAGTAACCGTCCGAATCCTGGACCGAGTTTAAAAAATTATTTCACATTACAAGAAAATATATAATATATCACTAAAAAATAATATATAATGTATTTATTTGGCATAAAGAAAAACATATTGAAACATAAACAAACAAAACATGTGAAGAAGGAAAACTTTTGTCCTAAAACGATTTTAGCTCAGTATATGCTAGTCTTGTAGTACTGTAAGTAGTATAGTATAGATTATATATCTGCGAGAATATTCACAAACAAATACTGCTTAATAAAATAACACGCATTTGTTTCTGACTTTTCTAGAATCACTGTAGACATTAGGGGAGAGTGCTCCTTTACATTCTTCAACGCCAAGGTCGTCTGCAAAATTTGGCCGTGGAAAATTACAGATCGCACAATGATCCACCCTCAGACTATTCGAAAAATACCTAGATAAAAAGTAAATTAAATATACACAGATGATTGGTTTTGTCACTTTTCAATAACAATTCATTACGTTCAAAATTCTCTAATATGAGTGATATAAATAAAATATTGCAATATACATTATATTTTTTTATAATTTTTTTTTCAATCTCAATATTTATAGAGCTTCGTAAGAGATTTTTTTCTGTACAGATTATTTTCAATAATATCATTTTCAAAGAACATTTCTGATTTGTGTATGAAAAGCGTGCGAACGGGTATCAATCCAAAATAGTGCCTTCGAAATATTCGAACATTCCCTTATTTCACAGTCAATCTAACGCCCTATTTTTAAATCCTGTTCAGAAATACGCGCGTATTGGACGCGTTTCTAGATACATTGATCGTTGGTAAGAAATAGTGTATCAAATTAATAAAACGCAACCGATATCGCTTCTAAGTACGCTGTGAATTTGCCCCTTTTGGATAAAGTTTTAGCTAGTGCTTTATATTTATTGTATATCTGCAATTAAAAAAAATCGTTTAAGATGAGTTGTCAAGAACATTTTTTTAAAGAGAAATCTGAACTCTGGATGATATACGAGGGCGGGATGATAAATAGCTAGCCCAACCCATATTTTGTATAATAACGATATAAAATCTCCTTATAATTTTACTCATTGGTTCATTAGCTGCCAGTGTTCCAAATTTCAAATCGATCGTATAGTTTTTCTTTTAAATATTGACATTTCAAAAAGCATTCTTTTGTTTTTTTCTGCAAAATGGATAAAATTGAGCTACGAGCTGTGATAAAGTTTTTGCATTTAAAAGGATTAAACGGTGGAGAGATTTTTTCGGCGATGAAGGATGTTTTGGGAGAAAATGCTCCTTCATATGCGACCATAAAAAAATGGGTGGCTGAATTTAAACGTGGCCGTACCAGCACCCAAGATGAACATCGTCCAGGACGTCCAAAAAGTGCCACTACTCCAGAAATTGTGATCAAAATTCATTATGTAGTTGTAGCTGACCGAAGATTGAAACTTTCCGAGATAGCTGGTACTGTAGGCATCTCTTAAGAATGGGCGCATTACATTTTGACTCAAGAATGATGTATGAAAAAATTATCCGCAAGGTGGGTGCCGCGATTGCTTACAATTGACTAAAAACGCGTTCGTATGCAAATTTACAAGAATGTTTGGACCGCTTTAAGAGCAATACAACTGATTTTCTGCGACGGTTTGTTACTACAGACGAGACTTGTGTTCACCACTATATAACTGAATCCAAAATTCAGTCTAAACAATGGACGGAAAAAGGATGCCCGGCTCCAAAGAAAGCAAAAGCCGTGAAATCAGCGGGGAAAGTCATGGCGTCAGTATTTTGAGATCGAAGGGTATATTGATGATTAAATACCTTCCAAAAGAACAAAACATAAATGCCGAATTATGTTTTGTTGCTGGTCTACTGGATAAATAACAAGTGAGTATTCGTAAAAAAAGACCCGGCCTGGCTAAAAAAAAATAATCTTTCATCAGGATAATGCGCGCGTTCACACGTGCATCACTGCGATGGCAAAATTCAAAGAATTACATTATGATTTGCTGCCACACCCAGCTTATTCTCCTGATCTGGGTCCATCTAACTTTCATCTATTCCCTAAGCTCAATAATTTTTTAGGTGGACAAAGATTTGAAAATAATCTGAGCGAGGTGATGTCTGCCGTGGACAGTTATTTTGAAGGGCTTGAAGAAAACCACTTCAGGGATGGCATCAAGGCTTTAGAGCATAGATGGATGAAGTGCATAGCGCTTCAAGGATTCAAGGACACTATGTCGAAAAATAAATATACTTTTAACACACTAATTCAAGTTTTTCAATGTTAGCTAGCTATTTATCATCCCGCCCTCGTATATTCCAGATATTGTGTGATTAAAATAAAAATATTATATAATTGTAAATATAATTTTACTTTAACTTAAGCATTCTTATTACTTTTTGAATATTCATTTTAATTTTGTCAATCGTTTTGGTGGCATTACGATGTAGAGGATATAATAAATATAATAATCATCATCATCATCAGCCCTTTTACGCCCCCACTGCAGGGGTTCAGGCCTTCCTTATGCATGGTTAAGGAGGATGGGTCATGACGCGAATTTAAGGGTATTAACTACTACAAATGCAGCCAGGACCAACGGCTTAATGTGCCTTCGGAAGCACGAAGTAGCTCGATATAATATTTTTTTAGTCACCCATCCCGTGACCGACCCTTGCGAAAGTTGCTTAACAACAACGATCGCGGGCCGCGGCGCTTATCCTCTACGCCACCTACTTTTTTCTTGGAAGTGCCTTGATTGTAGTACAGTTTACCAAAATATTCATTTTCCTGTTTCATGAGGATATTCAAGTTTAAATTATACCGATGTGAGACAAGATTATAGCTTTAAGTATATTTTTATGATTATAATTGAATCTGCTAACACGTCAGTCTTTAAACCGTAAAAAATCATAAGCGGTTACCTAAGATTAGTGCATAATCAAAGATGGATTTTTATACGCTATATTATCGGCGTAATTCAGAAAAATGTAGTATGACGCAAACTCATTACCTGAAAACGTCATCCTATAAACTATTATAAGCGTATACCTATTCATTTAAGAGATATCGATACTCCGTCATTTAAAAAAATAAAAATATTTTATTTCAAGACCAGAATGTTGTAAACATTTGTAATGGACTATTTCTTTTAGATATAATAAATATCTGTACCAGAAGTCCGCTCTTCCATAATACATTTTACATTTCGTTTATTTCGTCATTTGGTACATAAGTATAATATACGTTTCACAGTTTAGGTACAGGTAAAATTAGTGCGTTATCACAAATGTACTGTGGTCAAACTTATTTTATACCATATAAAAGGAAAATTAAGTTGGCACTTTTCACTTCAATCAGACAGCTCTAATTAATGTCAAATTTGTATCGGTAATGTCGTTATATATAAACTAATGATAATTTTAATGGACGTTTGTGCAGTTTGCTGTATATGCAATACTTTTACAATAATCGTAATGGTTTGCTAGTAATTACTTGAAAATAGTTTTTTATTTTTTTTTTATTTATAATAGTTTTTTAATACGCCGTGAACATTCGTGTGTGTCGTCATTACGGACGTGCGGAATTATATAACAAAAATTAATTACAACAGGGATGACGCCTGAGTAAAACTATTTAGTCCATCAGTCAAATAATAGAAAAATATTAGTTTGCAAATAGTAAATTAATAGATTTTTATCTCATCAACTTACCTGTTGATTCAAAGTCGTCATGCGCAGCCTTATACCGTGTCCTTAGTGCTATACAACTATGCTCTTATTAGACGCGTTTCGTGATACATTGCTTGCTGGTAAGGAATAGTATTACTAATAAATAAAACGATTGCAGCATTGAACCTGGATTAGCGTCGAGGAGAAAATGCCCCTTCTGGGCAAGGTTTATCAGCTTAACGTTAACAAACTGACCTGATTGGCCGCAATGAAGTCCGGGTCATATACGGCGGGGCGAGGTTTCATAGTAGCCATCTCCTTCTTGAGCTTCTGTTGGAGATCGAAGTCGATCACTTTTGCCCGCACCATCGATTCAGCCAAGTTGAGCGGACTGATATCCCACCCGTCGATCACTGTTAGATTGGAAATATTAGCTCTCTTAAAACCGTTGTCACCCGTCCCCAATTTTCCCGGACATTCCCGATTTCAATCATGGTGTCCCGCATCCCGATTTCTTATTTATCTAGTCCCGATGTTTAATAAAACTCGAAAAAGCATTAATATTAACTAAGAATATTCTTTTATTATACTCTTAATTTCAAAAAGGAAAGGTGGTGGAAGGTGACAGCTATTCATCAGGTGGGCATTATGTCTATTTGTTACTTAATTTTATTAAATACAAAAATATATTCAGATATTTTGTGATATAAAAATAAAATTGGACTGCAGTTCGATTACCTACTTTAAATAACCGTCCGAATATCCCAATTTTTGTTTCCCAAAAAGTGGCGACCCTGCAGGTTTCCTTCGCTTTTCTTGCAATACACATTTAAACGGATGTACATTGTACATAGTGCAGTAGGTACTAAAGTGTACTACTAAAAATGTGCAGAACATTTTCGTAGTCGCTAACCTTGCGGATCATCCAATAAACCGCCATAAAACGGACGATCATCATTATTATTATTATTTTAGATTTTATTTCCGAGCAAATAATGCTACACTACCAAATAAACAATGGATAGGTTTGTGAAAGGTTATACGGAGAAGAAAGAAGTGAATATCAAGATGGCGGTCGCAGAATACAATGAGAAGAACTAGGCAACATACCCAAGTCATCTGGGTGCACCATGGGCAGCAGCTGAGACATTGGCACGTACACGTCGTTACCTTTCTCATCTATGCCCAGTCTCACGGTGGACGCTTGTGTTATGGAACCGAACCTAAAGGCAAAGTATTACTTTTAAAAGAGGTAGGGTTTTTTTTTTTATTAAGAATTGAATATTACACTAGGTTTCAAATGTGACATCTTGAAATAGCCCAAAAATGGTCAGGCCTCGTGTCGGAATCGTATAATAAGGTTTACGTGAAACTTAATAAATACAAGAATCTATTCAGTACAAAATCACTTTAAGGGCCGTCAATTAATCACGTGAGGCTCGAAAGAGGGGAGGGGGGGTTCGTCAAAAATCACGAAATATCAAAAGGGTGGAGAAATGTGTAGTAATAAATCACGTGTATTTATTTTTCATCAAACGCGCGATTAGTAAACCGAAAAGCGGCGTCAAAAATTTAGATTTTTTTTTGTAGGTACGAAAAATACTCGTGAATTAGGTGGAGGGAGGGGGTGTAGTCTTCAAACCTCACCATGTATCACCAAAGGGGAGGGGAGTTCAAATATACTGAAAAAACATCACGTGATTAATTACGGCCCCTTATTTCACTGCAATACTATCAATATTTAAACAAAAAAACTACTATACTATTGATCTGTAGCCTCCGTAGCGATTCGCACGCCGGTTTCAAGGTATCGCCATCTCTGAGGTCCTGGGCTCGATCAATTTAGAAAATGAACTACGCTATATTATCTCAAAAGTGCTGTGGTTATTTCAGATACTCCATAATATGAGGGCTTTAGCTACTCATCTTGGAAGCTGAGCAATTATGTGATGTGGTCTTATATTTATTTAGTTGTGCAACTCTGGTATATTGCTTCTGAAGGTCATCATTCTACTGAAGTTCTGAAGTTCTATTCAAACTTAAATGAAAAAATTATAATGGAATTATATAAAATTAAGTTATTTAGTTTTATTTTTATACCTCATCTAAACCAGGTCATTAGTTTTGCTCCATCCTGTATATAAGGAGTCCAATTATTTTTCTTAATAATATTATAACAATCAACTTTGCAACAATTTTTAAAATTCACAATTGAGTTTTATGAACCGTGTATTGAACAGTAAAAACTTTTAAGAGACGGCTACTTAACAAATACTGACCAGTTGCAATCCTGCACACCATTCTTAGTGTTCCAAGACAGCTGGTGTCGGTTGGCAAGGACTGCTGCGGTGAAGGTCGAGCCATTATTTCCACCCCACCCTATCAACATTATGCCTACTTTTCCCACCTTCCTCTCTGTTTGAATACTAATTGATTTCTTATATGGTTTAGCCTGTTTAACAAATTACAATATAGTTGATTTGATTAAAACTTGATAACTATTAAGTGTAGCAGTTATTATAGTTTTATGATGACTTAAATGAATGATAAAATATACTGAATCTCAACAGTAGATAAACTAAAGTAAGAATGGACTCTAACAGGATAATATTGTGATTAGTATTTCATTTGGTCTCAAATCAGTTGGACTACACAAAAAGAGATTTTGTATTGCCAGAGCTCAATACACATGTTCATGACATACATTGTCAGGTTACAACAAATTTCCAAAATGTATTTTGAACTCTACCAACAATATGTAAAGATTTAAAATCAAATGGGAAAATTTGCCAGTTTAGTATAACCTGACATGCTGTTGACTTTGAAATAGAAATTAAAAATACTTTATTTTTATAACATCATTATTAATTTTAACTGGTTCACACATTTTTCTGGCCATCTATCTCAATAGGAAATGCAATCTGTTTTGAATGTTTTTAAATGTTTGTGTAGAAACTGACACTGATGCCGAATAAATGAGCTTTTTTTTTTCATAAGCTCTAGTTAACATTTTATTAAATCATGGTGAAGGCAATTGCAATAGTGCATCATATTCTCAATGTATTAATTATTCTTCTCTTTGTTTAGCTACAAAATTTTGATTTAATAAATGCATTTAGTGTTAGAAAATGATTAACCTTGTTGCTTTGCATTTAATATTTAAATAAGATTTCAGATCTTCTTTAAATGTATTAAACTAATAGTTTGTTAGACAGTTTTGGCGCTGATTTGAATTAAAAACCTTGTTTCTTAATGAACAATGCTTAAAAAACCACTTTCAGCAATATTCAGGATATCCACCTAAACATTTTTCATTTAGAATATATTTCAGTATAGCATTGTGAACGCAAAATTGATCAAATAAAAAACCTCTTTGTTTGTTTTTGTCTCAGGAGACTATTTATTGACTAAGGCAATAAATTATGAAAAATTAATGGACCGGTTAGAACTTGGTTTCTACCCTGAATGAAACAAAAGCTGAAATATAGGATTAATACCTATAAAAAAAATAAAAACGTCTCACCACAATTTCATTGACTTTTTGAGTAACCAGGGTTTCTTCATACACATAATCCGACAAGATATAATCATCGGTATATTTAATATTAGGGCTTGAAACTACTAAATGTGAATTTTTCTCCATTTTTTTAAAGTTTGATGTAACCAAAACTTTATTGTGTAATATAATATGACTACCCCAGTACACAGCTATTGAACTGAATATTTTTGAGTCTTCTTTTTTTTTACTAAAACGACGTGACGATTCCAACGTTACCGAAGAAATAATAAAGTTACCAACTGACTGATACTAACTGACAAAGAGAACAGTAACTGACTGACTGACACCCTACTGACATCTAACAATGACAGTGACACCAAAATGACACTGACATGCATATAAGTGGTACCAAAGAGAATTTAGATACATTACATAGTGCAGCCCATAGATAAGATTGAATAAGTGCAGCCCATAGAATTAATAAGTACTACGTACAACTGGAATGCTAACTGCGATCTTTTTGACATATCAAAATGAACCTTAATGATATGTGAATAAAGTGTTTTTTAAATAACCATTATCTACATAGAGAAATGAGCTCAAGTGAGACATCTTTTTTCTTGGTGTGTCTCTGTCGCACAATTGCCATGTGAAATATTGTTGATATAAAGGTGGTAAATTCGTGAAAACTGTTTACACAGAACAAAAGGTTTTCTATATGAATATTATATTTGGCTTGTTTATAAGTTTACTAATAATATAAATACAATAGCTTTTAGGTCCAGATAAATCAAAGTTTTTATATTTCACGACATTTCAATATTGTAGGCATGTTTTATTACCTTTACGTTATGCAACACTAGATAAATTGAAGTATTCACGTGGCACCACAAAAGCAACATGGCGTTTTCTTTTTTGTCATATGGACTTGTTTTTAATGCTCTCTGAATTAAAAAAATGCTTTAAATAGTATATTGGATTAAAAATGGTAAACAACATATGTGCTGTGAGTGGGTATGGGAAAGAATCGTACCTGGCTGTGGATTATCTTTTCACAGGTAAGTATGTCATCAGTAGAAACTAGGGTGACTATACTTTACGTATAGAGATGTAAAGTACGTACGTACTATAAGCATAGACCCTATTATTGCCTAATTAAGTACTAAATTTAAACTTGTTGTATCACTTAACACTTTGGTTATTCACTATTTGCAAGTCTACCTACATTAAACAAGCATGTGGAGGCTCATAAATGGGTATCCTTTAATAATTTTATTGGTCAGTAGGCTTATCGTTTGATCGATCTTTTGCAAATATCTATTTACACACCAAACCAAACCAAAATATTACTTTAATAAAAAATATACATTTTAATTTAAATTTCCAGTTTGCCATCGGATTTAGAGTTAAAGAAAAAATGGTTGATACCTGGGAACTTACATGAAAGCTGTGTGGTTTGTACACTTCATTTCAAAACCAAAGATTACCGAACAGAGGCTCGAAAAAGGCTGAAATCAGAAGTGATTCCTTCAATCTTGCCAAAGGTACCTACCTATCATTAAAGCACTCATTTATAAACAACATTATATCGAAAATAATAAGTTAAAACAACAATTCATATTATAACTTATTTTTATGTACCTACCTAATTTCATTACAGATTTTTCCTGATAACAAAAAAAATAATGTGTAAAACGCCTTTAGTTATACGCCTGACTAGAGTCCTTCATGTAAGAAGTTAAAACTTGATATTAATACTAGGCAAAAATCAAAAGAAGAGACATGAAGATGAAGATTAATAATTTAAAGTCACTTTTAGCAGTTTTAAAAGAAAATTGTAAAAATTATGAAAAGGTACAATCTGTCATAACAAACTGTTTCCCAAATATTCATCAGCAATTGAACAAAAATAAATCTTACAAAGGCATGAGATTCTCATAATAAGAATATCAACTTATGGCAAAGGTCTCACATTCAAGGCCATTGGCACATCTCGCGCTACTTTACGCCATAAATTGCACAAAACAATTTTGTTAAGTAATGTTTAATTTTAAAATGTAAACAATACAGTCATAATAAAATATACTATTTTGATTGCGTTTTATTATTAGGTCTTCCCCCAGTGGGGGGGAAGGGGGGAGGGCTGCCTATGAAATTGCTGATTTCCATAGTTTCAAAATTTATTATTGTTGAGTTGAGATTAAATAAGATTTTTTTCTGCTTCATATTAATATTATTCAATTACAATAATCAATATTTTCTTTTAATGTCCAATGTATTCAGGTAAGAATGGTTACACTACTTAGAAAGGGACAAACCAAGATTTATGACCTCTGACTCGGCGCATGTTTAGACGCACAGTAAGCATTCTAGTTGTACGTAGTACTTATTAATTCTATGGTGCAGCCAGACACACATTAAGGCGCGAACACATTTTAATGTCATGTTGTGTCGTTTGCAAAAAAAATAACAAAAAAGAATTTCTGAGATATCGTAATATTACCAACTATTTACAAAAAAATATTTTGGAAGGTGTTTAATTCCAGCGTCGCTAATGCTACAGCAATTGCAGTGTCTTATAAAAGACATAATTTCAAAGAAAACTATGGCAACAGCTATGTGGAAGTATTTAAAAAAACAGCAAAAAGCACTAAAAATCACCAAAACAATACAACTTTGCCTCCAGATATTTCAAAAGAGACATTGCAAGAGCGAAAGCGAAGCTCATCAGTAGAATTGGCGAGAAGCTTGAACGTCTTCCTTCGGGGACGCGTGCTTTCTGGTCTCTTGCCAAATCTATTCATGGAAATTTCTGCACGCCTTCATTTCCACCTTTGCACAAAGATAACTGCTCATTAGCCCATGATGCAAAAGAGAAAGCCGATCTCGTGGGTAACTTTTTTGTATCCAACTCGATTTTGGATGACCGGGGGCTGATACCGCCCATCATTCCGCGGTGCAAGAGCTCTATGCCAGTTATCCGGTTTCACCAAAGCTCAGTCCGTCTAGCGCTACTTTCCCTGGATATCCACAAGTTTAGCTGGCCCGATGGTATCCTCCCTATCGTGCTAAGGACGTGCGCTCCAGAGTTGGCATCCGTCTTAACGCGCCTATTTCGGCTCTCTTACTCATCTGGCGTCTTCCCAACCTCATGGAAGAGTGCTTTAGTGCATCCGATCCCGAAACATGTGACCGCTCGAACCCGTGCAACTTCAGGCCGATTGCTATAACATCTTTGCTTTCAAAGTTAATTGAGTCCATTATCAACCGCCAGCTCCTTCGGTACCTAAAGGATCACCAGTTGCTTAGTGACCATCAATACGGATTTCGTAATGGTCACTCTGCTGGTGATCTTCTAGTTTACTTGACACATAACTGGGCTAAGGCAATTGAAACAAAGGGGGAGGCCCTGGCAGTAAGTTTGGACATAGCAAAAGTCCTCGATCGGGTATGGCACAAAGCTCTGCTATCAAAACTTCCCTCGTATGGGCTTCCCGAGAAATTATGTGCATGGGTCACTAGTTTTTTGGCAGACAGAAGCATTAAGGTTTTAATCGACGGTGAATGCTCGGACCTACTGTCTATAAATGCTGGTGTTCCCTAAGGAGGTGTGCTATCACCTGCACTTTTTCTTCTGCATATTAATGATATGCTGCAAATTAGCGGTATTTATTGTTATGCAGATGACAGCACAAAGGACTCCACCTATAACGTTCGTGCTAATATTTCTCGGGAAAGCATCATTGAGAGCCGGAATCAACTTGTGTCTGATATTGAATATTCGTTAGAGAAAGTCTCTAACCGGGGTCGACTTAATTTGGTCCACTTCAACTCTACTACGACACAGGTTTGCGCGTTCACCGCCAAAAAAGCCCCATTTGTCGTATCACCTCGCTTTCAAAACATTCCCCTAACTGCCTCTGCAAATATTGTGATTCTCGGAGTCGACATATCGAGCAAGGTCCAGTTCCGTGGTCACTTAGAGGATAAGGCTAAATTAGCATCTAAGAAGCTTGGTGTGCTGAATAGATCGAGGCAGTATTTCACTCTGGTGCATCACCTGCAGCTTTACAAGGCGAAGGTTCGGCCCCATATGGAATACTGTTCTCATCTTTGGGCAGCGGCACCCTAATCCGGAAAATTCATGAACCTGCGGAATAGACTTGCGAAAAAATAATCGAATGAAAAATCGATATTTAATGTAAATTATAAAATGCGATATTTTATATGATGATTTAATATAGTTGGTAAATATCACTGCATATGCCTTGACAAACTCGATATAGTTCTAGTTTGATAGTCGTATGGTTATAGTATGCTTTGCTAAATTTCATATTAAAAGTATCGATCCCAAAACAAAATCGAATCAAAAGTATCAATAACTTAAGGTAAGAAAAATAAGTGTTGGAATGCTTCCACGCCTAAACAACTAACCCATATTAATGAAATTTGATACAGAAATAGACTTAACCTTAAGAAAGGACATAGGCTACCTTTTTTCGCGAAAAAGAGCTGGAAATAGGGGATGAAAGGTTGCATGGAAATTTGTCAATATCAAAATTTGTTTTATGGCAGTTGATAAGTATAAATAAATAATTGATAACAGAAGTTATAATAAAGAATGAACAGTCTTCTGTTCATTCTTTATTATAACTTTAACTGAATTACTTTAGTGACACTCACTGTCTTTTTCGTATTTATTGTAATAAAATTTGAAATTACTTTTGTGTCAAAAATAAATTAAAAAAAAGAAGTATTCAGTCAATTGATCTTATAATGATTATAGTTAAATCATGACATTTAAAACTTACAATAGGATGGCTGATTTAAATGCCATCGTAAAGTTAATTTAGCATATTAATTCTCCGTTTACACTAATTTCACTAATTTCGATTTGTTTACGAAATGGCGCCAACGATTGGTCTATCTCTGTAATCGCTTAAAGTTGTTTACACAAAACTTTGAAATATCAAGTACTAGAATATTATCAGTAATTTTATTCTAATGTCACAGATATTTTAACTATTGCACGTGAATAATGCTGTTCCTAAATTAGTAAGGGTATAAGTTTTTACATATGATAGTAGTCATACAATAGTAGTAAAAAAATGCTTTCGTCTTGCCTTAATTTATTATGGTTAATGAAAAATGATCAGGTCATTATTTAGGTACCTTTCAACGTCTTCGCACGTAGAGTCACAAAGCAAGCAATTACCGACGTTCCAAAAATTTCATCGTACCTAGCGTAAGTGACGTGTAGCTTCAAAGAGAGCTGCCCTACACTGCGCCCTACGACCGCCGGACCTGAAATTTCAGTGTAGTACACAAGCGCCCTTAGAATATTTTCCGTTTCCTCATATGTCCTTCAGAGTAACCAGCCATGGATTAATTTCTTACAGCATCAATATGATAGATTATGATGTTGTTTAATCTTATTGATTTTATTATAAAAGTATGGGCCGAGAAATATATATATTTAAATATATAATTATGACATATATTTCAAACGGGAAATTCAAGTTTTCAAGAATCACCAACTACATAAAATAAGTAGGGGTTAGCAAAGCTTAGTCATACGACAGAGAGAGGGACCCTGTGCCTGTGGGACTTTTCCATGAGACAGACATTGGACACCTTACAACAGAGTGAACAGTTTTATACAAGCGATTTTTTTTATATTCCTCAGTGAGTGATCGACTTAGGCGCCTATTACACTACCCAATCTATCGGGCACGATATATCGGCCGCGATTTAGGGCGGTTGGTGTCGTTGTGATTACACTGCACTAGATCGCCTCCCTAACTCAGTTGGCATGCAAACGTGGCGTTGAAAGGATGGCTCCTTCGCTCACAAAGTACCAAAAAATTGGCATAGCCCATACTTTAACTGCGGGCGTAAATAATAAAACAAAATGTTGGGTGAAAAATATTTGCTTCTAAATGACCAACTATGCAGTTTGAACTACTACAGAATGAGTTCTGCACAATTTGATCATATATTAAACTTAGTCATACCTTATATAGCGCAAAACAGCGGTTAGCTGTGCTGTAACCTTAAAATTTTTAGCAACGGGAAATGCATATCATGACTTAAAGTATAAATACTCAATAAGTTTATTGTTTCCATAGGTAATTTAAAATAATATTACATAATTAAGTTAGTCTCACTATGGACCCTATCGGGCACAACAATAATATAAAGTTTATTATAGCATTAGTTTTTATTATTGTAATTTATATAAAATTTATAATTGTACCAGACACATGCAAAGGCTATCTAGAAATGTTTAAAACATTATATCATATTGATATATATATATATATAAGAAAAAGTAATAATATTAAATTACACTTAATATTATTTATTTTCCTTTTGAGAAGACATTTTTGTCTGTTCGCAAATTTCGTTGTCATTCACTGACGTCTCACACGCACGCTGCGCAACAACCGACTGAGCGCTCTAACACCCTAACAGCGATCACATTACCCGATAAATCGGCCCTAACTCTCATCGGGCGATCGGGCGCCCACGTTCACCCGATATCGGGACCCTAACTCTCTAACTGCGATTAGACTACCCAATTTACAGTGTACCCGATGGATCGGGCCCGATAGATTGGGTAGTGTAATAGGCGCCTTAGTACCAATACAAATACTTACTTTACGATACTAGTTGTTACTAGATTCTAAAGTATTGATGCCAAAAGTACTTGAATCGAAAGGAAAGTATCGAGTAAGTACTTATATTTACTCGTATCGTTGCATCCCTATACTATGCACAACACTGCGTTGCCAGAAGGTTACTTTTGTAACCTTTTAGGTGATTTTTAACTCCTTGAGGTTACTTCGAGGTTACACGACACAAAAGGTAACTTTGTGGTAACTTTTAAAATTGCGCGGAAATGCTTTTCTATGTTCCCACCAGGGGCTTGTATCTACCTAGTTTGTGACAGGAAGTGCAACCACAGAATCAAATCAAACATACTTTTCAATGGTTCGATTCGCTCGGCAAATCGTCTAAAGTTAATTACGCGATTCACTATCTTACCACATGATGTTAAGGACAAGATGTTTAGTCCCAATTTTGGCCGCGAGCAGACTTATCTTGGGCGGACTCTATATTCATTCACTCATTCCTCCAGTCAGTTTATTTTTATATTTTAAACTGTGCATTTGCATTATTGTTTTATCAGCTACAATATTGCAAAATCACTGACCCCTACAAATTAGAGTACTGTAATCCACGGTTTTTCATACCGCTTGAAAAAATAGTATCTAGGCGTGTCCACTCAAGAATCCATTATTGAAATTGAAAAAGAAATTCCAGCACCTAAAACGCAGATAACTGATTTTAGAAAATCATGTTTGTCGTTTTATATCGAAGCAATCAAACAGATCACACAACGTTTTATCTTTTCGGACCCACCTTACGACATAATCGAACTAGTCACAGATCCTCAAAAAGCTCAATCATTTGAGACAAAAGACCTTACTTTTGTCGTCAATAGATTTCCATATTTAAGAAACGATTTAGATCTCGAAGAGCTAAATAAAGAATGGAAAATGCATGCACTGTTAGATTTTACTCATTTAAATTTGTCTCCGAATCTATAAATACTCGATTACTGGAACAATGTGTTTAGGTTAAAAAAAAGTTCAGGAGAGCCTCAGTTTCCATGTTTAAAAAAAGTTATAATGCTTTTGCTGGTCCTACCCTAGGGCTTTTCAAACGCCAGCGTTTTCAGCCAGCTCAAATTGATTAAATCGGACCATAGAAATAGGCTTGCCACGGAAACAATATCAGCTTTGATGGCTACCAAAGCAAATATTCCAAATGCCATGACATTTGAGCCAACAAAGCTGATGCTGAAAACTAGAATAAAATATAAAAAGGATGGGGAAAGCGAAGAAGGTACTAACTGATTACTAATTTATTGATTTTTACTTTGTACGTAATAATAAGAAAGCCATGTGATCTGTAAGAAAGGTCCTTGTGATCTATAATTTTTGTTTATTTGTGAATCTATTGTCTTTAATTACAGGTGTTCAGAAGAAGTAATTTTTATACTTAATAGCAACTTAAATATGGAGAAGAAACTTTTAAATGCCTACCCATAAATCTGTAAGTATTTTTTTATGCTTTTGGACATCTAAAATGTAAAAGGTTACTTTTCCTGTAAAAAGGTTACTTTTTTGCACATCGCAGGTAACTTTTGACAAGACCTCGCTGGCAACACTGGCACAACATCACAACATAAAGAAACTTAACGAACTTCGTAGCGTAGGATAAAATTTTCAAATTACTTTGCTATATTGAAAAAAATGCCTGAAATATTATTTTATTGGCATAATTTCATATATGGACAAAATTTTCGCATTGATGATTTAATAAATATTTTCATGATTACTAAAACAAAATTTATCAATCATTTATAATTTTAAATAATTTTATCAATCTATACCAATGTGAAATTAAAAATCTTCATTATTTACTTCCTACTGCTCCTTAACTATAATAGTAGGCTGATTAACCAAAAGTATGTACCTAATTGGTTCTGTTTCAAATTAGGTATCTTCATAAAAATTATATTTCTATCTGACGTGAAATCAATAACGTATCTACGTATACCTAAGTAGATATAATATATACTGTTGTTATATATAAATACTAAGGTTTCATAATTTAATATGCATGTTTCATGAACCGCTCATGCGCCCTTCTCTTTCCAGTCGCCATAAATAAAATAATACAACTTAGTAGAATAGGTAGGTACTATCCATCGTGTTGTATAGCTGGCTGGTAGGAAGGAATCTCAAAAAAAACAATGAAGTATTTATGTGTGTGCGTCTGCTCGTGTATGCTACGAAAGTTAAAGATTGATGTATTTGTTAGGTTGTAGGCGGTTAATGCACTCTGCAAGAAATATTTTATTTTGTCTTCATATTTTATGGCTATTCAAAGAAATATTTAGATAATGCTTTTTAAAGGCAATTAAAAAAAATGTATCTTAATTTTCATTATTTAACCGGCAAATAAAAATCAATAACAGGTAAAATAATATTTATAAAAAAATGAACGTATTAACTATATTTCAATAAAACTTCTTTAATAAAAATAATTTTATATTGGTTGAAACATTCTTGCTCGGAATGTATGTGCTCAGTCTATAATACAATAAAGTTGTATATTAATTACGGTATAATAAAGCATGCGGGGGACGAGGGGGCGCGCCGCGCTCTCATATTCCGTATATTGATTGTGTGCGAGGGGGCCGGGGCAAGGAGGGGGCCACAGCGTGCCCCACTCTGTTTTTTACGACACGGCTTTCTGTGTAACATAATTATTGTATTTAATTTTGTGAAATGTTTCGGTGTTTTTTGTGAAAAATCGAGAACTCGGAAAAGTAATTTCGAGGTAAGGAAGAAAAACCGGCGCTATTTAATATCAAAAATGTTATATCGCCGAATAAAATAATTATAAAATTTTATAGTTCTAAATTCCGTCGGCGGCACGTACCTATAGTATATTACACTGTCATACCGCGTACGTATAGTGTTTTTTACGGGCATCGTTCTAAAAATAAGTTGTAATAATTATAATTTTATGTAGCGGTCGGTGTTGAGTCGGTTTTCTCTCGATTATTTAGCTAATGTGATTTAGTGAGTTTAGTGTTTGACAAGTGTTTGTGGTGGTCCAGATGCAGGGGCTGGTGAGCGATAAGACGTTCCACTTGAAGTGGAACAACCACCTGCAGAACTTGAGCCAGTTGTTCTCGACCATCTACTCGTCGTCGGCGCTGGCCGATGTGACGCTCTCCTGCCGTGACGGCACCCTCAAAGCACACAAATTAGTGCTCTCAGCATGCAGTCCTTACTTCGAACAAATATTCAAGTGAGTAATTGTGTTATTTATTCAAAATTCATTTATGATAGTTATGATAAATGTGACACAGTATGTTGTGCACTAATTTGTCTACTCCATTAGTTCCTAAATGACATCATTATTTTTTTTCGTAAAGTTATTTTTACATGTATGTGAGTAATGAATACATTTCAATGTTGAGAATTTATTTCATACATATTCTTAGGTAAAATTAAATACCATGAGGATTGACATTGTTATTTATGGTTAAATAATTTAGGAGCATACTTTGATTTCTATTCATGAAAATAATGGTGATTTGTTTCATCTAAATTCATCTTCATGAAAAATAAAACTGCATTCATAGTGAGGTTAAAATTATAGGGTGTAGATTTATTTTAATTAATAACATTCTTTTATAGGGACAATCCTTGTCAACACCCCATAGTGATATTAAAAGGGATTCCCTTCTCGGAGATAAATCTTCTTGTGGAGTTCATGTACAAAGGATCAGTGGACGTGCAAGAATTAGATCTGCAGTCATTGATGCACACAGCATCAGAGTTGGAAATAAGAGGATTAGCATATGAGGCTCGGGATAATGCTGCTCAGATGTTGAATGTAAACTTGGAGTATCCAGCATACCCACAGACTCAGGTCACTGCTCATCAAACCTTCCCACAGTCCAGAACTGATGTAGAGCGATTAAAGCAGGTAAGATATATATATTTTTAAGCTTATGACTAATTTGCATGGACTTCAGAATCGTTTTGCCAATGAACATTTGCAGAAACAAAAAGTATCCTATTGTTAATACATCCAGACTATGACCTTGCCTCAAACTCATTGAAATCTATTGAGTAGTTTTTGCATGTCAAAATAACAAAATTAAACTTTTGTTTGTAATTAACTTATGGATTTTTAATTAGGCATTATTAAAATAAATTCGATCTTAAATTTAAGGTATTAAGCTTTGTTCCTAAATTACAATTTCAAGGTCAAATAGGCTTATATCCTACAATTATACAAATATATGAAAATACAGGTTTTTTTTATATATTCAGAAAATATTAAACATTTTAACTTATAATTTTAAGGAAATAAATTTTATGACACTTATTTAAAAAAAAAATACTTCAAAGTTATATGATTCTATCACCCGATTATAGGTTGTGATTGAATCAAAATAATTCAATAGTTCACAATTGACACAGGTATAGTACACAGGTAGATATACAAAGGTAGTATTCAAATTATTTTTAGATACTGCATTTAAAAAATATTTTAAGTCTTGTTATGATCTCATGATGATTTAAAGCGAAATATATAACTATTTTTCAATTAATGTAAAAAAAAATCCCAATTAATTGAATTTGATGTTAATTCAGGGTTTTTTTATTTCTTTTTTATATCAGAGTGAAGTAACTTGACATAACTCCTTCAAGAAAATAGCTAACCAGACTTTGATTGTGACATACATAATATGTAAATAATTTAATAACTATAAACTTACTTGCTATAATATAAAGGGGCCTCCTTTATGAACTTTGCCATAATATTATAATCTATGTTCTGTTGTAATAATAGAACAGTGAATGGCATAAAGTTCAGTTTGTAAAAAGTCATTTAGCATGCACTCATGTGACTTACATAAAACAAATACATATATTTAGACAAATTTTTATAAACAGGAAGTAGAACCATAACTTTGCAGCGAAAATCAAATTTCATATTTAGGATTTACACATATATTTTCAAATAAAAAATGTAGGTAATTTTTGTTTATGTTATTGATAGGTTGCTATGCTTAATGAAATTAACTTTGCCAAAAGTAATTAATTATACCAAAGTAAATTATGCCATCTTACTTAATATTGTGCCATTTTAAAATTCAGATATACAAATTGCACAAAAATTGTATTTGTCAAAAGAAGATTATGTATGCAATATTAGTTTCAGAGCAAAAGATAGGTACTACTAGAGTCTAGAGGAAAGGGAAATATTAAAACAAAATAAATTATATATAAATATAAAATTTTATATCTACTTAAAGAATGCCTGTCTGGAAATGATTTACATTAAATCGGAGTAGGTAGAGCTATTTTGTGTACTTACCATATTTTAGAATAATACTTATATTCCCCGGATCCCAGGATTAACTTTTTAAGTAGAAAAACAGTAATAAAACTGTGAATAGTTCACACGAACTAACTATGCTGCACAAGCTCCTACCATGCGTGGGATACGCTTGCTCGGGGATGTGCTCGCTCAACACAAGGATTTGGATTTGTTTGCTGATGGTATGTGCAGACTGTTATCATCGGCTAGACAGATCCTAGATTCTTTATAAATTAAGTAATCCTTAGCATTGATTTATATTATTGTTGGACATTTATCTACTACGTACTTTAAATTCATGTTTTTTTTTTATTTATATAAATTAATATTTTGATTATTATTTCACAATTTGACATTGCTTATTTATTGGTTGTAAATCTGACTTAATTCAATATCAGTACAAATACTTTTTTTCTTGACTTGTAAAAATTGAAATTATTATGAAAAATGTATAATGAGCCAGTGTGATGGAGTATTCTGTAAGGTGGTGCATGATTGAGTAATAAATAATTATATTAGGGAGTAATGAAAGAATGCACTTCCTATTCAACAGGAAGTATAAGAAGGGCAGGTTTGAGTTTAAGGATAGTATAATAAATTAATAGAACCTTGATTCTATGAATTTATTTGTTTCTTATATTTATACCAGAATTACCAATTGCTTAACATTTTGAATCTGAAGTTGTACAAGATCATATTACCATACTAATTATTTGTTTCTCAAAATATGATCAATGAATAAACTACTTGTATTAACATTTAAATTAATAACACGTTTAAGCATTAATTTACTTATTTAAACATAAATGTCATAGGTTTATTTTTTCTTCACTAAAATACTGAATATGACCTTAGTTAAAATAAATTACCATTTATTTTTTTCTTAATTTTCAACGCTGCTGATGTAAAATTTACACGTCACTCGTGGGTTTATTGGCTTACCTAAACCATCTTTTATAGTTATTAATAATAAAAGTTGATTTCATTAAATTCTCACAGACGGATTCCCGTGGAATATCCATATTAAAATCAATGTTTGCGGTCATTAAGCCTGAATAGCTCTACCTCCGATCAGTGATTATTAAAAAAATGATAAATTGAATAAACAAAAAAAAACCTAAACAAAATTGGTAAATAAATTAACTAGAATATTCTACTCACATTCTATGTTACTCATGAAACAGTAAATAAAACTTATCTTATTATTAGTCAGATATTATATCTTTTAATAAACACAACAATTTTGTTTAAATACATTTTGAATCATCAACGACTGGTTTAACTAATTGATTTTCCTTTGGTATTTTTTATGGGGACCCCCTTTTGACGCCAAAGATGAAATAATTCGAAGAAAGAGTTAACACACATTGAGTAGTAGGTCTTTGTAGTTTGGTAAATCGCGGTTTAGATTTGAGGAAGCGAATGCTAGATAAACATCTTACAAAATCGGCGATTTAAACATGAAGGTGACTTTGTCGTCTGATTCATAATCCTTGTAGGACTTTTTAGGAATGGGATAAGGAAAATAAAAGTACCTTCGTAAATGAATACCAGCCTGATTGAATTTAAATATTATGCATTTATGTAGGTATCTTTCGGAACATGGTGTCGATTCAAGAGTGAAAAAGTTATTATAACATATTTTTAAAACTATATTTAATTATTTAAAAAAAGTACTTCAAAAGAAAAATAAAAGCGAATTAAATGTCGGGCGATCCTTTGCGTAGGCAAATAATAATAAAAATAAGTTTCTGGAATTATTTTTCACTTCTGTGATCCTTTTTGAAGTTTTTTTTTATATATTAAATACCAAATAGATGATAATAATCTAAAAAAAATCTTAAATAAAAGAAATTAGTATATATAGTATATACTTTGACATTATATACATAATTTGACATTATTGTTAACGGTGCGGCATTTAATCCAAACACGTTAACCTCTTCCCTGTCGAGCTTTTCAAAACTTAATATTATTGTATGTTTATAATTATATTTAAGCTATTTTGTACAAATAGATAAATATTTGTTTGTTTATTTTCATAACTTGGAGCTTCGCTCGCTCAGCTCTTAATTTTGTTTTAATTATGGTTGTAACCTAACCCAATAAACGTTTCTTTCTTTTTGTCTGAAGCGTCTCTCTTTCCCTCGCTTTTGCTTTGCTTTGTTTGCCACAATCATAATATTTCGAAGGAATCTAGCCGAATTCGATATGCAATAGTAGTTATTTTACTCGATTGTCCTGTTGATCATTATATCAACCATGTATTTTGGCAAGCGTTATTTATGCTTTACTTCTTTTTACCAATTAACATGATCTTATAAATGATATTCTAATAATGTGTTAGAATATGTAATGGAATATTGTCAAATATTTAATTTGTGAAACATTTACAGATAGGATAGTTTGTTTAAAGTGATAACTTTATCGAGTGTAAATTTGCCTAACATTATTTTTATAATGAAAATTTGTAATTGATTTTTTAATGAAATGGCAGGATACCTTAAATATTGTCGTCGAATAGAGACACCACTTAATGCAATATTTTTGCACTATGGTCAGGGGTCGACAACCTTATGACACGAAAAAGCCAAAATCTGCGATTTCCAAAATGCCATAGTTTCCAAGGATCCACCGGAAATGTATTCGTTTTCATATTGTTCATGTTTTTATATCTGTCTCTGTTTTAAAGTCCGCTCATTTTAATAATATTATAGTTCAACTATTGATTGATTACATGGGCTAGGTTGTTTCAACAGTGAAATATATTATTTTGTAAATGAAACTTCAGAGCCGCAACTTTACATCGAAAGAACCGCAGGTTGCCGACCCATGCACCATGTACCTTTGTTTACTGCACCTTGCTTTGGTTAAAGATCTCATGTTATAGTCAGTGACGTAGCGTAGTGGGGGTTGGGGGGAGGGGGACGCCTCGGGGCGGCAATTTTTAGGGGGCGGTAAAATTTTACAGAAACAATGAAATATATTTTATAAAGAATTGAACCTATTCATATTTTTAGCGCAACTATAAATTAGGACCGAATGAAAAGAGCACGGAATTTTTCCTTACTTACATGATATTTTGTAGCGAATGGCAACACCATCTATACTGACTTACGGGGATTCCCCGTATTTTATTTTGTGCTTGGATTGTTAATGACTTATAATCAGCAAGAAGTACTTCTATTACATATATATTAAGTTCAATGTTGTTTATTATGTCCCTTTAGTACGTGATGCTTTGACAATTCAAAAAACTTTTATTAATGGATCTTCAGTTGTTTAGTTCTGATTTTTTTTTTATTACAAATCTTTTTAGTTAGGTTACAAGCCTTGGGACAAAGTACACCCAGACTAAGAACAATTATTTGCAAATCACACGATAAATTGTCCTTTGTGGGGATCCAACCACAACACTCGATCCGTGGGCAGTTGCATGGCGACATCTAAACCACTCGACCGACCATGCAGTCAAGATCTAACCTGTATAATGCAAAATATAAAATACCTTATTAAGAGGGGTAGCAAAATTGTCTTCCGCCCCGGGCGGCAGACACTCACGCTACGCCACTGGTTATAATTTTCCCTGTTTTCAATTCCACTTGAGATCAGTGTCAGTACAATCTATTACTTTTTTCATACGTCGCGATTAGTCAACATTTCATTTTTGAAATATGTATGTTCCATACATTTGCATTCTAATTTACACTCGAGGATGGTGACTCTATTAAGGTAAAAGATAAATAAGGGACAGCCTTTTGTCTTTACGAACACCCTTCAGATATCTTATAAAATTTCTGTCCAATACCTATAATCGACACCAACGGCAACACAGATTCAATAATAGGGTATTTGGCACTATTGAAAATAAGTTTCATGTTGTAGTCATCCTGTTAGATAATAATCTAATAAAGTTTATTTCTTAGAAACTCCAGACAAAATCTGTTAAGCTTTAGTAAAATAATGTAAAGAAAATGCAAATTTTTTTAGGAATTTTATAAACAACGAAAGCGCTCTGTAATTGGTTGTCCTCGCAACCAATGACAGCTTCTGTTTACCGGCGTGTGACGTCACACGTAAACAGGAAGCTGTCATGTCAAAACAGTGTTAGAGATAGCGATATAAAAAAGGAGAACAGTGGTAGAAATATAGAAAAGAGGAACTTTTTTGTATCGAGGCTGGTACTATATTCAAATTATCTTTAACCGAGCATAAAGTATATATTAATCGATAGCAGGTAAATAAACCGTACATATGATCATTTTATTTTATTTTTAGGCGCTGCCAAAATGTTTATTTTTTTTTGAATTGAAAGTGATTTAGTGGATATTTTATAATTTATATTGCAACACATAATTGCAATAAGAAAATCTATGGCAACCCCATCCCTAAGTTACGTTCCAATTTATGATATGAATCTATTTGGACAATGTGGAATCATTATTTTTATTTGCAATTAATTATTGATATTTTAGACCTCTAATACAGAGATATTTAAAAACATATCGAAGTTCAGATTAGGGCCGGTTTGAGTTTATTCGGTGGGTGGCTCATAAAAATAAATACATAGTTAACAAATTATTAATTCAATATTCACAGTATTGATATGTGATTCGTCCACTAGGGACGCTAAGTTATAATATGGTGCTTTGTGGTAATCTCAAAACAGGCAAATCCTGAAAGTGACGAATTAACAACAAATCAGGCATTTTGTGTCGGTACAGTTGACTATTAAACAGGCTTTTACTAAATAAAAAATCTTTTAATTACTACAAACTTATTACTTTTTGTTTAATTTAATAGGGATGACGACTGGGTAAAAAAAATGCAATTCTATTTAGTCCGTCAGTTAGATAATAGAAAAATATTAGAAACATATTTTTTTTACTTCAATTTAACTAGAAATAGCTTAGATAACAGGCATTAAAGTTCAGGAGTGGGGGCTCGTTACGTCACAGTTGAGTAAAAAACGTACCAAACGTACCACGTCACGTCGTTATGCGAAATTTCAACTTCATGTATCGCCGTAATTTTATGATTACGAAAAAAATAAAAAATTACGTGTTTAATATTTTTCAACACTACTTGACAGACAAATAAATAAAAATTAGTTGTCATCCCTATTATCGGAATTTTACCTTTTTCGTTATTACCCTAAAGTACCATACGGAAGGCTAGACTGTGGACAAAGATCCTTTTGTGTTTGTTTTAATGTACGGCGTTTTACTTTTTAAGTGAGTTTTATGGCTGTATGAACTAGTGTTTCTAGGCAAACTATACCAATTTTTCTAAACTTAATTCTCTAAAACGGGGGTACATTTAGACCAGAAAATTTGGTGAAAGATAGAGGATTGGGTCTAGGTGCTATGATAATTTTCTTTATAGTGGTTTTATTTTTTCGGAATAAAGTACCAAAAAAAATATTCTCCTTTGTATACAATTTTTAGCTCATTTTTTAATACAAAACCAGAGTAGATACAAATATAAAATTTAACTTTAATTTCTCTTAAGTAATAATATTTATTAATAGTTGATTCATGGGTTATGTCACCTTGGCTATTTAAACTTAACAAATCTTTTTATCGAAATAGAACAGATTCCCATGAAATATATCGACAGTGTGTTTATAATGTACCAAATAACCATTTAAAATAGTTTTTCAGAAAATTGACAATTACTCTATTACTTCCAACTTGAGATGGCACTGAATTGCGATGTATGAATCACGTTTCATATTGCAATCTAACAGCGCTCGGATGCACACAGTTTCCCTATAGTAACCCTTACGAATTGCCTTCACCACTACAACCTCCTGCCCTACAAACGTATATACATTCTTATAATATAACAATTGACATTTATAGTAAATTTTCTGAAAGCTATAGACTGCCAACACTTAAACCACCCTCTTCAAGGTGACTGATGTTAAAGGTATTAAGACAAATATCCGTCAAAAAAATGATTAATTCTATTCATGGACGACAGATCGATAGGAAATACATAATTATTATGCCTAAAAAGCTATCATTGTATCGACATAATAAAGATATTGTAATAGGCATATTTCTGTGGTGCTTTTCTGTCATAAAAACAACCTCGAACTGCGGATATCAAGCTCGTAATAGAGGTTTAACCAAATAAAACCTTCTTCGAAAGATATAAATTTGTTTATTTCATTGAAGGTATAAGATCTGCAACTTGTAGCGAAAAGTTCGATGCTGATTTTTAATACAATAGTTTTCATCCCTAAAAATATTAATCCTATCTCTCCACGCGGGGCAAGTAGACTGAACAATACAAACACTAAAAATATTAGCAGTCAATAAAACATGCGAATCCTCCAAATTATCTATCTCTTTTCAAACTGCAACTCAACGATTATTGTTACATACATAGTGACGTGTTATTTGAATAATTAATGTATATTGAAATGTAAGAAAACCGGATAAACGCTGTCAACACATGAGCTATGTTTACATAAATGTGTCTACGTTTTTTACGCGCGAAAGCTAATTTGGTTATTAGTACTTTATTACTTACTGTGTTACCAGTTAAATACCTAATTGTATGTAGATTATAATCGCGCACGAACCATTACTTATATACATTTTGGGAAACATTTTCGATCATCATCACAAACAGATTATATAAAATATAGTCGAATGATAAATTTAATAACGTAGGTAATTTTAAACTTGTTTTGATCATTTTACTTGCAGGTATATAGTAGTAATCAAATATTGTCATTTCATAATAGGTACACAAAATAATGTTAAATTACATGATAAATATTTAAAGAAGATAACTTTGGTTGTAAAAATAAAAATATATTAATAATTGCGCGATAATATTTTTGTGACGCAAATACCTACTGCAGATTATTATACATTTATGTGTATTTTATTATTATCATATCTATTTCTAGTGAGAAATTGAGTTGGTTATCATTTACTAGTAGTTTATAATTTTTTATTTAATTTTTAATGATAAGAGCCATCATCATCACTATCAAAATTTAATACCCAAGATACAAGCACACTATCTCAAACTTTATTATTTTTCTATTCACTATATAACTATTTTTATAAACAAAAAAATCGAATAATATATTTGGTATATACATTTATTTACTAAAAAATTGATGCTTATTTGCTGGTTTGTGCTATTCAAAATTTTTAGAAAAAAAAATATAACAAATATATACCTGAAGCTAATAGAATCGTTTCCATTTAGATCCACTTATATCAACAATCCATGATGCGCGCCGAAGAGATACGGCGTCGACGTCGTGACGACAATCCCGGTACTCACACAGCGGTCAACAATATCCTGGCAGCCGCCGCTAGGGAGATGGAGGAGGCACGTCACGCCGCCAGAGGGAATGACAGAATCGTGGCTGGCATACAGACAGAGCAGGAAGGTGAGACCATGAATTTTAAGGTGGCTTATGTGATATTAGAATGAGTTTCTCACGGGATTGCTATCTTGTACCTGGTTTTTATTGAGTTGATATTTCGGCGCTGTTGCAAGCGCCATGGTCATGGAGTCACTTATCTGACACACCAAACGTTATCATCAGCTTGGCCACACTACATTCCAATGCACGGATTGGAACACCATGCGGATCCAGTGCTGATGGGTGTATGTTAAAAACTGCAGATGCAACCGGGACCAATGCCTTACCGTATCTGCCGAAGCACGGAAAAGCTCGAGTTAATAAATTTTTGGTCACCCATCGTATGACCGGCTGAACGAACGCCCCAAATAATTACACCAACTAGCTTTTCAATCTAAACATCAGAATTATTAATTACACAAATTAGTTCTAGCTAAATATTGAACTATAAGACTGACTATTGGATAGCTAAATAGATAGGCAGTCAGGAGGCAGCTCTGCCTTCTGTGGTATTTTGGCAGAATGATTACGAGAACCTTTATAGCTACCCTTGACTACTAGGGTGTTGATTTGACTTGATTTTCCGTTAGGCGAATAGATTTGGAAACTAGAAATAGTTTTGTTAGATAATCTGATGAGCAGAAGTGTACGAGCAAGGCGTTTGATCTAACCAGAATCTTGTATTTGAAAAAAAAGCATCATCATCATCATCATCATCATCATCATCATCATCATCATCATCATCAGCCCATATTCGTCCACTGCTGGACATAGGCCTCCCCAATTGCACGCCATCTAATTCGATTTTCGGCTGTTCGCATCCAGCTCCTGCCAGCCATCTTGCGCAAATCATCGCTCCACCGCGCCTGAGGACGGTGGAGCGATGATTTGCAAGCTGAAGTGGCAGTGGGCTGGCCATATTAGCCGCAGAACCGATAACCGTTGGGGTAAACGAGTTCTTGAGTGGAGACCGCGTCTCGGCAAACGTAGTGTAGGACGTCCTCAGGCGCGGTGGAGCGAAAAAAAGCGAAAAATAATAAAATAGCTTCTGCTATAAAAGTTAGAAAATACTATTAATAACGTAACTATCGCTATTAAATTCCGTCTACTAGTCTGCTTTAATACGTTGCTTAAAAATCAAATGTATTCTTCCTAATGGCTTCTGCCTTTAATCTGCTAAAAATACAGTATTACGTTTAACGATGAAACAGTAATCATAAACATTTGCAGATAAAAAATCTGGCATTTTTAATATGAAGAAATGTGCAATAATGTACGAGGTATTTCAATAATATAAGAGATTTTAACCATTTTGCTCTATCAAAGCAGCACAAAATTTTCCCCAGGAATTGTCCCTTGGGGTTGTTTTCTGCAATCGAAGAGCGAAGTGATCTAAAAAGCGCATGATCTGCGAAAAAATTGCAGCTGTACTCTCTATTTTATCACGTAATCAATCTTGTTACACATGTTTTGCCATATTATCTGATTGCAAAGAAACATCCCGAAAACAATTCAATTGATGTCGGCCCGGTAGAATAGAAGATGAATCAATTATAGCCAGTGGCAGCGATTGATTCTTGGTCCATTCATACCACCACAAAGTGTTACAGAACACAGAAAGTGGATTAACTTTTATTATTCATTCGTACATGTTCTTTCTTTACCAAAAACTAACTCGCATCCTCACTAATTCACAGTAAAGGAAAAATATAATCAAAAGAATATCGTTGAAATTTAAAAGTAACTATTCAATCCGTTTGTTTAGAATATTGACGTCATGATCTCCTTCTTAAATACGATTGGTTATATATTTCTGTACTAGTCACAGTAAATTGATTTGTTTACATTATTTTTTTTATAACATTCTGGCGTAATAAGCTAGCGTATCCTAAGCATCACATGCAGGGGTGGACGTGAATTTGTTGGGCCCTGCGCTAATACTCAGGGGCCTATTCATTATTGAAGTAAATGTTATTTTATTTGGACACTATTTTCCTAATGTAAAAGTACCGTATCATTTAATGTTTTTATGAGGGGGTTGGGCCCTGGCTTTAAGCCCGTCAAGCTCTTAGGTAAATCTGCCCCTGATCACACAGGAGCATCGACATATTTCCTCACTCCATTTCTCCCACATTCTCTAAAAGAAAAATAAGTATTTTTTTTTATTTAATTAAAATAAAACATTTTTTTTTTCACTTTTCAAAGTTTACATTATTATCTATTTTAACCAAATTCAAAATCGAAAAGGTTATATGTTCGACGGCGATGTATATATTTTTATGTATATTCACCGATTTTTCCGCGAATTGTTGACCGATTTTAATTTTTTTTTTATTCGATAGATTAATTAACCGAGGTTGTCCATATACATAAATATGCTCTATATCAGTTAACACTTAAACACATTGATTACTTATTTGTATCAGCGAAAAATTAAAGTTTGCAGCCCAGTTCTATTTTACGAAAAAAAAATTTACGTCACAAATCTACAATGTTTTCGCTGTTGCTCCATTTATGAACAACTAGCTGTCCGATAGCGGCCTCGGTCCGAGGTATGGTTCTGTATTAAGATCTCAGCGGAGAGACAATGGGAAGCGACTTTCTTTTGTACTATGTATTGAATATTACTATAAAAACGTAAAATCTTTTAAATGTAAATATAATAGTAGATTATTTTAAAAAGAATACGGTCAACAACTTCGCTGAGAGTAGAAATCGCAGTTGAGCATTTATTCTTAACGAATTTTATAAATTATGCATTCGATTTAATTTTTATCTTTGGTATATTACCAATTACAAAATAAATCTAATTGCGTTTTAACTGTAATTTCTTTATATTGACGTAGATAATCGTTATTGAAAATATTATGAAAATATTATTATGAATACCTTCAATATTAAAACATGTAAAACAAGTTAATTTAAACATACTAGAACAGAAACGGAATGTATTTAGCGTAAAAGTTTATGCGAGTGCTATTTAATATAATTTACTTTTTTCCTGTTTGAAATATGCTTGAAGAGCATTGGAAGAAACGGACTAGTTTGTAGTATTGATCGTCCGGGCTACCAGGGAAACTTAGAGTAAAATTAATGGATAGTTTTGAACTTTGGTATTACAGGCGCGCGATATTATATTCATAAAAGCTTTTTATTGTACAGAGTTCCTTTTAATTTTATGTAGAATTTTTTTCTTACTCTAATATTTATTATGTAGTTGCTACGTAATAACGCCTAATTTTAAATATGTATGTATAAACTTTTTGAATGACTTAGTACACGTCTATAACGTGGTTGGTTTTAAAATTATGTACAACCTATTTTGTAACGAACTGGAACCAATCTTTTTGTATTAATAAACGTAATCTATATCTATTCGAATATTTCTTGGAACACGATGCCAAATTTATATTTTATACTGCGAATTCAGATTTATTTTTGTATTGATGACGTAACCTTTTGTCTAAAAAGTGTTATGAAGTGTGCACTTCCTAAATAACTGGCGGTATAAACAATTCACAAGTTCGGATAACGATCGCAAGAACTATCGCGTAAAAAAAATTTTGAGAGTAGCATCCTAATACATAAGCTTGACTACGAAACGGAACAGTGTTAACTTCATACGTTTTGAATAATTTTCGGACGTTGTTTCTTACTATATTTATGTATTTTATCCATTTTGCTCTATCAAAACAGCACTTAATTTATCCCAGGAATTTGCCTTTGGGGTTGTTTTCTGCAATCTAAGAGCAAAGTGACCTAAAAAGCGCATGATCTGTTAAAAAGCATTGCAGCCATACTCTATTTTATTACGTGATCAATCTTGTTACACATGTTTTGCCATAATATGTGATTGCAAAGAAACATCCCGAAAACAATTAAATTGATGTCGGCCCGGTAGAATGGAAGATGAATCATTTATAGCCACTGGCACCGATTGATTCTTGGTCCCATTCATACCACCACAGAAAGTGGTATAGAACACAGAAAGCGGATTTACTTTTATAATAAATTCACACATGTTCTTTCTTTACCAAAAACTAACTCGCATACTCACTAATTCGCAGTAAAGGAAAAATATAATCACGAGAATATCATTGAAATTGAAAAGGAACTCACTCAATCCGTTTGTTTAGAATTTTGACGTCATGAACAAGAATGAGATCATGACGTCAAATTTCAAAATTTAAGCACATACCCATATGAAAATTCTATTGCGATAACGATCCACCGGTATCGTACATATGCAGTTCGCCGACGATTGTTATGTGGAGATTTAAATTGTAGATACATTACTCATATTTTAGTACCGCGTCTAAAATGACCAAAAAGATCTTCCAACCACTCTTTCTGTAGTTTACAGTTAGTTCCTTAATGATTATTCGGCTTTGTTGACGTCTCGTTGTAATTTTAGCGGCTGCTGCTGCCGCGTCCGCTTCCGCTGCTGCATCAGCGTCATCTTCCGTATCCGCCGTCTCCATTGATTTGAAACGGGAGATGGAAGACGACCGTCCGAAGAAGCGCCCTTCCATCATGTCGCCTGAAGACGATAAGCTACGCGCCAAGAAGAAGATGAGCGTCCGCTTCCAGGAGGACAATAAGACTGACGAGCGACCGAACAAGATCACATCTCCTGGTAAGTATCTATTTAGTTATAATTTATGAATTGACGTTTATACGAAAAACTCTAATTACCTTCTGAGGTCTACTTTGTACGGAAATGAAATTTCTGTTTTTGAAACGTTGTTATAATTTTGTTAAAATCATATCCATTAAGATTATCAGGGACAGTGCCAGGTCAACCTACCTCCGTTTCATCATAAACTATCGTAAAATACGTTTCTTTCAGAGTCGTATTAACGTTTCGAAGGTAGACGAATTTCCGTTTTCGAAGAACGAACTCCTTTGTTTTGTAAGTCGAGAAAGGTAACACGAGAAATATTCATATTGTATTCTAGAATAATAAGTATTACTCATATTTTTACTAACACTAAAGTAAGAAATAATAAAAAAGTAATTGCTACGATCAAAGCGATATTGTAGTTCCAACCGAACGACAGAAGCGTGAGTCATCAAACAAAGGCAATTTAAATTCTTTTGATTAATAATAAACGAGGTTTAGCGTTGGAGTAAATTTACGCTGAGACTGCACTTAGTATTAGTCAAAATTTTTATTATTAAACAGAGACTTAGCAAAGGTTAACCTAGTACGAGGTCTGTGGAAGTAATAGTAGGTTTGCTTATTCTCTGTATAATATGAATTTGGACTAATACTAAAATTGCTTTCTTAGCGTAAATATATTCTGACGTCAAACCTTGTTTATTAATTATTAATATCACTGATAATGTATAAATTAGTCGTGACTTGTTTACGTAAAAAACTATTGTGACCGTTGATTACTTCGCCATTTTGAATTTGTCTTTATCAAAATGGCGGGTAATTCTATTATTTTAATTTAATGAATACTATTTGACTCAATCTTACATATAAAATTCCTTTCCCTTTATGTATATATATAAAAGCAAAAGGTCACTCGCTCACTCATCGCGAAATCTCAGGAAATATAAGTGCTAGGAGTTTCAAATTTTACATGCGGGTTCTTTTTAGGACATAGGTGCTCACTAAGACTGGATTTGAAGAAATTTGATCCTTAAAGGTGTAAATTAGGGGATGAAAGTTTTTATTGAATTTTCCTCATTTCTGGACTAAAACTAGATCACGCGATCGATGCCGCTGGCGAAAAGCTAGTCTTATTTATTAAAATGCATTGTAATGTACTAGCGCACTTAGTAATACAAGTTGCGTGTTTAGTATTATTATTATAAATAATAGATTTTTTTTTAATTTCGCTGATTCAGATAAGGAGCGGCTCTTGCTCAAAGAATGAAAGTAAATTCTATTTGTACAGATAGCACATCAAATCGTTAAATCGTTTTAAAATTTGAAAAACCATAACTGTTTAGCATATATAATCCAATGCTGCGTTGACTAAGTACTGTAACACTTAGTTTGAAATAAAATATTTCATATTCGCGTTAATTACTCAACGGATCAAATGGGATATACGAGTAAAACGACACATAAAAAAACACATAATTTATCTGTAGTTGCGTATTAAAAAATCGTTTATAGCCAGGTTTCATTATACCTAAGTTTTATTATAATATAGGTATACGTATATCCACTGGAAAAGATTTAAAATAAAAATAAACTTATTTATTTTTGTCATACTTACTTTTATCAAGTACTGAAATGAATACAAATAGAAACTTGAATTCAAATGACTGTTTGACATTAATAAAGTCAAGACATTAGCTTGGTCTTTATTTATTAATTAAATAATAAACTACATACTTAATTGTTTTGAGCACAGGATTAATAGCTAAATCATGTTTAAAATATTCTTTTTTTGTCTAGGCGGCTTGACAATATGTTATACTCTAATTATTTGAACTCATTTGGTACCTTTGAAAATGGCTTGAATCCACATCCGCGACATTCAAAAATATGTAGGTACAAAATTCCGAGTATCTTTGCAAATTACACTCTTTGATCAGACCTTGCATTAGTCTTTTATTTTGTGGTGATTTTTTTTATGGGCGTCATTCCAGTGTTCTGCCAATGGCGCCAAAATTAATTGAGCCGGCGCTGAGTTGTTATAAATTTTACGTTGATTTTGTCATTTGGAGATTCTCATATCTCATCCCCGTAACTAGCTCCAGAAAATACGTTAATTGAAATTAATTCAGTACATACAATCTACTAGAGTAGCTCGGTGGCGTAGTGGATAAGCGCCGCGGCCCGCGATCGTAGTCGTTAAGCAACTTTCGCAAGGGTCGGTCACGGGATGGATGACCAAAAAATTATTATCTCGAGCTACTCCGTGCTTCGGAAGGCACGTTAAGCCGTTGGTCCCGGCTGCATTTGCAGTCGTTAATACCCTCCAATCCGCATTGGGCCAGCGTGGAGGGTCATGGGCCATCCTCCTTAACCATCCATAAGGAAGGCCTGAGCCCCTGCAGTGGGGACGTAAAAAGGGCTGGTGGTGGTGATAAAATCTTACTAAATATTGTGAAAATAACTATAATAAGCAAATTAAATGTGCCTGCTTATTATATTTATTAATTGTAAATAATGTGGATTATTTAAAATATGACGCTATTAATGACCTTATATTAAATATATTTTGATTATTATATTTAATAAATTTTGCATGCACAATGCTACATTGATATTTAAATCTTGTTCGATTATTTAAAATATTACCTTCGAAATTTATACCTATATTTATACGAATTAATTTTTATTTTAGATAGCCTTAATTTTCGGTTATGGTTACGTAGCTCTCTTACATCTTTACGATAATTAATAATAATAACGGCCAGGTGCGAGTCGAACTCTCGCAAGAAGGGTTCCGTACTGTCTATAAAAACACAAAAAATAATGTTTGTTGTATGGGGGTGGCCCCCATAAATATTTATTTTATTGTTTTCAGTATTCGTTGTTATAGTTGCGACCGAAATCGTCATCTGTGAAAATAATTTGTGAAAATTTTAACTATAGCTATTTCGCTTCCTAAAAACTATAATTGATGTTAATATTGTGTGACGTCATAGAACCCTACGTATACGTACCTAATTCGGACTCGCACAAAAATTATTGAAAATTTATTATACTTTGTGATTATGAATGTGTAGGTTTTTATCCACGACTAATTAAATGTCGCGGAATATATATAACAACATTTAGTTAAGCAACAAATTATTGAATTCTCTTACCTGATAATAAAAAAAAAATAATTTTACGTTTATCCCATCAATTTTTCAACCTTATTATACGTACACAAGAATCATTTTACTAGACTGTTATAATTATGCGGACAAATTGTCATATTCGCCCACTCGTTTGTTTTATTACAAAATCGCTCGAAATAATAGTTGATTTATAATGTTATCTTAGACAAGTAGAGGTCATGAAGAATAATATATACAATTTATTTTTAAATATTTTTTTTTGTCACGATTAGCAAACATGTTACTGACTTAATACGCAATTTATGCATTATATTACAAATATAGGTAACTCTCTTACCTTAAATGTCATAGTTCGATTATTAAAAACAGCGTCCAGTCAAACAAAACCTACTTCAAATGGAAATAAAGGTTTTATTTATTGAATCTCATCATCATTGTGTTATAAATTATATAAAACCTATTTACCCGTCTAAAGGTATATTAGTCATCTTTATTTATTCACATATTTGTGTATATATCTCAAAACTCCATATTTATTGGTAAGGTCAGGACATTTTTAAAAATAAAATGTCACAACTCGAAGGCAATGACCGAAAAAGGATGTTAATTTGTTTCTTTTTATTAAAAATATTCTTTTAAAGGGTTACTTGATATAAATTATGGCGGCCGCAGTTTTAAATTATATTTTAATCGAAATAAATGGAGAATAATGAAATTTCTTGTAAGGTAATTAATTATTAAAAATATGTAGTTATAGATTATTACATCATTCAATTCAGCTCTACAGTTTTACAATCAGGCGAGGTAAATTTATAGATTCCTAAAAAAAAAACGTTTTTGCTTTAAATACTTCAGTAATAATAACACTTATTCACACTCAACGTTTTTTTGGTATTTTTGTAACCATAAAGGTTATTGCTTACAAAAATACCAAACATAAAAAAATATACATTAAAAGATTAAAGATTTATGAGGTCATCATTATATCCACTAATTACGACCGCGCATTATTTTAAAATTTGCTATTTTTTTATAATTATCTGTCTTAATAAGTATGGTTTTTATATAACCGCTTGTTATGTTTCATTACAACAGTATTCCTATTGTGTCATATACATTTAAATTGTTATTTTAAATAAAACGTTTACATTTATCGCGTTTGTTTTGTTATATGTTACACATAATATTACGATTCTTTACACAAAGACTCGAATCCACCTTGACTCATGTGAATATTTTTAAGCTAACATTTGTTTATCATCGAACCTACGATTATAACGTTATAGCGCTTATTTAATAAAACTCAACATTAATTAATAAGTTCTAATTACGTATGACTGGGATTCTAATCATAGAAGATTAGAGAAATATTTTTTTAATAAAAATGAAGTTGCCAAACGTCATTGCGTCAATATCGAACTCAACTTTTTGTCGATGCTGAGAAATGCGTTACGCATACCCGCTGTCCCTAGCGCGGCTTCGTCGGGTTATGTGGGACTCCCCTGTCTGAACCTACACCAGAATGGGGCTGAGCGAGGTCCCATTCCATGAAGGAGATGCACGAAGACAGCCGAAGACCACTTCCCTTGCCAATCGCCGCCATTTCGGCCCACCTTTATATATTATTATATATACTTTATATATTAGTATATTGTATTATACTATTTTTGATTATTATATTTAATGATTAACTTATTGCAAGAGTTATTAACATGCGGAATTTGTGGGTCATAATCGATTCAAAGAAGTCAACCACATGACAAAAAAGAGAAACGTGTTTCTCCTTAAAATATTTCAAGGTATGTAATATAGATTCTCCTGGGCTGCTGAGTAGTTTTCATTTAAATGCATCTATAAAAACAACGCGACATGAAAAAACTTCTTTATTTACTTCACTAAAAAACGAACTACCTTTCTAAAACATTGACTTATACGTATTTAGTACAAGCATTCCAGATTAAAACAAAAATATGATGAAAATTTCTTTCAAAATGCTTTAGTTATGTAATATCATACATGTGTATGTATAGGAGGTATATATTTCATGTCATTCAATCGCCTTTTTTTATCTTTTATTTATTTGTGAAAACTTCTGATTGGCGTTATTGATAGGGGCAGATAATGGCGTATTGCTCGTCAACAACTATTTTTACACCCTACATATAGCCAGTTGTAGAAACGTCCATTACCGAAACAAATTTTCATTAAACATTTATTAGATCTTTAAAAACCCGCTTCTTCTCAGGATAACTAAAATTATAACAACTTTAATCTACGAGTTTAGAGCCATGACTCAATATTTTAAACAAAAATGATTATTCAAATTTATTTGTACCCTCGTGAGATTTATAGGTCTATGTTTTATTAATTAACGAAAGGATGATGCTACGCTTGCACGCTGTATGACGTATCTACATATTAGACTCTAGATGCCCGTACAGCTGTAAACATTTGAGCGGTTAATTAAATTATTTTTAAGTAAAAGAAAAATATTACTAATAATCAAAATTATAGAACAACGCTTTTATTTTTTTTTTAATATAAAGTTTTTACACAATGTCGCGGGTGCTTTATCTGTCGTATGTGATTCGTAGGTTCTTAAACCCTCATGCCCTGTTAACAGCATCGCGGCAAACCCACGTTTACTCATATTTTTCATGAGGAAGGCATCCTCCCTTAAGATATTTCTGATGTTAGCTATCTGTGAAGTTATTAGTGTATTATAATATAACCCTGTATATTTGAAAATGTTAATGTTGTTCAACTTCCGTTGTTTATAGATTCAACCGACGCGGGAAATATAACATGGTATTGTTTATTTAAATTTTATCGATAACTATGTACTCGATATAATATAGGTATTTATACGTTAAGTGAACAAATAATTCATTATGGTTTTACTTAATTTAATATTTGTATCGCTTATATAAAAATAATATAAATTAACTTTTATAAAATACATTTGTGCTTGCGCAATTTTATGTCCGAGATAACCTTTTAAAGGTAAATTAAGTAATACCTATTGTTATTTTTATATATAAAAATAATTCAGACAGAAAGAGCATAATTAAATATATATTTACACAATAATTTAGTTACATAAAATTATTTTAAATCTAAATATAACCGATTGATTTTCATGTTAGTTGAATTACAATTGAAAACTAAATTTTTATCCATAAAAAGTATTGTTTTCTTAATAACTAATTTTATTTTTAATAAGAGTTTATTTCCAATACTTTTGGTATGATTTCAAAATGCTATTAAAATTATTAAAATATTTTTTTTTTAGAATTGGTGAATTAATGACAGTAGTACTTGGCGCTTACCCTGCTTGTTCAAAACGCAGATAATCCATTATGAAATAAATTTAAAATTTCACATGCTGAAATCACAAGTTTTTCAGTAAAATATAGTTAGGCTTTTTTATTATTTTCGCTTACATTATCGCATAATTTTTAAAAATGTCCAATCCCTTTTTTGTTATTTTAATTTATTTAATACCTTCCTTAATGCCACATTAAAAGTTGCTTGCTTATGCTTGAAATTTCTATTTGTTTTTTCTAGGATTATTTTATTTTGCTGCCATAATTTATAGGATTAGGTAATGCAATATTAAAATATGCAACATCAGTTTAAAATTTTTATGTTAAGTATAACACTTGAATTAAATACTCTTTGTTTTGCGAGTACATAATACATAAAACATTCAAAAAATACAAAGTTCATTCATTATGTGTGCTTATACGGTTATGTTTATTTATCCATATGAAAATGTATGTCTCATTAAGTTTAAGTGTTATGGATAGAAATAAGTTCTTTCCTTACCCGCTAGTTATAAGTCTTAATTTTTACAAACTTTGATATGAGCACTGAATGCGGATTTTTTGAATGTGGGGTGAAAAGATGTACTGCTATATATCACGAGTTGATGAAAAAGAAATGACAGATATACGTTTATGGTCAGATAATTTATGATAAAAGCTGGTAAGTTTCTTTCGCTTGTTCTTCTTGTCAGCTAAAAGACGTCCTGAACAAGTGGTAGGGGAAAAAATATTTTTGGACGATTCAAAAGTGCTTGTAACAAGCTTACTTGAATAAAAACATTTTCATTTCATTTCATTTAGCGGATAAAAACTTAGAAAGTTCTCATGCCACTCAAAATCTGAATGTTTATATTTGCTATCAATTTTTAGTAAACAGTCTACTTCTTCTTCTTCTTCTTAACTTTGCGTCACCACATTACTGCCATAGTAAACAGTCAAACGGAACAAGAATTTGACAGTGTCTCGTACGTTTATTGTAAGATCTAAAAAATAAATTTTATACAGCTCATGAATGGTACACTTGTGTAAGATGGTGAAGTGACCGGAAAACTTTAAGAAATAATAGAAGTTTTCACAGAATTTTCTGACTTTAAATCTTATTTGAAACAATATTTGTGACTCAAGAATTCAAACAATGGAAATGTTAAGAGATGAATTACATCTACGTGATCTCTTTGTAATTTATTACAGATATAATTTAAATGTGGTGCAATCAATTTCACAAATATAATAAAAATTTAAAACACACATCTATAGAAGTGGCAGAGTTACCGATGAGGAACATTTTTTTTCTACTGTAAGTTTTTCTCAGAAAAATATTACGATGTTTACAACTAATAATGAAATGATCCTAATTGAATTAGGACAATGTTAATTTTGTGAAACTTATTTAGATCAATACAATAGGTCTGAATTAAAGACGGACTCAACAGTTTTGTTGTTTTGCTAATCTTCTTAGTTTATTTTGCTACACAATTTTTTCATATCGTAATTATCTTTTATTATTTATCATGACTAAAAGGATATAAGATTGGACGTTTATGGCGTAGTTATTTGCAACAAATATTTTTATATAATTTTTATTTAATAAAATATTTTTATATATTAAATATTTGATTTGGCGTTGGTTAATGCATCTGGAATTTATGGTGATGCACAATAAAGAATAATATTTCTAAATATACCTTCCCGAAAAATATGTATATTTGCCTTTTTATATGTTAATTATTACATTAATCATGTTTTAAAACGCTGTCCTGTCAAATCGTATTTTTGTAGATACCCGTATATTCTTGGTGTAAATGGCTTATACTGTTAAAAGCAAATGCAGTTCATTAATTATTATTTATTTTTGATCTCAATTAAACATACACAAATGTTATTGTCCTCGAAGGATTGGAGACAGTTTTATTGACATCACTAGCTTTCCGCCAGCGGCTTCGCTTGCATGGTTTCTAGAGAACTGTTTAGTGGGATAAAAAATAGCCCATATGTTAATTCGGGCTTAGAATTATTCATATACCAATTATCATCAAATTTCGTTCAGTAGTTCTTGAGTAAAAGTAACAGACTCATGCGGGAGATCTGTGGCACAATAGTAAAGTCATTTATAGATATGATTATCGAGTTTATATTATGCCCTAAATTATGTGTAATTGTATTGAAATGTATAAATAATTTAGAAATTCTAGAAATAATATAAATGGAATGTTACTTTGCAAGCCGCGTGGCATGACAACAATAGCTCGCCCCGCAAGATGATAATTTACTATAATTTCCCTTTGCGTCAATTTCGCACAATCACCGTCGCAATAGCATTGAGAGAAACATGAAAATAATGTATATTCAACTCGCGGGTCATTGTTCTTAAGATTGCGAAATTCTAAATATCATGATAAGTTTTGTTGTTACCTTTGAATTAAATATTGAATCGAATATTGATGATATATAGGTTTTTTTTTCTGTAAACCGTTTATTTGACACTAGAGACCCTCCGTGGTTTTTACCGGGAACCATTTATCACAGTTCACTTTTGTTTTTCAAAGTCACATCTTTACAAACTGAGGTAGAGTATAATTTAAGGCTCAGATTATTTATATAATCTCAGATTAAGAGGATTAATTAGTTTTCAATAAATTATTTATCAAAATAGTACTTTCCATTAGTAAAATAAAACAATGATAATAATACGAGTAACTATAAAATCATTTCTGAAAACTACCAGTTAAATTAAATTGTGATTATGATTAATAAAAGTTCATTATAAGTGAAAATAATTATTCAATATAAATAATTAAATAAATTGACAAAAAATGTCATGTCAAGTTTTTTTAAATAATTGTTACAATGATTTGTCGTCAAAATATTTCATGTTTTAGCTGATTCAATTTTGCGTCTGTGTCATTTAGAATCACACATTTTTATAATTATTGAGTATATGTAGATAATTATTTTTATTATACGTTTTGTTTGTTACAGGCGCCATAAACAATGATTCTGGCAAAGCAGAGGACTCCAATAAAACTGGTGGTATCAAAGTGGTACAATTGGCGGTGCTGCAGAAACCGACCAACAACGAGCATGACGATTCCGATGGTGAGGGTAATGACCACCTTTTTTTTATTTTAAAACATTTAATTGGGTGAGGGGACGTTGGAATATAAATTATTTTATACAGAACAATAAATTTGCAACGTTGTTTTAAATGTATCTGTACGATACTTTGTTTCTGGGCCGCCGAAACGACGGGTCGACCAAGACCCGAAAATTAATTAATTTAAGAAATAAGTTCAAAAACTAAAAACCCGACTACAAATTAATCACGCTCTAAATAGATTGCGTAGTCGTGTGCCACAACAGTTTGCTTTGATTTTTTTATTTAAATAATTTTTAAATTTCCTGAGAATAATATAATATTATTATTTGTTTAATCACATGATGTTGCTTAATATTATATATACTCAATATTATAAACGTAATAACTGTTTGGATATTATGTTAACAGCTGTGTGTAGGGTAGCAATAAATTTAGTGGTGGAGGTTGAAATCATATCAAAGTATTACCTAAATAATTCAAAAAACAAATTTGTTCTTAATTTGCAATAATGAGAAAGTATTTAAAATTAACACACTTTGAAAATAAATTCACTAGATGTCGATATCATACCACACACGGACCCTTACGATATCATACATTTCTCATATTCTAAACCTAGATGAAACGCTTGCGTTATGGAAATAAACAACGAAAGTAACATACCTAGACCTGACCAATATAGAAAAATTACTGCATTGTACCAACCGGCAATTGAATTATCAGAGATGGCGACACCTTGAAACTAACGCGCGAGCCACACTTAGCCATGGAAATCGTCAAGAAAAAAAATATCTTTATCCACATGGCGGACTAAATCAAAAATTACTTATAATTTATTATTTACACTACCTTATAATTTTGGGTTAAAACTGAAAATCTATGCTTTGTGTAAATATCCATTAGGTTTTTGGTTCATTTACTCTTTTTTCTCTTTCAGTTTTAAGTTAAAATTTGTGTGTGTACAAATTGGTGCAAATGTATTATCTATCTACTCGCAGAGAAACCTGGCAACAAGCATGGTCTGGACGATGACGAGGAGACAGATTCTAGTGGTTCGGTATCAGATTCAGCTGCCAACGACTCGCAGGAGGGACGCCCGCATGTCTGCGATGTTTGCGACGTTAGGTTAGTATCATGGACACCCAGCAACACATCATGTTATTTAAAACAATTCAAAAAATTTAAATCTTAAATAATAAGTAATTAAATATTACAGTTACTATCCAGACTCAAACAAACTTAATAACTACTTGGTGTCTATGGAATACTTAAGTAATTACCGTGTTAAATCGTCATATTATATCTCTTATAGGTATCGAATTTATATATATAACCGTGTGGGGCGGGCTAGATATGATTCCTGATTTATCGATTATTTTAGTACTACTATTAGCAGAAGTTAGCATCATCACCCATGAAATATGAATTCCAATGAGTTGCGTTAAGGTTTTTAAGTCAACAAAACCTCTTGATTGTCGAAACATGTCTCGATGCCGCGAGCATTGAACTCGACGTATATAGTACAATGGCAAAACATAAGTTGTTGAGATCTTATTGCGATGAGATTATTGCGCATCAGAATCAAAACATTATCATTATATTATTATTTGAAACAAATCTAAAATCATTTATAGAACATGTTAAAATCTGAAAATAATTTTCATACTCAAAACGACATCTTCTGTCATGGCGTCGCCATAACGTCACGCTCGTCTAGATCTAGTTCTATGCATAAGGTTCAATTCTCCAAGTTCTGATATGAGCAGAGAGGGTCATAGTCACGTGACAACGAGTATAAAATATTTGTTTTTTTTATAATCAATTTAAGCAATATTATAAACATACTGAGCATATTATCGGTAATAGTACACTGCCAGAAACAAAATCTTTATATTTAATTCCGTTCACTATCTACACCCGTATTGTGGTACTGATGTGTTGCCGCGCCCTGGTTAGGTTCCAGCGGTCGTCCCACCTGTCGCGGCACAAACTGACCCACACCGGCGAGCGGCCCTTCACGTGCGGCGGCTGCGGACGATCGTTCGCCAGATCGGACAAACTGCGTGTGCACACCAAGATATGTGAACGAGTCAGTATTATCCTTATATGTATATGTGTATGTTAGCCACAGCTCGGAAGTAGGGTTTCAGAATTAATACCACACATATTGTCTAAACATAAATGTATTTAAATCCCTTTTACACAATAATCAATAATCCTATTGATATTATAAATGTGAAAGTTTCTTTGTTTGGATGTTTGTCGGTCAATCACACCGAAACTACTGAACGGATTTTGATGAAATTTAGTATACAGATAGGGTGTTAGCTGACTTAGATAATAGGATACTTTTTAATCACTAAACATTTCCCTAGGGTCCACGCGGGTAAAGCCGCTGGCGAAAGCTAGTAATCAATAATTAACATAATTAAAAATAGTATACATTATTTCTGTATTAACATAACAATTTGAAGAAATTATCTTATAATCTGCTCTCATTATGTTCCACGTATAAGATAATATATAATAAAGTATTTTTGACCTCTTTCCTTGACATCTCGAACAAGAATGCCCGCTGTACACTAGCAGGTATTCACGTAACACACGAGTATCGATTTCCGAATGCTTCACGAATAATCATATATATATACATATTATGGTGTCGATTATTATAAAAGCTAACATGTATATATTTGGGTAAACGAACAGTGACAAAATACAGTATCATTGTACATTTTTCAAAATAAATCGATAATTTTGCCACCAATGACATTTATTATGATGTAACAAATGTGGGTAGTAGGTATCTCCAGTTAGAACAAAATTGAATTGATTACGTATACCTACCAATACCATTAAAATAAATGTGAACCCACTGTTGTGTTGTAATAGACTTGCGACATTACATTTTATATTGAGTAATATGTATACTGTCCGTACCATCCACTGATTGCACGCGTCATATGAGTAAAGAAGACGATGCGTGCCGATGACGTCATACGGATTACTTCCATAGAACTAGGTACATTCTTTATTTCGCAGCATTATGTCCAAACTGTCGAATGGTACTTATACTAAAAATTCTGATGCAGTGACCGTTTGACATCAGCAAATCAGTACAATCCGTTGTATACCGTATTGCAATATTGTTGTCACATAAATATTTTGTAATGTAATTGTTTGCACGCCATGTTTCCACGATATATCAATTCTCTGCAATGAATTTTGACCTCTACTCTTAAAATGTTAAGGTTTAAAATAGTGTGGAGAAAGTTGTCAGATTTATAAATTTAAATGACAAAGTATAGTTAGAAAAATAATTTTTAATATCTTTCTAATAGTTTGTTTTATTATAAAGAAAATAATATACATAATTCTTCTCCTAATAATTAGTTACTACATTTTTTTCATCACAAAATTTCTATTATAGGAAGACCCAACTGTGGACATGACCAACGAGCCGATAACAAAACGTGAGAACAGCTCTGAAGTGATGTCAGGAATGGTGAGGAGCACGCATCGTGAATCCGGACACTTGGTGTTTACAGCTAGCGGTGACGTCATGCTGCCTCCGAGGTAAGTGTTATTAAATGTCATCCATAGACACATAGAGCCTTTTAGAGCCGAACTTTTATAATTACTTATTAATATTCCATAATTATATTTTCTTTATATCTAATCCTTTGCTTGGTGTGCCTAACGGCATGTGTTCTCTTACGTTTTCTGCTGTATTCAGTCTGCAGTTACCCTTAAGCAAAGAGGGCCTAAGAAACTTAGTTATCCTCCCATCTTGCTCGTTTTGCGACCTCGACTTCTATGAGTTCATCCCAAGGGTGCTTTGACCAAAAAAAATATATGTCGAGCTCCGTCGTAGAAGGCACGTTAAGCCGTTGGTAACTGCTGCATCTGCAGCTGTTAACACCTTTCACATTGATCCGCACTGGCTCCGCGTTATGAGTCGTATGGCCCACTCTCCCATATCTATATATTAATATGTGAAGCAAAAACTTCGAACCCCTTTTTACGAAAATTGCGAGTATTGTTTATTGTGTAGGGTAAACAAATCTTTTTCTCTTCGACATTTCAGTAATTTAATCAAAGAATTTTCATTATATAAATTATGTTAAATAATTTCTAATTGAAATTTATTGTGGTCGAATTTCGACCACTGGGCGATCACTAGTTCTATTAAATTCAAAAGGATATGTTAGTGAAGTCTGTGAGTGATTCACATGTCCCATTGAAGCTGTCGGCATTTGAAAACACAGATTTTTGATTGGTCCTGGTGTGATTCCTGGGTTGGTCAATCAAAAAAATCAACTGCTCAATATTGTCTCTGGTCAAGGTGTTGTGGTACATTCGTTGTGTCAGAAGTCGTTACTAAGGGTTACATTGTTACTAAACTCTGTCCTGGCCACCGTAAAAAAAGTTCAGTTCCCCAAAAATCACCATTTTTGCATTTCCTATAGCAACGGTTTACCTGCTTAACTTTCTAATTTAAAGCTATGATAAAATGCACTAAAACACAAAATTTACATAAAAATGAAAGAATTGCACCACTGCGCTCATATAAAAATATTAAGTGAAATTTTCAAAAAGGGGATAATTTTGACGAAAAGTTTGCAACATTTATAATTTTTAATGAAAACTTAAAATACATACGTGGTCCCTAGGGGAATGTTTAGTGGGATCCTATTATCTAAGTCAGCTAATACTCTCTCTGTATACCATGAGTGTAGGTAGATTATTGATAATTATTGATAAATTCAATTGAGTTCATAATAAGATTAATAAGTTACCTAAATTTTTACTTATTATTTATTTGTATGTTTACACGTACTTAACCATCAGCCTTTATACGCCTTCCTACGGTTTGTTAAGGATCCTCTTTAAGAGATTGTTAAGGGCCATGGCTCGCCACGCTGACCCAATGCGGATCTGAGGGTATTAACGACTGCAAATGCAGCCGGGACCAATGGCTAAACGTTCATCCGAAGCACGAAGTAGCTAGAGACAATAATTTTTTTATCACCCATCCCGCGATCGACCCACGCGAAAGTTGTTTAACGACACAGAGCCGCTCGTGCATATACTTAATCACTTAAAGTTAATTACGTTAGTTCACGACATGAACAACGTGTGACGTCTAATTCCCGGTTCAAGTTCCCGTCGCTTGATGGTGGTAGTGACTCTGAATGATCTTGACAAATGAACCGAATTAATAATAGGTATTACTATCTATTTATTTATTTTATTAATCTATATATCTTATACGTTTATTACATATTTTAGTTAGTAAGTATTTATTAGTATTATTGTAGTGTCTGGTTAGTATTGTAGTTCTATTATCAATTTCTTTGTGAATTCTTGAATTTTTTTTTATATTTACAATGCGACCAATTGTAATTAGGGTAAAAACTGAAAATCAGTGCTTTGCTCTTTAAGTAAATACTCACTGAGTTTTCGCCCATTTGCATCGCTGCGGTACACATACTGTTTAAGTTATATCTTGTTCTCTACTATTAATTATTTCTGTTTCTTAATAATTTATGGAATATTTTGTAAAATTTTATGTATTCACGATGCTAATAAAGAATTTATCTATCTATATACTAACAGAGGCCCGGTGCTACTGAACTCCGGCTTGGACCCAGTGAGGAACGAGCTCCACCCGGGCGACCTGCTGGACAACCCGCCGCGGCGCGGGCGCGGGAGGCCGCGCAAGACCCCGCTCCCGCTCACGCCCAAGATCAAGAAGAAGCGAGGACGCCCGCCCAAGACGTCGCTCGGTGAGTGTGTTCGTATCGACATGTTGTCGTAAGTCCCGTTCATTGCTGATGCGCTGCGGCCTTGTCTGAATTACACCCGCGTGACGTCATTTGAATACTAGCGTTCCGCCAGCTTCTTAGCCCGCGTGGTCTTGTATTATACATTAAAATCTTCCTTTTGAATCACCCTATCTATGAAACAAACTGCATCAAAATCCGTTGCGTAGTTTTAAAGATTTAAGCATACATAGGGATTTTATACTATGTAGTGAAGAGATGAATTAATTATTGAAATATTTATGGATAGTCTCTAGAATATTGCTATATTATTTTAATAAAATAATAAATTTGTCAATTGATTGTATGGATTTTTGCAAAAGAATCAATTTATATTTAAATAATGAGTTATATCGAAAATAAAAAAATATTCATTTACTTTGTAACAACATTATAACAAACGGGAAGGACATTTTTTTAAATATAACGGAAAGTAGTAACTTAATGAGAGAAATTAAATATATTTATTATTAGTGAAATTATCTTTACTTATTGTGAAAATCAAAATAGCAGTTGCTATTTTAGTCAACCACAACAAGTAACAACAAAACTTGGAAAATACCAATCGAAACTCAATAAGTGTACTCATCAAGCAGTGTTTATTTGTTCATTGTTTACGATTTTTAACGCAATTACGTCATCAAAATGGCGGCCATGTGCATTAGCAATTTACGGGGATTATACTGTTTACACAAGCTACACAGATACTGTGTCTACGGTAAGTGGCCTTGTGTATCTCGCCGGTCAATGGCTCACTTTAAAGTGTTGTGATCGTTTGATAGAGGTAAGTTTGTTTGGTTCATTTATTTGTCGCGTCAAAGGTCGATCCAGTATAACTAGGAATGAGAAATGTGAGTAATTGCAGATTGGTTGTCTTCTGTGCATCGTAGAGATGATGTGGTGTAACTCCAAGTTTGCGTAAGTACCGTTTAGTTTTCTTGAATTTGTGCCGACAAACTTGTATCGTATAAGTGAGTACTATCATTTAAATCGTGTTAGGAAAAAATACTTCCACAGCCGCCAGATTTCGTATAGAATCCCTCCGACTTAATTTGTAAAGCGCATCTAGCATGAGCAGCGAGCCAGATACCGACGCGTGAGACTTCGCTAGGTGATATTGAGTGGTCCTCCACAGTCGATGACGTCACGCCGGCGGATGACGTCAAGCCGGTGAGTGACGTCACGATGGTGGCTGACGTCACGCTGGCGGGTGACGTCACGCTGGCGTGTGACGTCAGCCAAGAACCCAAGGGGGTGCTGCAAGATCTATTGGTCCCCCTTCCCGCGCGCAGGCCCCGCGGCCGCCCCAGGAAGCATCCGCCGCGTATTGTACCACTGGTACCGAGGAAACGGGGGCGGCCGCCTAAGATACGTATAAGTAAGTTTGTCGTTAGGATATATACATATGTTAGGATATATTGTGGTACTGAGTCTCGACGACGACCCGGTGGAATGGAGAAGTTTTGAATATATCAGATAATGTATACATGTTTAAGATTCTCAGGAATTTGTACATAGTGCCATTGTCCTTATTTATAATTAAATTGTAATGCTCTGGAGTCTCGATAATGATAAATCCACTTATCATTATCGAAACTCCAGACCGAAACTTGTAATCATTTATTTCCCGGCTTCGATACTTGGTCCAGTGAATATATGTGGGAAAAAATCTCTTATGTAATCCTCTCTTGGCGGCTGCGGTATGATTTCCGTTGTGATAGCCCTAGTTTCGTATATTGTCGTATACTGACGGGCGGGTGATGTGGACAGATATGGAGGGTTGCGTGCTGACGGGTGGCACCGTGCTGGGCGGGGGCGGGGGCGGCGCGGGCGCGGGGGGCGGGGGCGCGCATCTGGCCGCGTCGCCGCAGCAGCTGCTGCTCAAGCGGAAGCGCGGCCGCCCGCCCAAGAACTACTTCATGCCCAAGCCTGGTCAGTGCTGTCTCATTGTCACACTCATCTATCTACTCGTACATATACACCCTTACATAAATATACAGGGTTATCTGTGAAACGCCAGGAACCTCGCAGCATTAGCCAAAATGCTATTCTACGAGTTTGACTATAACTCCCTTTGAACTTACAATTTTTTATTGTACCGTCTATATATTTGTTATGCCGACTATTCAAGATCTGCGAGATCACCGGTGTCTTTCAAATAACCCTGTATGAATGTTTGGTAATAACGTAAAATTTATGTACAACAACAAAATAGCTACCTTCGTACAGGAACGATATTATGGCCTCTACCTACTACTAAAATTATAATATTTACAGAAAGATTCTAAAATCACTCATATTTATAGGACATTGGGAATCATTTATGTTAGACGGATCTTGTTGAATTTAGCGTTTCTTATCCATAGCAAAAATGCTATGTTCATTAATGCTTTGTTACATATACCAGTTGCAAGAAACTTGCATGGTGTAAATGAGCCTTTATACATTATTCACATGCAAAATAAATCTGGGCTTAACTAAATTGATATTACAAACAAAATATAATTTGCTATCGACCATATAACAAGAAATAAGGTTTATAAAATTCTGTGTTAAGATATTATATTCATGTAAATTCTACATTACAATTCACTTACAATGGGAGCGATTTCATTCCCCTATTTCTCCATACACCGTAAATTGAGTGTATTTGGTTATTTAGTTTACTTGTGTATTTTATTTTAGTTTTTCTTTTTCACTATTTGCGTGTGGTTTTTTTTTGTTCGCTTCATCGCCTCGCAGGATCCTATTCTCTTTTGTTCTTCATATAACTTTAGTTTTCAAATTGTTTTTATAAAATTTTGAGTTGTTATTAATTTTAAATCCAATATTTTTAATTTGCAACTCAATATAATAAAAACTTTATGTATTATAAAATAAAGAATTAAAGAGAATGAGTCCCTCTGCCGTTTCTTTGCTAACCACAGTATGTCCTCTAGGTATGGACTTGTCAATACCGTTGCAGTTCGGCCTACACGCAGACATGAACCTCATTTGTTAGTACCCTCCACATGATTGGCATGACCGGTCCAAATTTTGGAAATCCTTGCACTGATATTAATTATGTAGTCACAAATAATTGATATATCCGAGGCTCTTTACAACATTTCTTTAATTTTCCATTGGCAAAATGAAGATGATAGCATGCGTTTGTGACTACCTATTAAAATTTAACGATTGTTGGTTCCAAATACCGTTATTTACTTACTGATACTAAACTAGTAGTTAGATCGCACCCTAGTTAAGGTATGAAGCACGTCGCAAAACGGGTCGAAAAATACAAATGACATTTGGTATATTATATATTTTCTAACATAGTTACTTGGTATGTTACTAACTTGCCTGCTTTGCCGTTACTAACTATTAAAAACTATGTATTTAAAAATAATAATATGTTATTTATCTAAGTAATTTATCATTATTAGTTAGATACTAAAATATTTTGCATTTCATTAAGTGGTTTAAAGGTTTTTATTTGTAGTGAAAACACTACTTACGAATCCCCGATTAAAATATTTCATCATCATCAGCCCTTTTAAGCCGATCTTCCAAATATATGGTTAAAGAGGATAGGCCTCGACCCTCTATGTTAGCCCAATGCGAATTGGAGTAATTTATTCCATGTTTCAAATTATTCATGAAACGATTAAGAAATTAATCTTTTATAACTACTAGTCTCGATTCGGACCCATTTTAATGACACTAAATACACGCCACGTTTCAATACAAAACAACACGATTTCAGACGGCCGCCCCAACGAGAACTACAACGCTACGAACCTGCCCTTCGGCGATTTCTCCTATCTGACAGAGATGATATACAATCCGCTCTCGTACAACTACGGCGTGACCAGCGTCGACCCCGACAGGAACGTGGACGCGGACCAGACTATGACGTCAGAGGCGTCTCACGACCGAACCATTGACGTGTCCGATTCCTCGTCGGAAGACGACGACAGTACTAAAGTGGAGCCGGAGGAGAACGTGCCGCCCGTCGCCATGGAGACGCAGATAATGACCGTCGGCGACTGTCAGATAGTGAAGCTGCCACCCACCAACGAGGAGAAGGAGGAGAAGCTGGAACAGCCCGAGCAGCCCCAGCCGGCCACGTCCACGCCCAGTTCGGTCACGATAACGCCCATCACGACGGTGGGCGATTGCACGATCAGACCAGTCGAGAACACCTAATACGATTGGGTCATTGTCTACCCCGTGCTGATTCGAGATTAGACCGTTCGTCGGTCCGTTTTGTTTTTCGGATGGAACTGACACTCCCGCGTCTGTTGACTTAACGAAATTTACCTTTTTAATGGAATCGGAAAGATGAATAAAGAAAACGAACACATCAATTATGTACCCAGTGTGTTTTTATTTAGTGGCATTTGACAATCGATTAGTTTTAATTAAATTTTTATTCATGATGCGCGGGAGACGATTAGGCTTTCGCGATAGGGGGGTAGACATTGGCGGGCAACACCCACGTGACGCATATATTATTGTGGTAGCATTCACTGTGCTTTCAGAAAACCGCGGCAAATCTGCGTGTTTTTTCTATTTTAAATGAAAAATAAAAAGTATACAGTTTCTATGAAAATGGCCTTGTATGTGTGTCGGTGTACTATTTGGGTGTTAGAATGTCTTCCTAATCGACATGATATATGAGATGTATGCTACTACAATGATTCGCAACATCGCTTTAATTAAGCGTTCGACAAGTCTCCGTCGAACGTATGTCGAAATGAATATATTGATGCATTTAGATTGGTGGTGAAATGTAATTTATTGTAACGGGATACTTGTGTACCGTGCGCCATAAGCTTTACATGTTTAACCGTGATACTCAGTGTTTTACAATTTTATGTCGGAACAAATTGATGTCACAATTTACGGCAATGTTCTATGTGTTAATTATTTGTGTCGTTCATGATGCGTGGAAGCCCGCGGGGCTGATTTATCTGCCAAATGATCTCGACGCAGTACAGAAAACTATGTTGAATTATAATACTTAAGATAATTAGGACAAATTGCATCACAAAAAAATATATACTTGTCTATTGAATATTGAGATGTATAACTTTTTTTAAATCTTCTTTTACCATTCTGAGAGTAGAAGGCACATAGTGTTTAAATATTTTCCCTCTGAGATCTTATCGATGTTGATATAATCTATAGAGTTATCCATTCGATTTTCACGTAGAACATTGTATGCCATAGACTTATAGGATTTTAAATATATAAGGATGTGCGTGCACTGGTGATTTTTTATTTTTTGTCATAGTCACTTATTGTTTATGTCTTTTCTATGAAAATAAACTTATTGTCACATGTTAAAGTGCGCGGGTCGTCGCAAGGATTCTCAATCAAGGTGACAGGAGACAAAAAGTGACTAGTGTGCGCGTAGCCTAAAGGTTTCTTGTACACCGAATGCGTGACTTCAGCAGCGCTTCAGAGTAAACTTGGTGCGAGACTTGCATAATTTGATGTGTCATATTGTTAGTGTGTTTCAAGTTGCATGTGCTGACATTCTAACAGCGCCCCCTATACGCGTTCGGTGGGCAGAAGCGTTTAATAGAGGCAGCGTATTTACGGCGTTCGGCGTCGAACTATTTAGGTATACAATATTTATAATCAAATGTGCACTGTGACATAGTTGCCTTTGATTTCGTACCGGGCGTTTTTAAAAGCGGGCGTTCGTTGATCTGACCCGTTGCTATTAGAAGCCGCCCGCTGTCGCTCGGTAACCGCCGTATAATTAGCATCTGATTGGCTGTCTATTACGTTAAGTTCAAATTATTTTTATAGTAAGTATGTGCGACAGTCTTTGTGTAGTTTAAGTACACGCTATTTCGCCTTTTCCATGTTCTTGTATCAATCTCTGTGAATACTAGATCGTAGATTGTAGTGTCTTAGATAAAAACTTAATATTCTAAATATTACAAACTCGGCAACACCACACGAACAAGTGATACGACGTAAGCTACTTATTTATAGCAGAATAAAATATAATTGTATGGTCATAATAGTATGTGTACTCGTACTAACATATATTTCTCTAATCGTTTTGCCCGTAAAAAGCAATGATTAACGTATCGTAGTTTAATATCTCATATATTATACATATATGTATATTTAAATACATGTAATATTATACACAACACATCTTATAAACCCCATAAGGTTTGACAGCTGTAATAATGGCCGCGCGTCGACTCTGTGAGACAGACCGCGGCGGCGGCCGATAATTTTTAATTATATTTTTTATAGAGAAGCCATTTTAGTTCCTTAATATTTTCTTTACCTATAAAATCACAATATGTACCAGAATCGATCCCATGACTATTGTTGTTTTTTAAATGTGGATTAATTCTTCATATATAAAAGAGTTGTACGTCTTGAAAGTATTATACGAAATACCGACGTTTAAGATTATTATTATTATTTTCCTTATCAACCTGTACAGTAGCATAGTTCCTAACTTGTAATCGATACAAAATATAATCCAATATAGTAGTAGCTATGACTTAAATTTATTTCTCTTTTAATCATTTAGATTTTAAGGTATACCTATTTTATTTTTTAATGTCGATCAAATTTTAGTAATTATTAGTGTTTCACCTATTAGTGATATGATTTCGAATCGTTTATAATGCATCATTTTAAGTTTTAAACATATATTGTTTGTCACGTTTTTAATTGAAGACTGCTCGGAACCGTGTACTATGTTATTTGTTCTGTTCGATCGCTTATAGTTGTGTCGTTAAGGTAGCCCACAGAGGCAATCGGTCATGAGTCTCAGACGGCAAGCTAAGCTTCTTGACGATTATTTAATATAGGAATCTGTATTTTTATAATGAATAGTATACTAAGTTGATTATACACGATACAGTTACTCTCATATATAACGTAGTGAACATGTATGCCGGTAGTTATAGTGATACGCGTGTCGCGTTACTTGATTATGTTCTCGTTAAGTTTCTCGTTTCAAAGCAGCGGTTGACGCGTCGACATTCGCCCTACAGGGGTCCTCCCCCCCTCCCCTCCCCTCCCCCCATCGCCCACTAGAATATCGTCCACGTTGATGATGAACTGTGTGATTCGTTACAATAACAAATAGTCTTGTAACATAATTATTGAATGCTTCCATTTAATCGTAGTATGTTGTTATCATCACAATAACGTAATTTTTTAAATATTATTTTATAGTTATTTTGTCCCTACCCACTGCGATGTCGACGCGTCGCTCCCATGGTTTCTCTTATTTGAAATTATTGTAAGATTTATTTATTTCGGGTTGTTTGAGCGAATGAATATGGTTAATAAACGACTGCATTTATATTTAATTTTCTGTTTGGTTTTTTCGCTATTATTGAAACTTTCAAAACTGCCCACTGATCAACATAATACCTATACCTACATACATTTTTTTTTCTACTTTTTTGATCTTAATCATACACAAGTGTACTAATTTATCAGATACCGTTTCGATATGGAAACAATCTTAAATCGAAAGTTTGATAGCCTGAAATAAATAAAGGTATACCCGATGCGTAGGTTTAAGACTGTTTCTATGTAACATTTTAAGCATCTATGTATTATATTGTTTTCTTAATCATTTGTATTGTCGGATAGTTAAGTCTACGCATTATATTTTGGCGATAAAAAATGTTTTTAGTTTTTATGTCAAAAGATATAATAATATTCCTGAATTGTGAAATGTATATTCATTTTACGTTGTGATCATGTGAGTGCAAAATTTTTATTATTTTATCCAGTTTTCGTTGACGGTATGTCAATTTAAGGGCAGCAGAAATAATTATAGTGTTTCGTTCTGCATAGTCCAAGAGCAGTATTTTTTAGATATAATCTTTATTATTATAAACTTTTTTATTATTTTAACATTTGAAATTCGATCGTTAGTTTATTTCTAACAATGAAATATTTAATAAAGAAATCACAAAATTTTTATCAGACTTTGATTTCCTTCTTCTTTTATTTTATTATCTGCGCATTTCGCACAATTCTGCCAATGTCAAGTGAAAAAATAATTTTCTACATGTAAAATGATATGAATGAAAGATTTTTTTTTCTAATATGGACATGTTCCGTTATACACGGAAATTTTGTCAAGTGAAAAAATAATTTTCTACATGTAAAATTATATGAATGAAAGATTTTTTTTTCTAATATGGACATGTTCCGTTATACACGGAAATTTTGCCAACATCCCGTAGTGAGAGACACGTGACTCAAGAGACTGAACGGTAGTTTTTTTTTTAATATGGACTTGTTCCGTCTTGAACGGTAGTTATATTATAATTCAATATATCCTTGATCTACTTGTCATCAAGTTAAAACAGACAGTTTTGACAGTCGAAGATTCTTCTTCTTCTTTTTAATTAATGGCGTTGCCCTTGTGGATTTCGCCAGAATCTAGTGTTTGCGAATAAAACGAATTTTCTCTTAAATGAATGCCGGTTGATATTAGAGTGAAGAATATCACGCATAGCTCGACGTAGGTGGCAGCACGAGCATAAGAAACTTTTGGAAATAGATTTCCTCGCTTTTACATTCAAACATGCAGCAATGCTTTATTACTGTATAAAATTATACTCTGTAAATAAAAAAATATATATTCGATTCAAATATATATCAGTTAGCAAATTACCGCAGTAATCCGAACTATGCAGTACTACACGTTAAGTTGCTGATGTATTGTATGTATACAGCGTGTTTGGTAATACATGTATAATACCGAAACATGGCCATACAACTTAGCACAAAGAACATAATTAATATGTCAAAAAACGATTTCACGTAAATTGAGATTTTCATACAAATATTTGAACAATTTGTTTTCAATTAATATTCTACAACCCTGAAAGCTTACACGTGCCGTCCCAGCGTACTCACTCTCTCTCTCTCTCTCTCTCTCACACACATTACGTCTCACTCTCTCTCGTTTCCTAGAATACACTTTGATTTCGCCGACGCACGCACTTGACTGCGTATGAGTTTACTTGTAATTAAAACAATTTAAGATTAAACAGGTACATACCTAGAGGCAGCGTTCTAATCACTCTCTCAGCTCTCACTTGTCTACATTACCTACACTTCACCTCCACTTGATCAGTCCAAGGTCTCGATATGCCGGCCACCGCATAAAACACACATCTCGATTCGATTCGACACAGACCGTGTTACTCTCGACGTAAAATCATATCCTCTCTCGATGGAATAGGTGTTCGGCCGGCCTTCCTGTATCATACTATGGAATGAACCAGTTGTATGTAACCGATTCACAAGTGCCGCGAAGCACTGTTAAGAAGGAAGACATCGAGGGTTTTCAGATCTTCCTGATACGTGGCGCTCGTCATAAAGCCGCCGAGCCGCAGCAAGATTACCGTCACAAGCACCAACACACAATATCATCTTGTAATATTAGGCATTTGAGTACGAACTCATTGCACTGACCGCACACAAACACAACACACAGGTAAACAGAACGAGTATGAAAAACAAACCAAAAGTCCCGAAAGAACGAAAACGTAAGTTGACCTTCTAAATTCTGAAAACTCACAAGTACCTACACCGATGAAGGTCTCCGACGCGACTGAAGCGATGACCAAAACTACATAGGTAATTATTACAACTCGAACACCAATGTAAGTACCTAAATCAAAAGTGCACCGATTTAGGGTTCCGCGTCATCAAATTCTGTGTTAGGTAACCTACCTAACAAAAAATCGTTATTTTATTATTTAATTAAACAATGAAATTTCAATGAAACTTATTATACTATTTTTTTTTATTGACGAAATTGATAATTAGGCTGTTTACTTATTATTACAATTTTATTTACACTTTTTACCTAATTTAAGACCAAGTCATTAACAAAATTATAAGGCATAAAAATTATTGATTAAATTAGAAAAGAAAAGAAATATTATTTATTATTAGACCTTTCCATTACAACTTTTATTTAACCTTTATTTAATTATCATTTAAACTAAGAATAAGCGAGATATTTATAGATTATTAATATCATTGTATAAGTCCGTATGTTATTGTTTCGTGAAAATAACACTGCTTTATGAAAAAAATAACAAAACTTCAAAGCAATTAATCTACAGAACCTTACTGACACATCAGAAGCCCGAGTTTTTCAATACACATCGTCGTCGATTATATTTCTCTGTCGCTCGTTCTTGCATAGACTAATGTGAGCAATAGTGCAGATATCTAACTTCAATCAAAGTATTTGCAATTTCTTTTTATTTTGACTGTATTATTAGAGAAGTTTTCTTAATAATAGTTTTTGAAACACCGGTAATCACAAGATTGGTGTACTTTTATGGTTAAAAGTCATTTACTACTAACTTTTTCTTTGTTTTGAAATAATAAATTTTCTAGGCATTTATCTTTAGATTTATTTAACTTCTGTTATTTTTTTAAACTAGTTCGGCACATGGAATCGATGACCAAATACAACACAACAGCTGTTTTAGGGTCGTCAGCGTACAGTTTTACTTCGAAGAAAAAAAGCTAAATATCTAGGTCATGTGCTGGGTTTCAGACTTAGTGATCATTTTTCTGGGTTCTATTCATCATTCCGTATGTGCCATATTCGGGATTATACAGGTATTACCAAACACGCTGTAGATGAAATTTATCAAACCAAATCCAAATTTTATTTCATGGAACACGATAAAAAAAAACTATAAATACCACAAGAATTATTTATTTCATATAAATATAAATTTATTTTTGGATGACAACACTTCAGTATTGTTAGCATAATTAAACACTAATTATTGACTAAACATTATAAGATAAATTTTAAAGACATATTCTGTGCGTTTAAGTCCCCGGCGGCGGAGGGGGGCCGTTGTTGACCCATTGGGGTTGAGGTCCAGGCATGTTGCAGAAATTTGTGCCAAACACGGGGACGTTGTGTCTGAAGGGCGGGACGACGGGAGTGTGCATTCGAGGGTTATCACCGAATTGGAATGGCGGCGCGCGCATGAAGGGTGGAGGCGTCGTAGAGTTAAATGGCGCTGCGTTCGGATTGAACGGTGGTGGGAACATCGGCGGGCCATTAAACACAGGCGGGGCACTGAAGGGACCTGAGCGAAAATCTGAAGGCCCTCTTTGATCGACATTATGCAGACTTCTCATATCCATGTTACCGAGCCAAGGCCTCATGCACCTCGGAAACGAATTAGGGTTGTTCCTTCTAGAACCAGCCGAGAAAGGATTGCGTCCCCTGCTCGGGCCACTACCGAATCTACTGCTTGATTCTGATGGTCTTTGGTTTCGTCGGACATCTGGCGGCTTGCGACTCTTTGACGTTTCACCATTGGCCTCGTCCTCATGTCTGTTCTGGCGTTGTTCTCTGTTTGCTTTCTTAGCTCTTTTTTCTTCTTCATCATCTGAATAATCGACCTGCGAGGGTGGAGGTTCCACATCGTTCAGCCATGATGCATCAGATCCTTTGACTCTGTAAAACCACAAATATATTAAAATTACTTCATTTATACTTCTTGAAAACTGACTTCTGTACCTACACTAACTGCAACGTGAGTCTAATAGATCTTTGTAACAAAGCATGGTGATGTGATGTTCTAGTTTTTAAATATATTATGCTTGTTAAAATATTAAATACTTACTAATATGCAGTAAAATAAATTAATTTAAAAAACTTATTTTCGAAAGACATACTTCATAAGTTCACTTAAAAACACGTAGTTTGTGTGCTGCTCATTCCTTGGTGCAATATAAACATCCATTCCTGGTCGTACACCTCGCTCTTTCACATGGTCTTGTGAGTTAAATCTTACACAATAGTGGGGTTCTGTTACCTGAAAAAGAAAAACATTACTATTATTCTTAATGAATAATGCTTAAAAATCCTCTATGCCCCTGGCACTCTGAAATGGGACTCAAACCCATGACCTTTCAACATCCAGGTGATTGCTCTAACAACCACTGAACTACCCAGAACCTAACAGCACGCATAGCATGACAAACTCGAGAAACGCTTTGTCTACACTCATTTGTCAGTTTCTCAGGTCGAGAGTGAGATATCATATGGGCGCACCCGAGAAAAGTGACATTGAGTGTAGACAAAACATTCTCGCGTTCGTCATGTTACGCGTGCAGGACTGATGAATTTTTCAAGTACTTGTTACTTTTTCGCTACTATAGAGCATATTTTCTTTCAGACAATCCACCCAAACAATTGTAAGAAATATTTTTACAAATATTTCAACATTAAATTAATAAGAAAATTAGTTGTAAATATAATTTTTTGATTCACTTTATTACTTTTTCACTACTAGTGTACTTTCATCAATGTTAGAGCAGTCGCCCAGATTGCGAAAGGGTTTGAGTCCCATCTCAGAGTGTCAGGGCCAAAATGGTTTTTTAAGCATTTTGCATTAAGATAACATTAATTAACAATTTATTATATACTTAACTGAACACAATCAAATTAATTGTGTTCAGTAAAGTATATAATAAATTGTTAATTCCCCTGTTTGTCGATTCATACTGTGAAAGTTGAAGTTGAAGCATCAAATACTTCACAGATAAAATAGTTGTATGAAGGTGTGACAAAACGCCAATATGTAAAACTTCTTAATCAGTTCATCAACAATTCATTTGTGTTCATTCACCTAGGTTTGCATCAAAGAAAATGTACCATCACTGAAAGTAATTGATAATGAGTCATTTAAAAAATACAAGATAGTACTGGCGATCATACTTTCATATTTTGTATATTTATGGTCTAAGAAAGTTTAATCTGAAATATTAAACTGCACACAAAGTTATTGCTGGTGACTAATACTCTATTTACTAAAAATACATAATTATTCTCACATACAATCAGTGAACTTACTTGGCCAAACACATCAAATACTTTTCCTAATGCTTTTGCTCCATTTTCAAGGAAGAGGACACTGTCTAAATCTACTGCAGGTGTTTCGGGCAAGGCTCGGACTATAACTGCAAAATGAAAAATCAACCTGTCATAAGATGCACTTAAAATTAATGAATTGCATAAATTTTAGCACTTTTAACTGTTATTTATTTATGTTATTAGCTATTTCACAATATATTCTCATACTTGTGAAAGCACATTAAGAAACTGCAAACAAAACAATATTACAATACCTAGCCTATCAACAATACTAGCAATTGTTCCTATTTTTGTAGTATCTTGTGCAGGCAGACTGATTGCTAGGTCTTCAATAGGTGGCAAGTCATCAAGACCCAGTTCACCATGAACTCTTGGAGTTTCTTGTTTTTCTACTCGAGCATTCTCTTCCTCACTAAAAGATAAGAAAGAATTGGTGTTATAATGATGGTTTACAAATCATCTTTGTTTCGTCAAAAACTATTACACAGCAAACTGCAAAATACTCCTTACAAAGAAGCCTAAAACGAAAGCTTTTTAAATCTTATACAAACTGACCCACTAGAGATCTCTTCTATGTCCTTGACAGAGTCAATATCACTGTCACTGGAGTCACTAGAGTCCGAGTCACTGTCCACGTCCCTATACTCAGTCACCTCATACTCCAACACACCACTATCACAATTGTCTATTATCATATGCCTTGTGGAAATGTCTTCCCGGTCGCTCGGCTGCGACCGAGGTCCATGTGCACATGCATTAATGATGTTGTTCTTCAATACCATTTCACTGAGCTCCGCGGTGTCAGAATCTTCATTCCCGGTATTGGACTGGCTCTCTGTATCATCCGAATCAGAATCTGATGTACCATACTGCGATATTAAACTAAGCGACACATTTTTATTGTTGCTGTCCAGGTTTTCCATTGTGGGGAACGATGCGTGAATCCGCGTGTACAAATGTACTATTTCCTTACCCTATATGAGATTACGTAAAAAAATAACGTTTTATATGTGACTTTGGTAACAACTTAATCGATTCTATTTATTCTTGAGACAAAAGAAATTAAACAGACAATGGAAAATATGGAAAATCACCAACCAAAGCTCACAAAATGAAATGACATTACGATTTGACATAAACAACATGCACGATCAAAGAGCATAATCTAAGCCTAGAGCGAGTTCGTTAAGATTGAATATGGATTGAAGAGGGATTGAATCATCAATAAGGAAGTATTTAAAAAAGAAACATTAGTTCCTGAAATCAAACTAGATGTCACTACAGTACTTTCTTGATTTCTCCATGACAACACTTTCAGTTTTCTTTCATGTTTTCAAAACTCAATAAACAACTCATATTCTTTTTGTACTTTTTCGTATTTGTATTGATTTGTAAGTCTCGAACTTTGCAATTTTCAGTTTTTTAATATATTAGTAAAAGGAGCGGAGATGACTATCTCTGGGCCAATCGTTTCCTGCAAAGATCAATCTGGAAAGTTCGAAACCTCGATATCAATAGAAATACGAAAAAGTACAAATAGAATATGAGTTGTTTATTTAATTTAGAAAACTAATTTACTTTAAAACATAAAAGAAAACCGGAAGGATTGTCATGGAGAAATCAAGAACGTACCGTAACGACATCTAGTTTGATTTCGGGAACTAATGATTTTTTAAATACTTCCTCATTTACTTTTGTTACGTCAGAACCAAAATTTGAAGTTTAAGTTAGCAGGCACATCAGTAATCAGAAATATCTCGAATTCTATTGAAGTGATAAAAGTTCGTAGTATAGAAGTCACTAATTAGTAAAAATTTTATGACATGTATTTCAAACTAATGGGAATCATATATCTAGTGTGCCTGCTACCTAGATATCTAGTTTAGATCTTTCAATATCTCTTAATTTACAATATCTCTTATTTTATAGATCACTATTTATAGCAAATAACAAATAGCAAGTTATAGTATATCATTAGTGACACTGTAAACAGGGACGTCGCTACTGCCGTATCTGCTACGGCACCCAACATGCGTTAGCAAAAACTAATAAAAACTTCCCAAATTTCTTTTTATTTCAGAAACGACAAAAGTAAAAAAAAAACAAGTAAAGCATTCGTTTCAAAATTGACAACACCATACATCGGTTTTCGCGGATTCCGTGATTTCTCCATTAAAATAATTTACTTCAACGGGGGAATCTCAGAATAATCGATGTACATACCATATTCAAACATTTATTTTCTTTTTGTGAGAAATCTGTACCCTTCATAAGGGCCCCCAAACAAATTTTAAACGGGGCCCCGCCAAGGCTTGCTACGCCACTGACTGTAAATTAAGAGATAGTGGAAAACGATAAGAGTATCGTCATCACATAATAATATCCAAACATTAAAAATACCCATTGCAGTAAACTGTTATAAATTTATTGTTAAACTCACATTTTTCATATATATTTTTCTTTTTTTAACATAATATAAGTCTTAGGAAAATGGACAGGTTCTCGCTTTAATAAAAACATCAAAGGCATTACTATTATTTAGGTGCTAATTATTCAAAAGGCGTTGCAGGCAGCAACGTTCCTTCGCATTTTCCGAAACCGATTCTAACGCCATCTAGTCCAGCGGCGTATCCACGCAGCGTGATAGTGTCGCCATCTTGTATGAACTTCCTCTCTTCACCGTCGACTAAACGGATGGGTTTTGTGCCTCTCCACGCCAACTCTAGCATGCTACCATATGAGTCGGGAGTCTGAAAGGGGAATAAATAAATATTAGACAAAATCAAAATACATAAGTAGTTGATGTTTTGTGTTGTCACTATTTTATAGAGTTGCTAGTTTTTATTAGAAAAATCAGAAATAACTACATTTCTGATTTGAAAAGAATATAAATAAAGAGTTGAGACTTTTAAAACAGTATTATTTATTTATTTATTTTAAAGTGATGCTTAGTGTTATAAAATACAGAGTATATCTCAGATCTAAAGGACAGTACTCTATTATAGAGTATAGTTGGCAACCCTTTTTTGATAACGCAGGAGAAATTAACCTAAGCCTTAAACTAGAGCTCTGACCCCGCTCCTGAAAACGACAGGCTTAAGCGAGGCCGGTGGCCCTACTGTTTTGTCCAAAATATTTTTCCCATCCGAAGTCAAATGAGGTAGCTTTGCATACGTTCTAATATAACGACACGTTGTGATCAGCGACGCCGTCACGTCATCCTAACTTCACTCACGTCTCCACTGATGGTGCCTGACCCGAGCAGGTCCCCGGGCCTAATGTTACACCCGGTGATGGTCTGTTGCGCGAGCTGTTGTTTAACGGTCCAGTACAGGAACCTGTAGTTGGACCGACATATCGTCGTCACCGCTGGAGATTTGCCCGCTATAAAATATGGGAACAATTGTAATATTTAGAATCACCATCGCCAGTTTATTAATATGCAAATCGCTGGGGCGTAGACCTTCCATATAGATGAAATCGAATAGATCGAGATAGCAAATTTTTGGTCACCCATCCTATGATCGGCCTTAAATATTAATAATAATCATTAACATAATTTGTAGGAAATCATAAGTGAAATGCAGATAAAAGGAAAAAGAAACAAATTGGAAAAACAAGCATTGGTTTTAATTAAATAAAAAATTAAATATATTAAAACGCAAAATCGTTGTAACAGACGAGAAGGACATCCTCCAGATATGGCGACACAAGACATACATAGATGAAGTCAATTTGGAAATTTCGAGTTCGATTTCCTGTTTGATATTTATTTGACTCTACTCTTAATATTGTATCATATAAATTGTTATATAGCTAATCAGAGAGACAAATAGAACTAAAACACTCACACTTAAGGTCCACTTCCAGTTTGATATTAAAGTTGAACTTGTCGTCGTGTTTTAAGTAAGAGAAAGGTGGCGGATCTTGCGGGTAGTTGTCAACTATAGCGGGCCTCAGAGCTTCCACCGTCACTATCCACGGTGATATCGACGTGCCCAAGTTCTTGGCCGTGAATGGCCCCAAGGGTACATACTCCCATTTCTGTATGTCTCTAGCTAAACAGAAAGGTAAACAAGTTCAGTTTTAACTGACCTCTAAAAATGGCTTGTTTGCTATCGATTTAAAAAGGAAGAGATTATTTCCAAAGAGGTTCGTTTCCAAATAATATTATATTTTTAAATTTTACTATATATTCTTGAATGTTTTGTTTATTGAATTTTCCAAAGGAGTCATATCCATAATCCATATTTCTTCTTTTTCTATTTACATATTCAAAACTCAATGATGGCGAGCTGATTCTCATAAGATAAAAAAATATTTGAATTTGTTAACTGACTAAAGTTGTTTAGTATATCTAATATTATAAAGAGGAAAGACTTGATTGTTTGTTTGCATAGGATAGACTCCGAAACTACTGGACCGATTTAATTCTATCAAAATTCTTTCATCCACGGGAAGCTACATCATACGAGCATATATAGGCTAATTATTCTAGACCTCACTCATATAAAAACAGTTGGTTTTATATAAGTGAGGTCTAGAATAATGAAGGTGGACGAAATTAAATTTGCTTAAAGGGTTATTTTTAGTCAAAGGTCATCTACATAGACGGAACATAACAGTGACAGTAAGATCATCATTAATCCTCGTTTGCGCAGATTAAATCTACCAACCCTGACGGTGACAGAACGTACCTACGATTAAAATTTATAATGAGTTTTGGTTAAATAAGCATAAGGTGTAAAATACAATTCATTAGGTGTCCATTTCGCTCATACTCGGCGGAGATTAAAATCATTCTGATTGTTTGATATTTGTCAGGCTCCGAAATTTACCCTTCTGTACATTGCAGTCACATTGGTTGTATTTTAATGACACGTATCACCGTTAAAGGTCGTCAGATACCAGAATTACGTCATTACCAGACGCGTGACAATCTCACGTCATTTTTTACAGGTCGAGAGTGAGTTAAAGTATGGGTGCGCTCGAGAAATATGACATTTGGGCGTAGACAAAACTTTCTCGAATAGAACTTACCGCTCCAGTCGTTCATCAGTACAAAACCGAAGATCCTGTCGGTAGCTTGTTGAGCGGTTACTCGCTCGCCCAGCTCAGTAGGCGGCCCGCCCACGAAACAACCCATCTCCAACTCGAAGTCCATCAGGCGGCACGGGCCGAAGAATGGATCCGCTCCTGGTATAGGTGACAACACATCAAGTTACTTACTACAAAAAGGCCAATTTTTCTAGTCGATTTTATGTCTTTATTCTGTTGATAATTTAGTAGTAATCCGATGTGGTGCTGTGATTCAAATGCAGTTTGATAATGGATATAAATAATTCTTATACAGATTTGAAAGCGTCCTTTCCACAGACATCAGGATTTATGCTGTGGTCGCTAGATAAATTAACGGCAGGCCCCGAGCTATAAATGGGCAGACTGGGCATTTGCCTATGGCGCCAATTTTTTGGGGGCGCAAAATAAAAGAGATAATAAAAATAAATGAGAGAAACAAATTGCCTTAAAAATATAATTTTAAGTTGTTATCATTGCTGGAAGTGTGAGTTATGTTGAAATAAATGTCTACATTTTGTGCATGAAAGACGTGTTTTCTTGTTTATTTGCTTTTAACATAGATTATTTGCTTTTACATTATAGTAATAAAGAGGGCGCCGGTAGACCATTTGCCCAGTGCGCCAGTCACCTAAGCCCGGGGTCTGTCTAACGGACCATTGAGTCAATGCAAGTGATTTTGCTGGTTGCTCCTGACGAGGTGCGGACCGATTGAGATACGCGAGAATCGAAATCAGAGAAATATTTCAAACCAATGTTGATGATATAAATCTTTACACAGCAAAACTTTTTATAGGATACTTATCTAATCTCGAAACTCATCGATGGACCTTGAGAAAATGTTAAATTGCTTTTTCACCTAGAGCATTTGCATGTAATATAACGTCATACCAGGGGCGGACTAAGGGGTGGGCCGCAGGGGACGGAACGCCTCCAAATGGATGCAAAGTCCCTTGATGTTATAAATTCGGGTTGGAGGCCCCGTAGACAAATAAGTACAGCCTGTAGCGGGAGGGGGTGGTTGCCGCCCCGGACCCCCAATGGGTTAGTCCGCCACTGAGTCATATACTGATGAAGGAAGAGAACCAAGCGTATACAGTTGGTACCTACACAACTAGATATAACATGTAATATTTGAAAAACAACTGTTCCAGTCGAGGACGGACGCATGTTAACGCTAAAATCCATTTATAAACATGTGATATCAATATACAATTTGAGAAAATATGTATGTACACTATTAATAACTAACCTTCAACTGGCAACGTTTGTCCGTACGGTCGCCTGATCGGGGTGCCTGATATTACTATCGAACTGGACCTGCCATGGTAGCCGACTGGGAGGTACTTCCTGAAATTATAAACTAATAAGTAACTTAACAACGCCGCAACAAGACTTTAAATAGCAATTTCAGATAAGGTAGTTTTAGATAGGTATATTGATGAAAGATATTTTAAAATCAATGCAGACTTATTGAGTTTATAAATTACTAGCTTCCGCCAGCGGCTTCGCCCGCGTGGACTCTAGGGAAATGTTTAGTGGGATAAAAAGTATCCTATTATCTAAGTCAGCTAACACCCTATTTGTATACCAAATTTCATCAAAATCCGTTCAGTAGTTTCGGCGTGAATGACGTACAAACATCCAAACAAAGAAACTTTCACATTTATAATATTAATAGGATTCTTTCCTCTTTTTGATATTATTAGTATAGAGTGATCGTTGGAGTTATCTGTGTTCTGTTTTGGAGGTTTTATTTAAAGATACACAAAATAACTTTAACATCTTTATATATCTATATTTAGGTACGTATATTAAAATGGGTGGTTCGTGATTCGTGTCATGTGGTCAGTAATGTAATGACTGAAATTTTGAAACCACTGGTATAGGAGACTGCTTAGTCAATGGCAAAGATGTTGAAGTTTTAATCTTTTCAGGTCAGTTTCCTTTAACACCGCTAATAGCAGAGTATAGCGAAGACTAGATTTAAAAGGCCCAGGTGAAAACTGCTAATTAAACAGGCCCGCATGGTTTACGCGACGACTTGAGTGTACATTTATTGAGATAAAAAGTTACCTATATGTTAATTCAGACTTAGAATTATACGTAGCTATACCGAATTTAGAAGCTGGCTGGCGTAGTGGATAAGCACCGTGATTCCTTATTATCGTTGTTGTTAAGCAACTTTCGCAAAGGTCGGTCACGGGATGGGTGGACAAAAAAAAATATCTTGTGCTGCGGAAGGCACGTTAAGCAGTAGGTCCCGGCTGCGTTTACAGTCGTTCAATCCGCATTAAACCAGTCTGGAGGGTGATGGCCCATACTCCTTAACCATCCATAAGGAAGGCCTGAGCCCCTGCTTCATCGAACCCATATAGTAGTTTTTGCGTGAAATAGTAACAAACATGGATACACACATCCTTACAAACTTATACTAATAAGATTGCATTGGTAATAATAATCTGACCAGTTGGGCATGAGCGCGTTCTCCTTGCTTCTGAACATGATGCCCACGTTGGTGGCGTGATGGATGGACGAGTAGAAGTCCGTGTAGTCACCGATGTCTGCTGGCACGTGCATTTTCGCATCGATTTGTTTCACGAACGCTCTGCGGGCAGTCAGAGTACAAGAGACTTTATATTGTTTGATTTAAATTTTTTGATTAGTGCTTATTATCTATTATACATCACACTTATTAGGCAACGAAAAAGACAAAATATACAAAATAGACATAACATTATATTTTGTCGGTGCAAGCAAACAACAATTTCAATAGCCATGAACACATTGCGTACATCTGCTTAGGTACCAATAAAATGTAAAAAAAAAATAGAATTCAATCAATAACAAAATAAGGTTTAATATCAATGTGAGCTTGTCAATTTTGGATAACTTGTTGTTCCGTTGTCTATAAAAAGACAAATGTTTTCTAAAAACATATTTAAGTAATAGTAACAGAGAAATTATCATATTTTATCGCTTTTTCAACAATATTAGCTGTCTTCTTACAAAAATATAGTGCAAGACATTATTGGCTTATGATTGCGTAATATTGTGCAACTGCAAATTAATTGATAGACTCACTTTTGCCTGAGCTCATTGTCATTATGCAATGTAGTGTTAGATACATCTAGGAGACTCTGTAAGGTGTTTCTTGCTTCGATCCAATGGGGTTTGGTAAGTCCCATAAAAGAGTTGAGTTTCTCCTCCTATGTAACAATAATAGCAAGTATAATAACAAAATTTTAGGGCTTCGTACCCAAAGGGTAAAACGGGATCCCATTACTGAGACTTCACCGACTCAATCGTGAAAGTTGGACAGTTGAAATTTTTGCAGATGATATATTTCTGTTGCCGCTATAAAAACCAATACTAAGCAGCAGAATAAATTAATTATTTAAGAGGCTACCATACAACAAACGTGTTTTTTTTTTTGGTTTTTATAAATAATTCTTCGGTACGCGAGTCGTACTTTGCTGGTTTTTTAAAGCAAATTACAAATTTGTAATTTATAGCAACCCTTTCAATGCCCCAATGCTTGGAGGTATTCTTTGTTCACAATTTTAAAATAAAAATAATAATCAAATGTTTGAAATAATAAATAAAATATCAAGTGATATCGTAAGATCCTATTAGGTTTCCACAGTACACCTTTTACGTACTATCTTATAGCAAAATTATTACCATATTGGAATTTGTTCGTAAACAAGTTATAAATTATTAACATACAGTTAACTTAGGGTTGCCGACTTCAAATTTAAAAAGCTAGAATTTGAAAACCCGGGTTAATTCAGTTCCAAAATACGGTGCAGTAATACAACAATTAAAGGCATTACAATAATTTGAAGTAATAAAGTTTAAATGCTAAAAGCTTAAAACAAATTAATCAAGACAAATAATACAACTTTACTTAAATATTTTTTCTTCCTTCAAAACAGCAAAGTTCCGTTACGCCGTAATAACACCCGGGAGTCGTCCGTAATGTGAGAATTAAAATATTATGTCATAATAAGTCTTAAGGCGTTTTGATAGCCCATGAATTTAATTAAAATATTTGTAGGTCAAGTTCTAGGAAAGAAAGGACGGTTGGCAGCCCTAAGTTAACCAAGTATATTTAGAGTCAAAGCTACTGTTGACATGATAATTTAAACCCTATTGAGCAATGCTGATCTTACCTTAAATACATTTTGTTTGTCTTTTAGTAGAGGTCCATTGAACAAATGAGATATAACATTAAGGTCCAATATCCATTCACCAATGGCAACACCTATATGTTTTTCATTCTGAAATAAAAAATGGAAAAAATATATTTAAATTGCTAATGAAAGAACGAAAGAACTCTTGATTCAGACGTGAAATATTAAATAACAAACAAGATAAGTTGTCAAGCTAACTTTAAAGGAAAACATTCCTTATCATTTTTGCAAATAGGATTTATTTACTGTGATGTATAAAATGAGGTTAACTTAATTTTGTATGGGAAAATCCGTATCAACACTGTATTCTATGAAAGATTTCATAGTGTTGTCTTACTAGTACTTGGTACACGGTTGAAATGCGGTAACGCCGACTTGTTTTCTACACTTAATATAGCTTGTTATGTAAATGTGACCGAGCCGGCAGCCGGTTTAGTTAGACGCCCGCCGCGCCGGTTGCCGAGCTACTAAATGCTGTAATGTCAAGGTCATAAAGCTGTTCCCTCTGATAACAATATCAGTAGACATATGCTTATGCAGTTCGATGAGGATATGAAACCTGCAGTGAGAGAGAGAGAAAGAATTGTTTTTAGTGAGCGTAATGAACGACTCACGTTTGTAGAAAGTTTTAATGCAGTTTATAGCTTAAGAATAGAATTAGACAAATGATGTGTTATTTGATGGATTCTTTATTTTATAAGATAAAAATGAAAATGGAATTAAAATAATATATCAAATATTACAGCAACTCGTATGGGAATAGGTTGATACTGTATAGATATTTTTTAATAAATTCTGAAATACATTATCCAACATATAAAACTTTAAAATCAACGCCAAAAATTCATTCAAGTTAATACAAGACTATTCATCACATTTTCAAGAATAATGGTTAACTATAAAACAGGATTTGGCCGCTATTTATAGGAGTAAAGTTTTGGATTAAACTTAAGAACAAACTTAAAAATTGTATGTAAGTACCCTTGTGTATTTACAATAACATTGTCCCACTTATATTAACAATTATTACGCAATAACATGTATATAACACATAAATTGCCAAATTGGTAATTTAACCTTTAATACGTAACGGTTTAAGACTTGATTTCCAATTTTGCAAAAACATGAATTGTCCATTTTCAAGCGTGGGATTTTTTTGTGTGACGTAAGTGTTCTAATTAAAACTTAAAATCTTAGTTAAGTATCAATATGTATGGTTAGGTAACTTTGATTTGGATTATCATAAAAATAATATGTATAACGTCTATTATTTATTGATAAATGTCGATTCCAAAAAAATCCTCATGTAAAATACGTTCAATGAAAGATCAGATTTGATTTAAATTATATATTTTATAATAAAGTACATATTTTTTTAAAACACTAAGAATTACTACAAGTCGTAAGGTGTTAATAACATAATAATCGAACACTAACCAACTCTTAAATAAACTATAGTGAAAGCGATTCAGTGGTCAAAGAAAATGCGTTGGAGAATTAAAGAAATATTGCGCTTTGATAAGGTATTATATTCTTAAGAAGGGACGTAAAATAAATTACGCCGGGCAATGAGATAGCAGATGGCGAATTGTTCGTTAAAAACTGTTTATAATCAATTACGAATGTTGTCAAAATAATACATAAAGCCTTGGGCTACAGTGATCAATTTTTCCTATTAAAAAGAGTGCAATCACAACAAGAAATGTAAAAAATTGTAAAAATTCGCGAGTACGTTTGGGATTTCTTTATAGTCCCTTTTTCACTGTGACAGAACCTATGAAAATAAGAGGCAGCTTTCTCCTTTTTAATAACGTCTTATTTGGACGGCTTATATTGGTATATTTTGTACAAAACCAATCGTAAAATATTATTTTTAGTGTAGGTAAGCATACGCGCTAATATCTAAACGAGTACATTAACTAGTTAACTATGTGTTTTGCGCACTTAAATAATTGCAGTGACGCATCATGCCGTTTGTAACAATTTATAAAAATTATCAATTCACATGGTGTTTGCAAATGAAATTTATTTCATAGAAATTCTAATCTGTGTTCGATCTTGTAAACAAAGCAGCACAGCAGGATACCACAATCGTACCAAATATTACATATGTTAAATTGGATTTTGACCTTTACTAAAATACATTAAGGTTTAAATTCTAATAACGAAATTTGACAGTTTCTGTTTCAATTCAATGATAGAAAAATTGAAAATTGCCGTCGTAATATCAACAATACCTACGTGGTAACTTGATGTAGTTGTGCTGGTACAATAGTTGCCGTTAGTTCCTCTAAGTAGGTAGGTACTAACGCCACTACACTTTTGTACAAAATGGTTTCAATTTTGATATACCTAAACTCCAATTATATTCAAGCTTTGTAATTTATAATTATATATCTTATCTAATCCTATTGTGAGGATGCTGTGGGCTAATTGTCTTATTAAAAATCCATTGCAATCTCTTTCAAACACTTCTAAAGGATATACCTATGAATGGAATTATATAACTTTAAAAGTCGCTGTCGCTGTTTGTACGAATGATCGATTCGAATGATCAAGAAACAGTAAAAGCTTAGTTAAACTGCTCGAAAGATTGCAGATAGCATTTCGTTTTCAATAGCTTTAGAAGATATTTGCGTCTAACGCTTACCTTAGAGATTTACAACTAACGTTAAATTAAAGATATCTCAACGAAAGCACTACAACATCCAGACCAGATACATAAATTTGCTTAGTAATCCAGCCGGGAATCGAACCTGATTACTAACGATTAGATCAGCTTACCTTTTAAAAAGCAATGTCACCGATTCATCAGCTCAAAGTATACACCCAAATATTCGCAATCTATTTTGACCTCACAATCTAATGTAATTAAAACTAAAAATGAGAGTATATATATTTAAGTACAATCGGAGAAAAATGAGTTTTAAATAAACTCGCGTGTAGTAGTATACAATTAATAATTGCTTGTTGAATGATGAAAATGGGACCTCTTCTGAGGATTATTTACGATTACCAAGAATTAGCTTTCAATAGCGAGTGTAATGTTACATAGAAACTATTCGCCCTCTATAACTCCTCTTGACTACTTTTGTGTACTCTACATAAACTACATACGGCTATTTACAGTTGGAAGTTGACTTTAGAGAGGACCGAATGTTGCCGGAGTCCGTGTGTTGCATCCTTTTTCAGCGCGAGCGCTTCAATCGAGTCCACGACTGCCTGAAACAGGGCTGCGTTGTCGTACCAAACAGTTGACTACAGAGTGAAGATTGCGGTACCCTACTCATGTGTCTCTGTACTCATGTATAGTAAAAAAGGCTGTAAAACCTAATCTTTGTATGGGGACATACTGCTCTAACTTTTGTAAGAGCAGAGAAAGTTAGATAGGGTTCCGCGGTCTTCTTTCTCTTTCTAATCGATGTACAGGTAGGGGTCTAGTTTCTCTGCTATAAAACCTCTATGGCGGTGACTCTAAGGTGTTGCATTGGTTTTTAAATATTGAAGAGATCTTCTGTTAGCAATCATAATTGGTTGTAATAAGAGACTGAAAATCTAGGGGCATATTTTGTATAATTAAATTTATTTTTCACTTGGACACGATTTCACGTTTAAAAATAGGATAATTCGATTATGAAACAAACGTATATACAAACATTATAATTGTACAGCCAGCATATCAGGTTACACAAAATTAAATTTTCTCAAAATAAAAAGAATCGAACATTTCAAGATTTCGTTGTAATCTGACATGCTGTTGAGTGTATAATATTTATATGTAACAGTCTACAAAAGTGATACTAAATGGATAACTACAATAAGTAGAAAATAAATACAAGTGATAGAATAAATTTGATTTGGCTCGGTACTATGTACTTCAACTTGACTATCAAATATTTGGATTTTTTATTAGCAGGCACTTATTTTCCTTGCTTACGAATTATTTTCGAACAATTATGTTTAAATTGTGGAAAGTGATAGATATATACTTGCTACTTGCTACATAAAGAACAATACTCGGCTAATCATACCCTACGAAGTACTTATATAAAGCAAGTTATATTGTTATAATTTTGTACTTTTACACACACAGTATATAAGGCTCATTATTGCGTCATATAATTACCAGTGGTCGGAATTAGGTAGAGTTATTCATGTACTTACACTGATTTCATACAGCGAAAGAATAAAGTGGATATGCCTCAAATCCCGAGATTAATTTTAAAGAGCAGAAAAAATCCCGTGATTTTTTAAATAAAAAGTTATTTACTTTTACACAATTTAAACTACTGCACGCACGACGTTGCTAAACTTATATCAATGACATCGGATGTCCAAAGTTGCAAAATACCAACACGCGCGATGTTGCCACGAAGGTCCACATTAATATCAACATTTCGATGCAAGTACATAAATAACTCTACCTAATTCCGACCTCTGATAATTACACAAATATATCAAGTTAATAAGTAAGCATATCCATAAATTAGACACAAAATGGGTAAAAATGTTATTATTAATTATTTTTAATAAATGAACATAGAAAACCACTGTAATAAAATGCAGAGAAAAGGCTTAATTTAAGAGATCCAAAGATTTGTTTGGATTAAGATAACGACGGCTTGCATCAAGGCATCTTGGTTTACTTGTAACAAAAGTATGATTAGATTATGGTATTGATATTGACGTCTTAACGCAACGTTTATCTTCACGGAATTTTTTTTTAAGTTTTCGTTTAAGATACTTTTTTACTTTTAAAGTAAGCAAATATTTCTTCCAAAGTACATATGTATATCCGACTAGTTTAATGTTATTTGCATTGCAATTTTATTATTTAAAAAAAAAAAAATCAATTTTCTGTATAACCTTTTTTCCACATTAATAAATAACTAGTGGCCGCCAGCGACTTCGTCCGCGTTTTCCATTATTTCTTCGCTCCTAATAGTTGCAACGTGATGTTATATAGCCTAAAGGCTTCCTCGATAAATGGTCTCTTCAACACAAAAAGAATTTGTCAATTCGAACCAGTAGTTCCTGAGATTAGCACGTTCAAACAAACAAACTCTTCAGCTTTATAATATTAGTATAGATATAATTAAATGTACTTAATAACTATAGATACATATAACGTTAATACGACATTCTACGAGACTGACCAAATGTAACACATAATACAAACAAATCGTAATAAATATAATAATATTAGCTACACAATATATAACGAACAATAGACTGGATGACATCTTTTTTCACTTCAACTTACTAATTTTTAACGCTACGTAAAGTCAACAGCATGTTATGCAAAACTCACAAATTACTATATTGAACCTTAAATTAAAAAATCATTACGGTGTAATTCAGTATATATATGATGCGCTGCTGTTAGGCTTTAATCAAATTTTAAATTAAGATAACTAATTCAAGTTCTAGATTTTATTTATGTAGATATCATGGTCAATGTTGTTAGATATGTTTATGATGAACCTTAGACTTAGTACTTTGTGAACACCCACATAGACAAAACCATTACATGTAAACTATGCCTGAGACTTGAACGCAGTAAGTATGGAGTAAATTTATTAGTTAATGTTTGAATTACTGTCATTTGTAATTATTTATAATTTTTAATATTGTCACTGTGATTATTATGAATTTCTTTGTGAAAGCAGTCATTCTTTTAGTTTAACCAATCAAACAACTCTTATACTGATGTGATCTCGATTTATAATAGTATAGTGTTAGTTTATGTGAAATTGGACTGTTTGATTTTAAGCATTTTAATCTTTCGAATTTTGAATCCTACCAAGAACTATAAGAAAACAAGATTTTATTCATTCTATATAATCAAACCGATAAGATCGAATCCACATATTGTGTGCAAATTGCTATCTCATGAATTGTGCTTTCATACTAATTTCAATTTTGTTCACACGCAACAAAGTCCAATTTCGCATACTAAACTAACTACAATTATTATGAATAAAGAAATTCTTATCTACACAAAGTCGCGTCTATCTGTTGCAACCAGGGCAGAGTAAGTTTCAATTTCCGCCGATACGCTGGATCCGATGCCAATGGGTTTCTTTCCAAGTATATTGTAGCTAGTTTCTTATTATCCTTCAAGTATTCTACTGATGACCAGTCTGCTATTTGGTTGTCGTTTAACTGTAAAAATTCAATAATGTTTACATTCAACTGGAGAAAATAGAAACAAAATTGGAATACATTTTTTGCACAGAAAAAATCTGGACTCATGTAGTCGAGATTACAATTATTAGAAGTTTACAAGTTTTGATTAAATTATGCATATATGTATAATAACTATGTCAACAACAACAATAATATGTTAGCAAAACACTCATCAAGGTTGCAGTCAAGGTAAAGTTCAGATTTGGACATCTTTAATGTACTGCAAATTGTTTACTTTGCATCAAATTCAAATATTATGTTGCAAAAGTCACACAATAGACATTAGGCTACGTTCAGATAACAATTGCTTAATGCATGTTGATTATGCTCTACAAATTCCTGTGCTTGTTAATTTTTTTAAAAGTGGGTAGAACCAGATATATTTGCAGATAGCAGTGGAGTATTCTTATTCGACAATTCTAATCGAATGATGTATTGTAATATTTTTATTTAGTTTGCGTGAGAATATAGAAACAATAAGCCAATAATTATGCATGGCAATTAGGTTTAATCAAACTATAGATGTTTAGAAATATTGGGCAGCATTTTTGAAATGAATGTCACGTACCCATAACTCTTCCAAATTGCTCATATGTCTCACATTTTCTATAACCAAGATTCTGTTCATTGCCATGTCTAAAGTTTGTAATCTGCCTTGACTTTCCAAGTTCTCAATAACTGTAATACCATTCTCTGACAAATACAACTGTTCTAAATTAGTCAGTTGTTCCAGATTTTCGATCTTGCTGATGCGATTGCTTTGCAAGACTAAGATTTCAAGGTTAGTTAAGTCCTCCAGATTTTGTATTTGGGAAATTTTGTTTTTACCTAAATATAGTTGCTTCAGTGATGATAAACCTTGAAGGTTCTTGATTTCCTAGAAAAAAAAAAAATCACACATTACATATGATTTTTTAATGGTATTACATAAAATAAAATTATTCATAAATTCTTAAAGTAATACTTGTTATTTAAGCCTGTATGAAATATCCCCTGACAATAACTTACCCTTAATCTGTTATCACCCAACTCTAGAAGCTCTAGTTTAGGTAGATGGTTCACATTCTTTATTTCACTGATCTTGTTGGAACTGAGAAACAACTTTTTGAGATTCAACAAATTCTCAAGGCCAGTGATTTCTTTGATTCTATTGAAAGATAAATCTAGAATCCTAAAAATTACATAAACTGTTATTTTCGGTGGAAATAATATACAAAAAGTTGACGACAGCTTTTATCTATTATTGGCTACTCACTCGAGATTGACAAGATTATCCAAATTTTCTATCACAACTATCTGATTGTCATACAACTCTAATTCAACAAGAGTACTCAAAGTATCCAAACCCTCTATTTTTTTAATTAGATTCCATCTTAGGTATAATCTGTAAATTAATAATGTGTGTTAAATATATAATACTTATAAAAAGTTGTAAGATAGACAACCAATTATTATCTTTTAAGAATTCTTGTAAATGATCATAGAAAATTATAAGGGTTATTCCATGGCAACAGATTATTCATGTAATTGTATAGTTATGACAATCAAGCTATATATATTAAAATCATTATAACATGATTTGATCATTTTGAGTATGATAAATTAGATTTGATAAAATCAACTAAATCATGAATCATGAAAATAAAAATAATTTGTCTTTATTAAACAATTTTTTTTTGTTTCAATACCATTTTTGTGATCTGTATAACTGGAGAATTAATAGCATTATTTATTACACAGTACCTTTCCAAGTTCCTTAGAGGTTCTAGGTTTTCAATTTTCCCGATTCTGCCATGGTTTAAATCTAACTCTTCTGTGTTTTCGTTAACGACAATTAGTTCTTGAGTGTCCTCATTCACAGGGGGTGGAGTAGCGGCAGGCGGTGGGGAACCTCTGTCTCCGCCCTTATTAGCAACTCCGTCACCATTAGGCACTTCGTCTGCTTCATTGTTAGCCATGGTGATGTCTTTATTAACTTGAAAAAGCAAAAGTTCTATTATAATAGCCATAAATTACAAAAGCATACGATAAATATTAGCGCTTATGTTACCGTTATCAGCCATAGCTCAAGTTTTCGTTGTAAAAATATAACGTGAAATATAAACTGACAGTTTAAGCGTAGAAAAATTACGTTAGAGTAAATATAAAACGTTCTTATCTATTGTATCGCAAAGAATTAATCGTGAAATCACAAAAAAAACATCCAACTCTTCGAGCCGATTTTCAATTGTCTGTCAGTTTGACATTGTCAATGACCAAAACAGTGTTGCCAGACGCTATTATTTGTAGTAGGAACTACTAGAACCTGTATACTACTTTAAAATCTGAATGTGACTTAATTAGACTATGAAGTCACTTTTCATTATAGTACCAGAAATCCTACGTACTCATTGACAAATCAATATACAATATTCATAATAAAAGAAAATGGAGAAAATTAAGTAGTGTAGTGTAGTAGTGTAGTGTAGTGCAGACTCACCACTGGCACCCGTTGACGAACTTGACACATGAGCAGAGGTCGAAATTAGGTAGAGTTATTTATGTACTTGCATCGAAATGTTGATATTAATGTGGACCTTCCCGGTATTTCTTTTATTTCTTTATTTCTTCTTTCCTTATTTCTTTCTTTCATTGATGTAAGTATGGCAACGTCGTGCGTGCAGTAGTTTAAATTGTGTAAAAGTAAATAACTCTTTATTTAAAAAATCACGGGATTTTTTCTGCTATTTAAAATTAATCTCGGGATTTGAGGCATATCCACTTTTTTCTTTCGCTGTATGAAATCAGTGTAAGTATATGAATAACTCTACCTAATTCCGTCCACTGCACATGAGTCAGCCATCGCTTCGCCTCATCTATCGACTCGACGTACACGATACCACCGCAGAGATTTTTAATAGAGCATGACTAATACATAATAAGTAATATATTTCAATAAAACTGATTTCTAGAGTAGGTTGAATAGGAAGTCAATCTATTATTAATAATAATTTTGTAAGAACCGAAAAAGCACATAGCCACTGAACGAATTAACATAACACCAGGCTCGATGTCCGCCGTGGACATGCAAATTCGGTAGCGATAGTAGAATAACTGTATGTGTTTTTGTGATTTTGAAATTTAAAGTATAAACTTTGCTGTTTGTTTCGAACGGACGTTTCTTGTTGATTGCTGAATTTTTATTAAGATGATTTAATTATGAATATACGATTTAACAACTGATCATAGTTATTTTCAATTCTTAATTTCGAAAGAAAAACTTATTTGCACGTTATACTTTGCAAAAACGTCATTCTAGCCAGTAGTCATGTCATTTTGTACGAATACCTATTATACTTGATACATATCGGGTAAGTATATAGATATGAAATGGATTTTTTATTATAATTATCGTTTTAATGACCTTTGTTGCTGATTAATAAACCCTATCCATTAATTCACCACACATAATATAAAAATATGATTGAGACTTGTTGATTGACGAGTTTTGTTGCTATAAGTTCAATAAAAAACTAATAACAACAAACCTAACTTATCTAGTTGTTATTGTTTTCAGAATTTTTGTTAAATATTATAATGAAAAATTCCTGGACTTGGCATAAGTATTTTATTTCTAAGATGTTATAACGGTACCGGTAACGGTTCGCGGTAATATTATTGGATACGTAGTTAAATGCAATTTTTAATAATTTCACAGCATTAATTTCATAACTTTAAAGAAAACCTTCTCTATGCTCACTTCCATTATGTTAGTTTCTATTTTCCTTTATACAAATAATAACAGAATTTTTTTAAGATTAGTTGGTATTTAACGAGTTGCGTTTGCGTCACTCGAACTAATGAAGAAGTACTTAAAAAAACGAAAGCACTAAAAAAGCACCTCCACTAGATGGCGACTTTAGCAAAAGTTGATTTTTGCAGGAAACGAATGGACCAAAGACAGTCATTTCCGTTCCTTTTACCTAACATATAAAAAAACTGAAATTTGAAAAGTTCGAAACTTAGATATCAATAAAAATACGAAAAAGTACATATAGAATATGAGTTTTGAAAACATATTTACTTTTAAACATGAAAGAAAACCGGAAGGATTGTCATGGAGAAATCAAGAACGTACCGTAACGACAACTAGTTTGATTTCGGGAACTATTTTTTTTAAATACTTCCTCGTTGAATGTAAACTCGATATTAATCCGAGTTATCAGATCTATAACAACACTGACAATTCTATTCTTTTTGGTTTGACGTCACGAATGAGGAAGTATTTAAAAAATAAACATTAGTTCTTGAAATCATACTAGATGTCACTCGCGAGTTTTGGATTTTGTTTATGATATTCATTCAAATTTTATTTCTGACGTAATAGATGTAAATTGAGTATTTTCGATTAATAAATATGACATCGTTTTGTGTTTCTTATAATGTCTCACTTTCAAACTTATTTTAATTGTAAGTTTAAGTTGTTTATTATGTTACGTGTAAAGGAACGATGTTTGGTTGATACGTCAACATTAGTGATGAGCCAACTTATTGGTTGCTCATAACTTTCGTCGAATTCAGGTTTGGAATGGAGAACAAAAATGATGATGAAGATGAAGTGTCATTATGCATCCACAAAACGAATGATATTAATATAAATATCAAAATCAATTCAGTCTAGACTGTTACATAGTACTTGTGAAAGTCGAAAACTTTACCAATGGTTTGCAAAACTAAGGCGGGAGATCTCTTACTGACAAGAAACGGCAAGAAACTTAGCAAGGGCTGCTTTTTTAATTTCAACTAAACAACTCAACTATACTATATTTGAGGGATCGTAACCACCTAACGCACACGATACCACCGCAGAGATTTTAAGAGACCATAACAACTCTAGGTACTTAGTAAATAATATATTTCAATAAAACGGATTTCTAGAGTAGGTTGTGTAGGAATTCAAATTATTATTAACAATATTATTGTAAGAACCAAAAAGAACAAACCCGCCGTACGAATTAACTTAACACATGGCTCGACGTCCGCCGTCGACATGCAAGATCAGTAGCAATATAATAACTGTACGTGTCTTTGACATTTGAAATTTAAAGTTACAACCTTGCTGTTCGTTTAGAGCAGAGGTTTCTTGTTAATTGCTGAATGTTTATTAAGATGATTTAATTATGAATATAAGATTTAATAACTGATAATAGTTTTATAAAGTCTTAATTTCGAAAGCACAAGTTATTTGCACGTTACACTTTGCACAAACGTCATTTTAGCTAGCAGTTATGTTATTTTGTACGAATATATAGTATATTTGATACATATCGAGTAAGTTTATAGATAATAAACGGATTTTTCTTAAAAATTATTGTTTTTATGACTTTTGTTGCTGATTGATAAACCCTATTCATTCATTCACCATACATAATATAAAAAAAAATTGAGAATTGATGTTGTTTTGTTGTTGTAAGTTCAACAAACAACTAATAGCAATAAAACTAACTTACCTAGTTGTTATTTTTTCAGAACTTTTGTTAAATATTAAAATGAAAATTCCTAGACCTACTATGACATAAGTACCTATTTTATTTATAAAACGTAATATTATTGTATACCGTAGTTAGATGCCACTATTAATTATATCACAGCATTCAATTGATTTCCATAAATTTAAAAAGCCTCTGTGCTCACTTCCATTATGTTAGTTTCCATTTTCCTCTATACAAATAAAAAATAAATTTATTCAAAGATCACTTTGTATTAATCGAGTTGCGATTGCATAACTCGAACTAGTTAAATTTCAACTCGATATTAATCCAAGTTATCAGATCCATAACAACACTAACAAATCTATTCTCTTTGGTTTAACGTCATGAATTGACGTTTAGATCCAACAATTTGTGCTGCCATCTAGTAACATAATTTTTTGTAGTTTCTTTATTTTTTTTAAATACTTCCTCATTGACATTTAGATCCTACAATTTGTGCTGAATAATTTATTTACTTGACATTGGTAGAATTGTGCGAAATGCGCAAATAAGCCATTTATTAAAAAATAAGAAAAAGAAGAAGAGGAATTTTGGTAGTTTCTTTATTTTTATAAATACTTCCACTTTTCAAATGATTAGGCTGTATGAGCTTAGTACCCTTTGCCTTAGTGTGGGGGGGGGGGGACCTATAGGAATGAGACATAGACATAAAAGGAACGAAAAAAAAAACAATGTCATGGTAATTTTACCCGCGTATTTATCTGTCTTTTTCACGGAATTTGGTCGCCCCTAGATGTATATAAGATAGTTTAGCATTGGCATGTTAATGATTTAATTAACCACTGATCAAATCTATTTGATTTGCCTTCCGCAAGTCATTAAATTGTTTTATTGTAGTATTTATTTGTTTAGATTTGAATGTGTCTATAGAGATCTTATAAAGAGTTATTGTACATAAAAAGTTTGACCGCAAGTGATCAAAGAACGTAATATATGCCCAACCTATTTCGGTTAATTCATATAAAAATAAAGCCATGGAAGTTAACGACGAGCTGTCAAAATTAGAGGAATTGTTAAGTGCGGATTTGTATGAAAATAATTCTACTGATAAAAATACCATTATTAGTCAAGTTAACATCTTTGATAATGAACTTGGTAGTATTAAACTTAGTACGATTGATAAAGAATGTGAAGAAAAGACGTCTGCTGTTCATACCGGCGACACGGATTCCTCAGATGATGAAGAAAAACGCAATTACACTGAACGCAAATACAATGACTATGGTTCTCAGATAAAAAAAACACTTGATCACAGGGCGGAAGAAAACTTGCATAAGAAAATTGAATTTGAAACGAGATTACGCCAGACTAATTTAGACATTAAAGTGGAACGTAGCAATTCCTTTAAAAAGAAACCAGATGCAGCACCATCAACACCAGATCAAGTTAGTAAGGCTACATTTTGTGTTCCCGAAAAGAAGACTCAATCTGCAGATGTATATACTGATCCAATGTTTGGTATACGGATCACAAAACCACTTATTTCTAGTGCTGCTCTACTCGATCGAATGCAGGGCCGTGAAGCAGTTAATATGTTGAGGGTGAAACGTCATGTTGAAAATGAAGATTTATCTAAAGACTGGGTTATAGCTGGTGTTATTGTTAGGAAAAGTTCAACTAAACAGTCACAAAAAGGCAATCAATTTATGATTTGGACATTGAGTGATCTGAAGGATGACTTAAAAACTATTTCCATGTTTTTATTTAGAAAAGCTTATACTGATCTATGGAAAACATGTGAAGGTACAGTTGTTGCCATTTTGAACCCAAATGTCTTGGATAAATCACAAAATAGCAATGATCAAGCAAGTCTTAGTGTTGAAAATCCTGAAAGAGTTATGATTTTGGGACAATCAAAGGATTTGGGGATTTGTAAGAGCAGAAAGAAAAATGGCGAACCATGCACAGCATTTGTGAATGTTAATCAATGTGAGCATTGTATTTATCATGTAAAACAGGAATACCAAAAATATTCTAAGAGACAAGAATTGCAGTCTTCAACTATGGGAAAGGGACTAGTTAATTTGCAAAATAAAGTTCTTGGCAAAAGTACTGTTATTTATGGAGGAAAAGCTTATTCAGCTTTGCCATCAGGTAATGGTAAAAAGGTTAAAGAGAAAGATCAGAATAGACTGATGTCATTAAGTGACTATTACAAGACTGAAAGTAATAATTTTATGACAAACAAAGCACCATATGGAGCTGGACCATTCAACAAAACAAATGACATATTACATAGCCCTAAACTAGCAAGAACCAGTGATAATGAAAGATTGAATAAATTAACAAACTTGAATTCAAGTCCACAAAATAGTTCTAAAGCTTTAACCCAAACTTCTAGCCTTGCAGAAAAAGTGGCTTTCTCACCAAAGCTGGGAAAAGGTTTCGGACTTAAAGGCAGTGGTATGATAGATTTAAATGTGTCTTATGGACAAAAGTCTGCAGAAAGAGCAAAAGCAAATGCAGTAAAATTGATTCAGCAAAGTGGTGGGTTACCCAAAATAGATCCAAATAACACTAAAGGCACAGAAGCTGGTAAGAAAAGGGCTCTAGAGAAACTAAACGATTCTGGGAGTGATGAAAATACATGTAAAAAAGCTAAACCCAATAATGAAGAATTGAAGAAAAAGCCCATGGGAGTGAAGTCTGAGAGATTCAAGAAGATTTTGGAGGCTACTTCTGCTCATCAGAACTTGATTGAACAACATGATGATGATGAACAAGAAAAGTATTTTAATAAACTAGAAAAAAAGGAAGCAATGGAGGAAAAAATGTTAAATACTTTCAAATTGCCATGCAAAGCAGTGAGATGTGCGAAGTGTAAATACACAGCCTTTTCTGCTGCACAGATATGCAAAGATGAAAGACATCCTCTTAAAGTTTTAGATACACATAAAAGATTTTTCAAATGTGCTGATTGTGGCAATCGAACAGTATCATTGGAGTTGATACCTCTTCACTCTTGTGGCAATTGTAGTGGATCACACTGGGAGAAAGCACCCATGTTGAGAGAAAAGAAAGTTACATCTCTTACAGGTGGATTGTCTATTAGAGGAGAGGAGGAAACATTTATTGGTGGGACAGTAAACACAGGAAAAAACATCAATTTGTTAGTACCTGATAGCTGAGGTATTTGGCTCAGCCATGCTTTACCCCTGAAAGATGTTAAGATGGTGTCCAAAGTTGCAATCAGAAACCAATCTCGTTTAACTTTTATATAATTTCAGTAGTGTGTCCATGAAATACTTATTTATTTTTAGTGAACAAAACATTTTAGTTTTTACCAAGTAAGAAAATATGTTGACTTAAATAAAATACAATGTGAAAATAAAGCATAATATAATTTTTATTACGAAACTTCCAGTCAATAACACTGAACCATTCCATAAAACAGTGTTCTAGATTTACAAGATTCTTTATAGTAATCTCGTCACGCGGAATAATTGAGGGCTTTTTTTTTAATTTTACACAGCCTTTGACAATAAATTACTACATACATTTTACAAAACCGATCAGTGGAGCTAACAATAACATTCAACACCAATGTATCATGTGTTACAGAAAATGTATTTACAAAACTTCATTCTTCATATTTTCAAGCAGTGGTCCAAATGTTGCACTAATTTTATTTGAATATATAATTAAAAACTCGAAAAAATTCATCGCCTTCAGGGCACAACAGAAACAATATCATTCTGTTAATTAAAAACATTCATGGACAATAAAATTTATAATCACTGGAAAGACAATATTATGCCATATTAAAATTTATTTTGCATTTATTCAATCATATTTATAAAAAAGCTTATGTCTAGAGTGCAGCCCATTATCAAATCTCGTAAATTGGCATTTCAAACGGATTTTATTCCAAAATGTATAACTTTAATAAATTTCGGTGAAATGGCGATCGACGAGATAACGCAGTTATTATACACGAATGCTACAGATAATTAGGCACTTTATTACCTAAATATAGTTTCTCATAAATCCGCATGACAATATTTATTAAGCTTCTCTGTTTCAATATGTACATACTTTTATAATTGCAGAAAATGAAACGCTCAAGTCGACGTGCCCTCGTAGCTGGCGAGATTTTAACGTTACAATTCTAGGGCTAAGAGATTATAAGGGTGCAAACAATGAACAGGAAGGACCACTGCTACGGTGCGTTCGTTCAGTAAAAAAAGGTATAAAATTATCGGCACGATCATTCCCATTCTGTAGTGGCGGGGGGTTTGGCCGTCAAGTCGTATAACACGCGCGATATACCGGGCACGCTCATCAGCTCCTTACGCATTCTGTCTACAACCTGAAAACAAAACAATATTTCATTGTCTAAGAAGGCATATTGTTTTATATGTGAATTCCCGCGTTTTGCGGGCAGCCATAATGGAACACTGTACGACGTCACATTTCAATAAACTATGATTCTGAGACTTACCAGTACTCATGTTTAAAGAAATGTGACACCACGGCTCGAAAGGGGGCTCGAGGGGGATACAAGTCTGCTAAAATACATATGCATTAAATTAGTTACAAAAACGAAACAACTACAAATATATACGTTTTTGCTACCGTAGCAAGGAATTTTTAGGGAGCGTTTTTAGTGGACTAGCAGCAGATCAACAAATATAGCACCATATTTCTGATGCTATTAATCGGAGACATACTGTTACTTCTACATTATTTCTCAAATATTAATGGACTATATAAGATGCGTCACTATGGCAAAATCAGCCATATAATAACTGCAGAAAGTTTGGAGACACCGGAACATCTCGCGCAAAACAAAAATACAACTAGTGCGTACTTTCGTCTTCTTCATATTTCTGTATGCCTCTGAGACCTGGATCACCGAGTCAGCAGATAGTGAGCGTATCAATGTGTTAGAAATGTGGTATTGGCAGAAAATGTTAGGGGTGTCCTGGACGAAACATCTAAACAATGCTGCAATTTTAAAAGACATCAAAATAACCACTAGACTCTCTACCATGTCTTAGAATTCTTCGGATACATTGTCCAAGAAGGCCGGGGGCAATTTTGAGAAAAAATAATGGTGACTGGCTCTGTGGGCGGGAAGAGAGCTAGAGGCCGCAACCCAGCGCGATGGCTAATGGGAAGACCATAATTCAGAACAAGCGGTCCGTGGAGGCGGTCACGACCCTCAACATTGAGAATACTGAGGCATGGAGGAGGATTTATTTATAAAACCCTATTCAATATGATTGCGTAAATGTAACGTGAATGTTAATCCGATGTGTCAGTGGTGTTATATATTATTTATTCCGGTAACAAAACATTTTAAATTTATTGTTAACAAACAAACCTATAGTACCATAGATTGATAACACTAATATTAGCAATATATGTACAGTGCATGTAAATGACGAATATCTCATAAAAAGTATATAACAATAAGCAACCAAAAGGTCATAGACCTCCAATTGTGTATGGTATGAATATATATCGACACTGTCGACACACGACCTGCAATACCATAATTGTTCTTTAGAGCAGAAAACCTTTTTTTTGATAAATAATTCCTATAAACGTTATTTGTTAACCAACATAATTATTTAGAGTGAAAAATATAAATTGAGTTATTTGTTACTATAGGTTTATAGGAATTATCGAAAAAAATAATCTTTTCTGCTCTTAAGAACAATTTTGGTTTTGCGGTTTACTCTACGTGTTTGCTTTCCAGTGTCGATATATATATATATGTATTGCTTACGTCCTGCGGCATGCCGTCGGAGCCGGGCAGCGCGGCGACGCCGGTCATGAAGTCCGCGGAGATGAAGGGGCGCAGCACCAGCGACCGCTGGCAGGAGGGCGCGCGCACCGCCGCGTCGCGGTCGAAGTGTATCGGGATCAGCACCACCGGCATCTGGGCTATGCGGCCCGCGTACCCGCTAGACACTAGCACCTGACAAATGTTATGTAATAATATTTATTTTCAAATAATTACGTAGGTCTTTAAACTCAATATTATTACAATTGAGTAGCATCTGTGCCTGAATGAGGTTTATATTCTAAACCTGAATCTCAGACCATTATACGTAAGTAATGTAAGTTAAGTTACGAACTCCGTAGCAGAGTGGTTCGCATGGTGTCGTCAGTGTATAAATATGGTGTTTTCTATATTGTCCCGGGTCTGGGTGTTGTGGTATTGATGTGAGAGATACTTCATAATACGGGGGCTTTAGCTACTCAAATTCAAATCTCAGCAATTTATGTCATCATCAGTACTATTACGTCCCCACTGCAGGGGCTCTGGTCTTCCTTATGGATGGTTAGGAGAATGGGCTATGACCCTCCACGCAGGGCCAGTGTGGATTGGAGGGTATTAACAATTACAAAACAGTCGGGACTACAGAGTAGCTCGAGATAATATGTCGGCGTGTAGTCAGAACGGGCTGTTACGAAGCCCAAATAGATCGTCCATATCAGGGGACTATCTTTAAAATAACATTGCAGGCGTGTATACCAACGTGGATTTATTCAATTTTATCACTTTTCAAACGAAAATATAACGAGATGAGCGTGATGTCGTCGGATGTCTTTACTCCTCGGCGATCGGAAACAAAATGTGTCCGAAAATGGCGGCTATTTGGTTTTTGTTAACGAACTGTCAAAGTCAGTGTCACCGTTCTAATAAAATTAAAACTATCGATGATCACGCTCTCTCTATAATCGAGTAACTAGCAATTAAAATAAAAGAAACTAAATCAAACGATCTTCGTAAAGATGATGCGACAATCCCGTAATCCACCTTTACGATAACAACTATCGCGGGCCGTGGCGCTTATCCACTACGCCACTGAGCTACCGTTAATAGCACGTCTATTTTTTTTTGTAATGTATAGACAAAAAAGCAGTACAGCATATCTAACATAGCTGAAACGGGCGGAAAAATGAATAATTACAATTCGCTAATGAATAGGATAGGATACGTTAGAATTTGTTACTGGTCTGCAGAGGTTCATATGATTTCATACACAATGTATTTATCTAACCGGTTACAAATTAAGCAGAAATGTTTTCGATAAACTTTAACAAATTCTACATTACAGAATATAAAAGATTGATAGCAAACCTGTGTGGCAATGTCATCGGCTTGACGTATGGTTGAGATGACATGCTGTGACAGGAATGTCGGTGTGATATCTGTCACTTGTTCTTTGATGATGCCGCCAAAAGCGTAACATACCCTGTGCAACATTATTTTATATAATCTACAGCTGTTTATTTATCTAGCTTTCCGTCAACGGCTACGCCCGCGCTGTCCCTAGGGAACTGTATATTTGGATATCCATTCATATCATGATACGGATATAATTACAATGACAAATTGAATAGTAAACAATCATTACTATGTGGTAAAATTTTAATTCCTATACAAACTTTCACTCCCATTGTCATTCCTTTGTTTTTATTTTCCGGGGTAAAACATAGCCTATGTTCACAATAGGGATGATGACTAATTTTTGTTTGTTTGTCCGTCAGGTAGTGTTAAAAAATATTAAAGACGTATTTTTTTCGTAAACATAAAATTACGGCGTTTCATGGAGTTGAAATTTCGCATGACGTCACGTTATGGTACGTTTTCTACTCAACTGAGACGTAGCGAGCCCCCAGTCCTGAACTTGATTGCCTGTTATCTAAGCTATTTCTTGTTAAATTGAAGTAAAAAAAATACGTATCTAATATTTTTCTATTATCTCACTGACGGACTAAATAGGATTGCATTTTTTTTTTACCTAGTCGTCATCCCTATTCTTCCTGTAGGTAAAGAATTTTATAGTCATTCCAGTAGTTTCCGCGCCTTGTTATAGCGATAACAGAAATACATCATCGGTGAAATATTAAACTATCTAGCTATCACAGTTCATGAGATACAGCCTGGTGACAGACAGATTGACAGCAGAGTCTTAGTAATTCTCGCTTTTACCCTATGAGTAAGGAACTATAAAGAACAGAAAAATATCAATGAACAACAATTATCATTGCTTACCTGTTGACATTGTGACAGACGCGCGGTATAAGTTTGGCGAGATATAGCATGTCTGCCCAGTCTGGCGGGTAACGTTCCGTAGACAGCGCCACCGCATAACTATACGTTCTACAGTCACCTGCGACAACGGATACAATCATTACACTTTATATTGACCATATTAAACATTTAAATATACGATGTTATAACATGGATACGACTTAGGGTAGAGATTGTGAATCAATGGCAGGTGTCGCAATATTTTGAACACGACTCACCTTTATTGAGTAACTACATAGCGTAACAAACCATTTTCCCCTGTCTTCGAAATTTAGGTTTCCCTGTATGTCAAGAGTCGGTGCTCTTTAAGTATTACCTTTTGGCTTATGCAGACAAAGAAATTAAATACAAAAAGAACAAGAGAGATAAAATAAATTAATAAGGCTTTGAACATTTTCAAATTATTGGTGTGATTGTGCGTGATTGCGCGCGTGTGTGTGTATGTATGTATTAGTTTACTATGATGTGAAATCACCATATTACGACAGAATTCAGACACATTCACCCGAACGTTTGAAGAAACTACTAGAGGAAAAACGGACAATGACCCTAAGTATTATGTGATCGTTAAAAGTGAACGATACGTATTGTTAGCCTTAGAACTCTGCATCGTTTCCGGAAAGTGTTGCGTTTTCTTGTACAGGATGGAGTCAATGACCTATAGCGTCCTGTACACAAAACGCATAATGCAATACACATCGTTTATTTGCAACGCTCACTTAGTACTTATATGCCATCTCAAAGAAAGCTATGCCATGTTAGTACATCGACGCATTTGCTTGCAAATCTATGTGAATAATGGCAGGGTAGTCACCTTTTGAGAAATAAATTTTCATGATATTCGGATAGTCATCAGAAACTGGGTTGGGTGGCAACCCTGAATGTGAAACCGTACTGACATGAACGCAGTTATTTCATCAAGCTTATAATAGAGCGAGACAAAATACATCCGAAACATTGCCATACAACTGACAAGATTTAATAATAAGTAAAGAATGACAAAACTGATATATAATGTAATGTGGAAGTTCCTCGGCACACATTTCACGATCAAATCATACTCGTGCTGTTAGAAGGTAATGTCAAATGCTTATCCCGCAAGGGATGTGGCGTGAAGGTATAAATAGATAGAGACATAATACTTTAGATTATTGTCCGGCTGCCCTAGGAACAGTTGTTTTATTGAAAACTATAAAAGTAATTTTTGTTTCAAACATTCAGTTATGGTTAAAGTCATAGATCAAACATTGTTCTTTCTGATGTTAAACTTTCTGCTACACCGAACTCTGTGAAAATATTATTAGTCATGGTAAGTATCCATACCCTGTACTCCTACGGTTCTTATCGGCAGCAGCGTGGCGGCCACTTGCGACTTTGACGAGATACGCTTCAGCTCGTTCTGTTCCGCGGGCGTGGACGCGTTCACCACACGTCCGAGCAACGCGTGAGACTTTACGCACATGGACGCGTACTCGACCATTATCTTCACTATCACCTATACCGAAACAATCCTTACTATTTGACATTTTAGTTAATTATAATAAATGATAAATATGAGTATCTCCAATTCACAATATTGACATTACTATATTATGAATCAATTAAACAAATGACATAAAGATTTGAATTAATTAATTATAATAAATTATAAGATGCTATAACCGTAAACTTATTATTAACATTATTAATTGTATTAAGATTGTATGTGTGATTCTGATTGCTTATTTTAATGATATCTGATGGACTTGCTAATTGTTACATATTATGTTTGTAAGAATAATAATTTAATAATTATCATTTTTAATATTATTTGAAAATATTTGCATGCTATTTATAGCGAAATGTGCCTGGACTATTATTTTGCTAATATCTTTATTGTAAACCGCATTTCTAGCAAATAAATTACTCATTTACTCATATTATTAGTTTACGATAAACGAATAAGCGAAATCCTTTACTTCGCCTTGGCGCTTACAGAATGCTTGAATGAATTCTAACAAATGCATAAATAAACATTTTCTTCAAGCTGCGATACAATTAAGATACAGGTTGAATAAATAAAGAGAAGAGTTAGATTAATGCAAGTATGCACTACAGAAATTATCGATAATTGGCCTTGAAAACTAGTAGCAATATCTATACTATTGATAATTCGATACAGACTAAAGTATTGGTATATTACAATTGGTTTCTTTACTGTTGGGATAAGTATTTTAAAACTTTGATATGATCATATTAAACCACTATCAGCTTCATTTTTCTTTAAAAACAGTTATTAAATTCAAGAAAACATATTTTTATTCACGGCTTAGGCCGTCTTCGTGGATGGTCCCTCCACACTGGCCCAATGCGGATTAGAGGGTATTAACGACTGCAAAGGCAGCCGGGCCTCACAGCACGTTAGCCTTCCGAAGTTCGGAGTAGCTCGAGATAGTAATTTTTTGGTCACCCATCCCGTGCTTGCTTAACAACAATGATCGCGGGCCGCGAGGCTCATCCACTACGCCACCGAGCTACTACATTTCTATTCATCAATTAAAAATTTCCCGCGAAAACAATTTGTCACGTGACATCAAAGTTCAATAAACGAGTAGTGCTAGCGACTGAATAGTGTTTTACTTGACATTGGCAAAATGCACAAGCCGTGCCTGCCATGTTATGAAAAGAAAAAACTGAATAGTGCACCTGCGTCTCGGCGAAGTCCCGCTCGGCGTACGGCTCGTCCTGGCACAGCACGCGCACGGCGAGGCCGGGCCCGGGGAACGGTTGCCGCTCCACCAGCGCCGACGCCAGCCCTAGCTCCGTGCCCAGCGCGCGGACCTGCGGTACAATACCAATACTACAGTTACGTTTCGTTACGCCATTGAATATATCATAAACTAGATTCACTCTAATGAGGAAGTATTTAAAAAAATTTAAAGCGCTAAAAAAGCACCTCCACTCCACATGGCTTTAGCAAAAGTTGATCTTTGCAGGAAACGAATGGACCAAAAGACGGTCATTTTCGTTCCTATTATTCAAAATCTGAAATAGGGTATTTTACACCATATGAGAAAAAAATTTAAAATGATACTATTCAGAAAGCTTAGGCAATAAGTAGTCAGAAAATGTTACTTTCAGTCCATAAAATAAAGAAATTAAATTTTAATGTGAAATAAAAAAAAACAAAATTTTAGTGTGTGATTTTACTAGGAGAAAAACCGAAACAGTAGCCGCCATGATATAACGTCATTCCGTCTTATAAACATTGATCAATGCCAAGGTTATATACAAATAATTAAAATAATACGGTTTTGTAAAGGGAGTTAGTACCAATAAAAAATTCTTTGAAGGGTGTAAAATTGTTTACAACATGAACTGACGTCATTACTACAGAGCAACGTGGCGTTCGGTGATTTTCGTTAAAATCGCGCGAAATTTGAAAATGAGATTTTTTTATATGGTTTTATTGGCACTTACCGACTGAATAAAAATTATGCCTTTTTTTCAATGGTTTATTAAAACCTTATGAACGAAATGAGACACTTTTCATAAATTGGTAAAATACCCTTTTTGAAAATTCGAAACTTAGATATCAATACAAGTACGAAAAAGTACAAATAGAATATGAGTTGTTTATTTAGTTTTGAAAACTAATTTACTTTTAAACATGAAAGAATACCGGAAAAGTTGTCATGGAGAAATCAAGAACGTACCGTGGTGACATTTAGTTATATTTCGAGAACTTATGTTTTTTTAAATACTTATTTATAGGATATTTGACACCATAGAAAATAACTTGCATGATGTGGTCATCGTGTTAGATGATAATCTAATAAAGTTTATTTCTCAGAATTTGCAGACAAAATATGTTTAGCTTCAATAAAATTACCTATAGAAAATGCAATCTTTTTGGGAATTTCTAATGAACTATGAAAACGCCCTGTAATTGGTTGTCGTCGCTACTAATAGAAGGTTCTGTTTACCGGCGTGTGACGTCACAAACAGGAAGCTGGCGTATCAAAACAGTGTTATTAAAGATACACAAAATTTATATTTATACATATAATTTGTAGCTCATTTTTATAAAAATAACCAGAGTAAATACAAAACACGTAATATTTAAGTTTAATTTCTCTTCTGTAATATTATTTGTTTACTTTGTAAATAAATAAGTTTTGTTGCCTTGACATATTTACCTAAGTGTAACGTCACAAATACCACGTGATTATTTATTAGCAGCCATTATAGTGCGATTTTGACTATTTAAACTTTAACAATTATTTTCATCGAAAAAAGAACAAAATCCCATAAAATATATTGACACTGTATTTATAATGTATCAATCAACGATTTAAAATAATTTTCATAAAAGTGTCCAATAACCTATTTACGCGGGAAAAGTTTTGGAATACAGTTAGTCTATACTAATATTATAAAGTGGAAAGATTTGATTGTTTGTTGGACAGAAAGACTCCCGAAACGACTGGACCGACTTTTTTTCACCCAAGGGAAGCAACAGCAAACAAAGGGATGAAAATGGCAGTGTAAGTTTGTATAGAGAATTAAAACGTCACCCATAGTAACCATCGTCCACTATTAAATGTGTCATTGCATCTATATTCGTGTCGTAATATAAATCGATGTCCAAATAAACAGTTCCATATGGACCGCGCGGGCGAAGCCGCTGGCGGAAAGCTAGTTTTTTATATAGATACAAAGGTGCATTAGTATTAGAGAATAATGAATTTCATAATGTAACATCTACCTCATGGTCTTCTTTCATTTCAAAACTTTGAGATCTGGGATCTGACAAATATGCAGTGCAGTGGATTAGTTTAATATAATTAATTTTATAATAATTATAATGTTGTAAATTACAGCAAATAGCATTCCATCATCAGCTTTTTTACGTCTCCGCTACAGGGACTCAGGCCTTCCTTGTGGGTGGTTAAGGAGGATGAGCCATGAGTCCTCTACGCTGGCCCAATGTGGATTGGTGAGTATTAACAACTTCAAATGCAGCCAGGACCAACAGTTTTACACAATAAGAAATATTCCATTTCAGTTTTAATAGTGTTAAGAAGTATAAATTATATCTATTTAAATTTATATTAAAGAAACAACCCGAATATTATCCCGACTGGGAATTTTCCTGGGTTTTTTCCAGGTAAAATCCCATCTCTAATTATGATATAACTGACCTCGTCCTTGTGGAAGTCCTTGAGCGGTTCTACGACGCGGCCGCGCTGCCGCAGCACGCGCACTAGCTCCGTGTCGTTGTGGTGCGTCTTGATGGTGGCCGCGTTGTTGCTGCACAACGACGACGCGGACTCGATCAGGTCCGGCCGCAGCGTGCCCTGACCCAGCAGCACTTGCTCCTCCCTACACGACAATGCGACAACGTGCAATACCCTATTGCTACTCTGTTTGACAAAGCACTTGTAAGTGTTCATTTTCATTTAAATAACCCATAAAACTAATATTTTTAAAAATAAACGCATTTTCTTGATCAAAATTTTAACTTTGGATATGTATACAAAACAGGTGCAGAGTAGCAGATTAAAAGTTGTCAATAAAACAAGAACAGTGCCATCTAACGGTCGAATACGAAATAAAAGGATATAATAAATACGTTGTCATATGGTGTCGTTTTTCAATAAATACTTATGTTTATATAAATGTGACGTCCCGGCTCGAAATGTCACGCGATTGATCGTTTCAACGGTACAATTTAAATTAACGAAAAAAATATGTATTTCCTTACTCTGATAACAATATGACAGTTTATAAATACATATCCTATAAAATTTAAGTAGCGAATATTCCGCTTATTAATTTCCCCAGTGCATCGGGCTCAGCGCTTCCCTACGGATGAAAGACTATTCGTTGTATATTTTGTATCGAGGGCAACCAAACAAATATAACAAGAAGTCAGTCTGTCACCAACGATTAAAGTTTGCGTTGCGTACTCCGTATTTACTTATATGTCCTTAAAAACCTTAAACCCGTTTAAGGTAAACAATTTAAGGTAAAAAACACCCGTAAACAATAAAATAATATAAGTTATGTCCATTGGGACATAACTTATATTATTTTATTGTAAGACTTTATTATAAGATTTCATTGTAAGTAAATACAAAAAATCTAGTAATTACATAAAATCAAATTAAGCAACAGTTGAAATATTTTTTTTTTTTTTACCAATAATAGTTTTATTAGACCATAAATACACGGTAAATGAATAGAAATATTTTTTTTAAAGATACTCTCTTAATTCGGTTCCGAAGGGAACATCTGTATACATACTGCAGTTGCAGCTGCTGCACGGCCTGCTCCGCCACCCTAATGAACACGTCGCCGATGATCTTGCGTTTGTCCTCCGGCGAGGTGGTGTGGCACAGCAGCGGCGTGTGCCGCGTGCGCCCGCCCGCCTCGCGCACCACCGTGCTGCCCTGCCGGAACTGCGCAATATACATTACTACATATACGGCGCACACACTCACACGGTCAATGACCAATGAAACACATACGGCCTTGTTACTGAATTGAGAATACTGGTTATTCCTAATAAATTAAGTTTTTTACGTTTCACAAGGCAAAAAGTGTTTATACATAACTACATATACGGTGCACACACCCACACGGTCAGTGACCAATGTAACACATGCGGCCTTGATACTGGATTGAGAATACTGGTTATACTCAATAACTTAAGTTTTTTACGTTTCACAAGGCAAAAAGTGTTTATACATAACTACATATACGGTGTACACACCAACTCGGTCAGTGACCAATGAAACACATACGGCCTTGTTACTGAATAAGGAATACTGGTAATTCTCAATAACTTAAGTTTTTTACGTTTCACAAGGCAAAAAGTGTTGTAACTGATCATTAAAAAAGAAAACTAAAATAAAAAAGTAATATCTGTCTAAGTACAGTTTGAGACGTGCTAACTTTAAACTCAATGAGGAAGTATTTAAAAAAAAACATTAGTTCCCAAAATCAAACTAGATGTCGCTTCGGTACGTTCTTGATTTCTCCAAGACACCTTTCCAGGTTTCATTCAAGTTTATAAGTAAATTAGTTTTCATAACTCAATAAACAACTCTTACGCCCAGTTTCTGAATTGAGAATTTGAACTTGAGCACGTCTCAAACCGTGCTTAAGCCACTTTAAATGTCATTAAAACATGTTTTCATTGCTGATTTATAAATTTTTAATTATTAGTTGATAGCAATTTGATAAATCTAATACTTTTTGCCATGTGAAACGTAAAAAAACTTAATTTATTAAGAATAATCAGTTGAGATTTTGTACTTTCTCAATTCAGAAACCGGCCAATATTCTATTTGTACTATTTCGTATTTGTATTGATATCAAGTTTCGAACTTTTCAAATTTCAGTTTTTTTATATGTTAGTTAAAAGGAACGGAAATGACTGTCTTTGTTCCATTCGTTTCCTGCAAAAATCAACCTTTGCTATAGTCGCCATCTAGTGGAGGTGCATTATTAGTGTTTTTTTTTAATACTTTCTTATTCGGAAACCAGGTGTCAGACCATAGCATGAAAACATTACATAACATTCTGTATGTGCGTTTGAGCGTCAGTCTGTCATAGTTATAGTAGTAAGCCGAAGCTCTATCCGTTATATAAAATTCAGTGTCATTGTGTGTGTGTAAATTAATATCTGATGATGACTGTACCCATTGCTCTTTATTTTATTGTTTTCGTTTCACATTATTTTTTAGCTGGGCTTTAATCACGATAAATTAATGAAACCACTCCAATTTCACATAATTCACGGTGCTACAATCTTTTTCACATAACATATGTATGGTGACATTTGGAATTTGAAGCTTTTTTTATTAGTGATGTGGTAACCAAAAAACTATATACAAAAATTCGATGTTATAGAATTTATTTCTAATAAAGATAGGTAACTGATTTTGAGGTCAATGTAGGAAACGGGATTTAATAAAAAGATTTATTTGTCAACAAAGTGAACCTCTGGTTTATGTTAGTCTGAGTCTGTTATACTATTTTAATAACCTTATCCCAGTCGTATAGAATAACATTTAGTTTTTCAATTTTTTGATAGATAAGAAATGGGCACGTATATCTCTAAATTTACCTGATGGGCGGCATTGACCACGTGTAGACGTACTCCAAGGTCCCTTAGGCATCTCTCCACCTTACTGCTTTCATTTTTACGCATAAATCCTGTGTGGACAAATTAGACGTCACAGAACAATATGTTAAACAATACTAGTAGTTATAAATAAATCCTACTTTTCTTTGAAATTGATAAACATGACATTTATTATAATAATACTAAATTCAAAATTTCACCCTTACAGAGGTAAAATTTGGAGTATAGATTATATATAGTAATTTTTTGAAAACCAATTGATTTACCAATTACCAATTGGAAAGAAATTGATTTATCACATTTTAATATTTTTTTTCCACAATACAAACTACAACATAGCATCATAATTGTGTTTTGTGATTGAAAATAAACTTGTTATCAACCAGATGATAAATCAGATTCAATAAACTAATAGGTATTTTTCACAGTTTTATTTCTGCCTGCCACGGGTTTTCCTTCTATATTTGCTTATTGACCTTACCGCAGACAAATCTGAACTTAAAGCGGAACACGTTAAGGTTTAAAATCAATCTCGTCGTTTGAAAGTACGCGATAACTTGATGTGTCGTTATTAAATAAATAAAACGATTTAGTTTGAACATACCGTTATCAATGTGTAGGGCTATGACTTGATCCTCGCGTAGGGCAGTTCTTATAAGCGCCGCACATACTGTGGAGTCTACGCCTCCGCTTACCAATACCTACAAACCACATAACATTAGTAGAACCTCAGAAATACTTTCAACCCTAATTTATTCAACACATTCGCTGTTTTTGGAACCAGGTTTCGCAAAATAATTTTCCGATATATATCATACATATGAAAAGCTGCAATTTTTGGACCTGCCACTGGAGTAGCTCAGTGGTGCAGTGGATAAGCGCCGGCGCACGCGATGGTTGTTGTTAAGTATCTTCCGCAAGGTTCGGTCACGGGATGGGTGGCCAAAAAAAAAAAACAAAAAATGTATATATATAATTACCAGCACTTTATTTTCGCCGACCGTGTCCCGTATGTACTGTATGCACGCCTCGCGTCTGCATCTCAATGTGAAAGTGCGCGATAGTCCCGCAATGTCGAACAGGAAGTTCGACAGCATCTGCTTGCCTTTCGGTGTTAAATCCACCTATAAAATTCCACCGAAAAAACCATCATATGATAATTATACAAATTACCTAAAATATATTTTTTTACGAATGAAAATACTCATATGCAACGATATAACAAATTAGAATGGCAGTTTGCAATATCATTGACTGTATGTTCTAACTAATATTGCACATGGTTAACCTTTGGTTACGCACAGTAGATCTATTTCGAGCTAGCAATTATAAATTAACTGTACATTTTAATCATACGTTGGGTCATGAACATTCGAATTAAATATACAGCGAGTCTTGTTTTGATTACCACAAGGTGTAAAATACAAAGTATTAGGTGTGTGTTTCACTCACGCTTGCGGGAGTCAGGCGCGTGAATATTGGATTGCCTGATGGCTTGATACTTGAATCATTCTGATTGGCCAATATTTTTCATTAAGAATAGTCAACAAGATATTCATTACATTTTACTTATATATATTTTTTTATTTAATTAACCACTTGAAGAATAATTCTACAGTCATCACGATTTTTAGCGTCCTCGTCGTCGGCCTTTCGTTTGTGAATAAAATTATCATAGACTTATAAATTTACAACATTATAGTAAAAACCTACCAAAATATTGTGTTACAGTTAAACATGTAGATTAAATAAGGTCCTTTATGTTATTATTTCTCTGTATAATTTATGTAATCTGTATAATTTATAACAGAAGAAAAATATTTGTCGTTATATGAATGTGCTGATATAAAACCATTTGTGTGAATCTATAATTGGCTCTATGTTTCATAATTTGTTAACATTTTTGTTTTAATAACTGTTGATTCACCTATGAAAATAAATAAATAAAACATTATTAATTTTCATGATTCTTTATTACTGTTGGGATTAACTAGTCACAAGAATATTTAACTAATCAATTGATATATTTAAAAAACGTCAAAGTCAAAGTGACAGCTAGGGTTGCCCGTAGTGAAATCGACAATTAGTTCCGCCATTAGTAGTCGATTTTTTCCCCTCTAGTGCACCTAAGATTTGGCTGTATGTCTTAGTTCCTTCGCCTGTCCCATGGACGAAACTACTACTACTTTTTCCCCTCTAACACTAGTATGATGAAAAATTTTTGATTAGTGAAAACTATTACCTCAGGATGGAATTGTACGCCGTAGAGACGCATCTGCTCGTTGTATATGGCGGCTATAAGATGGTTAGAAGACTGTGCGCCAACGCGGAATCGTTCACCAACTTTTTGTACGCTGTCGCCGTGCGTCAGTAGGACCGGTTGCAATTTCTCTAATCGACTGGTAAACAAATGATATTTTGTCAGGATTCATTAGTAAAACTAAAGAGTAAGTTGTTTGATTTGAGTAATTTGTAAGTTGTTTAACAGTATCCTTTTTTTAAAGTTACAATAAAGATGTCGCAATATTTTTTGATTTCAATTAAGTTTCAATATACTCACTTAAAGAGAGGACAAGTTGTCTCCACCTCAACTTCATATTGGCCATCCTCTCTAGCCTCTTTGCGCAGAACAGAGCCACCAAACTCTTTATTCAACATCTGCATACCGTAGCATATACCTAGCGAGCAACATTATAATATTCTTTACATGACAATTCAAATTTTGATTTCTTATAGTGCACACTATCCATAAATGAAACAACTTTTAAACAGTTTCATTGATTTTTTCTTTATTTTTATTGTTGTTTCGGACCCTTTACAAGTTCCATATTCACATAAAATTACCTTCCTTCCCTAAAAATCAATACGATTGGACACATTCATAATACATTTTTTATATTTTATGGCAACATTTACATTTATTAAATCAATTTAATTTTTTTTTTAAAACACATTGACTTATTTATTCATACCTGGTTACTATAATATACCACCAGTTCCAACTTTGGGAGGCTTGTCTGAGAAGAAGTGGCGAAACAAACTCCCACAAGGAAAATTAATTCCTCCCTTTCTTTTTTCTTTTTGAAATCAAAGTCAAAGGGCAATTCACTTAATAAAAAGATTATCAACACCTTAGTCTTATGTGAACACCTTTACAGGTTCCGAAACGTCAATAAAACTAATTACAAACGTGAAGAAAATGTTTAAAAGTCGTTTCAGTTCAAATTTTGTTATTAGTTGCTCGTTAACTAAAATTATATTATAATACAAAAATAAATCTGTCCTTGCGTAATCTGAATATTATCGAGTCTATTACGACATTTAGAGATATAGTAGGTTTTTTTAACATTAGTTAAATTATTCATATATCACGAGAGGGCTTGTAAGCAATCGCGTCATCATCATCAGCCCTTTTACGTCCCCACTGCAGAGGCTCAGGCCTTCCTTGTGGATGGTTAAGGACAATGGGCCATAACCGTCCACGCTGGCCCATTGCGGATTGGAAGTTATAAACGACTACAAATGCAGCCGGGACCAACGACTTAACGTGCCTTCCTAACATACCTCGAGATAAAACTTTTCGGTCACCCATCCCGTGACCGACCCTTACGCAAGTTACCTAACAACAACGATCGTGGACCGCGACGCTTATCCATTACGCCATAGAGCTACTCAGTAATCCCGAAGGTAACTATAATTCTAATGTTAGTGAACATGAAAGATTAGAACATATTTTTTTCATAGTTTTTTTTTGGTCTATGTAACTCACCTAACACTGGCAGTCCTATCTTGAATATGTCCGCGTCATATCTGGGCGCGTCCTCAGCATACACAGAGTTGGGTCCGCCCGAGATTATGATGGCGCGGTAGCCCGCCTCCTTCAGGTGGTACGCTGGCGTGTCCAACGGGAGGATGTCGGACTCGACGCATAACTCACGCACACGTCTGTCTATCACCTGTTCATTCATTAGAACAATCACTAATGTGTATACTGACACAGAAATTTAAATTGAATTTACAAAGATTAAGTATAAGTCACAATATGCACTGAAACTTTAAGCTATAGAGCAATCATTAAAGTCTTTTCTTGTTAAGATGCATATATGTTCAAAGGTAATGACAGCTGTATTTTGATAGTTACAAGGTGGACTAGAAGTTCTTCAATAATACTCATATAGTTAATCTTATTGGAGTTTAAATTGTGTGTACTCCTTTCTTTAACAAAAGTTTGATTAGTACTTATGCTAACATAATGCGGTTTCTAGTGAATCAAGAAGTTACATTGTGTTTGTATAACATAGGCAGCAGACACAACAGTGTATGTAACAAGAGTGCTGCGTTCTCACTGAACAAACGATGTAAGTAGGCGTAAGTTGGAACTAATGCATATAAAATTGACTGCCATTATTATATTTTGTCTTTTAAACATGATGGCCTATTAGTGTTTGTCGGAGCTATTTATTTACCTTTCCATACTGAGATCCTGCATCCAAAATGGCGACTTTATCACGACCATGGGTTGAGCCATTAGTGCCCCGGTACTGTCCTTCTGCACTGGCTGTGTGCATTTCGCTTCGTCGCCAGCAGCACTAATAAAGAAGTAAATTAATTAGTTTCAGAGTTTAATTGATGCAAACAACCAATAAAAATTTACCTCTTTATAATATTAGTACATAGGTATAAGAAATGGCTGGCAAAACATATGTGATTACGAGATTTAGGAGTTTGAACATAAGCACAGGGGTTCATCATTGAGCAGTGTAAATGAGCACTAAGAAGGGGTTTTTAGAAATCTATTCTTAAAAGTTTATAAAGAAGCAGTGTTTGAAAAAATTTGATGATTTTTGTAATAAGTGGTGTGGTTAAAACATATATTGCTTATTTTGAATTAAATCATCAAAGTTTTAATTACTATTTATCGTGAATATGGGTATAGACAATTATACTTTTTTTTAGATATATTACATGTTTCTCTGTAAAATAAAATTTAAAAAAAAGTTGTCTACGCCCTTTTCTTTTAATTTTATTTTACAGATACACTATTTTGAATTTACAATGCTATTTTACATTTGTATTATCTTGAAAATAATAAAATTTCATACATAAATATTTTGGATAACTACCTGAATAATACTAATGGATGTTAAAGATGATGCAGTTTGGTGGGATTAACACTGGATTTGCTACCATTAGTTTTTTATAGTCTAAAATAATCAACCAAATAAAAGAGACAAATAAAATAAAAACAATGCCTTTGTTATTACAAATTAAAAAGCGCGCGATATTATGTTTCATTCATTGAACAACATCTTATGCAGTTTTCTATAAAATAGTTGCACTCTTATTGTAATATATGTATATCAAAAAATATTATCAATTAGAAAAAAAGAAACAATAAAAAATTATGATGTTTAAATAAAATAACATACCTTAAATAAAAAGTTCCTAAAACCAAACATAACAATGCATTAAACACCGAAAAGTTGAATACACAAAATGATATGACATTATAACTGATTTTGTAACTGTTGTAAAAAAAATGCTGAAAAAGTCTATCACTCACAATAACAACAAAGGTTGACAACAATAATTATCTGTATAAGAAGAAACGAAAGAAAATATAATCGAGACTGAACAGATCTACTCTCACAAGTGGACTGCGTGTTATTTATAGAAAGCATCCCACATGAAGTTTAAATATACACAAACATATAAAAATATCAGTGTGTATACTACAAATGTCATTGGTGCACTAATGAAACTATATTGTTTACACATACATACAACAATGACCATTATTTAATGTTTCATTAGAATAAAGCTATTTATAAAATCATTTTCATGTAGCATTTTGTTTGTTGTGCATACCTTTAGTTTGTATCTAGATGTGCTTTGATTTTTTTTTTAATAATTAATTGAAAATATTTATAGAAATATAACAAAAAAATATTTTGGTTATATTTTTTTTTAATTAGTTATATTATAAATAAATATACTGCCCTTAGTAACAATAAGAATGATCAATTATTTATTTATTAAAAATAAAGACCTTTTGTAGTATTTAAATGATAGGTCTATACCAATATAGAATAAATATATATCATGAAATGGTATTGGGAATATTAAGAATTTAAAATTTTAAACTGATCACACACCAATGACTGCAAAATATAATTATGATTCAATTGTGGGTAATAAGCAAGTTAATGGTAATAAAGAAACAAAATATAGTATGAATAAACAAAATAATAAATAAAAATTATGTAACAATAAGAATTATAATGGCAATAGTTGGAAATGAAAACAATTTTTAAAATCACATTATAAGGTTAACTCAATAGGGTTATCTTCACATTCTATTCAAGATAATAAACATATTAAAATCAAAACACAATTCCAATAAGTGATGTAATAAGAATATCATATATTTCAGAATGGATAAAGTTAAGTAAATAACAACAATGATAATAATCAATTATCAATATATTGTAAGAAACAAAGGGTTAATCTGTCACATACCTTTTTGAAAATACAAAACATGCTTCTAGATTATAGGCACTAGAATGGGGCATTTTGTCAATATTGCAATAGCCAAGATGATTGAGAGATTTAACGATAATACACAGATAACACTAAGATAAACTAAGCTTTACTAGAAGAACCAAGACGGCAAACCGGGCGATACGAACTATAGGTCGAGCTTCGCAATAAACATATCAAGTTACGAGTGTGGTAAAAAACCACTGAGGTTTACACCAAACTTCTAAATACAGATAAACATAAAATTGACGTAGGTACGCGTAACTTTTACAAATGGTAAGTAAAAGCACCTTTGACAATTTTCCATAGGTCATAAACCGGAGACACAAACTCACAGCCGCCATCGATATTTCCTTGATTTCAATTAAATGTAAGTCATAACGAAAGTGCAGTTTTTTTTAACTTACCTAAAACAAAATATTCGTAATCTTAGGAGAAACTGATCATGAAAAACACGTAAAAATGTGATTCTCCATTCAGCACTACGAATACAAAATTTTAGTACTAAAGTTTGTCGACAGATAGCGCTCCATGAAATTGACGATAAGAATGCATTCACAATTTGAAAAAATATAAATAGTCCTAATAACGTGTAGGTACGTATTTTCTTGAGATAAACATTGTGTTTTTAAATACATAAAAAACAGAAGAGTAGTTTAACAATTGAAAAATTAACCTGTTTGAAGCTTTTATTCAAAACGTACTTAGCCGAAGTAAAATAATATTTTATGAACATTTCCATTAATTTTGCTTGTCATTCATGATTATGTGTTTCTTTTTACGAAGACCAAACCAATATTTTAACTCACTAAAGTATAATTATGTCGTACTCTTATTAATATAAAATAATAATACAAAAAAATTAGGACATTATAAAAATTAACAACGATTTATTTATAAAAAGTTTATAAAATTTTTTCCAGAAAATAAATACTTATATTTTAAACTTTATTTTAAAATATTGCGTGACTTGAGAAAAACACACTTTACGTTCCATGCTATGCAACAATTTTATTTCTCTATTGCAGAAACTTTAAAAAATGTGAAAGTCATATTTTGCGTAAAAAGAGAGCACTAAACTATATTTGATTGATGACGGGAAGAATTTCGTTTACGATTTACTCTTCATATTTTTGGTATTGTGCGTGTATTATTAATCGAAGAAAATGCCTGATCATTTAGGAGATGATATGCGGAAAGTAAAGGATGATAAGGAGGAGCCAGAAAAAGAAATCAAATGTAAGTAAATACAAGAAAAACTATGTATAACCTCCCGTTGATGTGTTTTACTTATTTGTTATAATTCTTATTTCAGCACTGGATGAGGGTGATATAGCGTTATTGAAATCATACGTAAGTATTTTTGTGACTTTTAAAGAAGTTATAAAAAACAATACCTGTTTAAAATAACTCTTTTTATTTTAGGGACAAGGGCAATACACAAAAATTATCAAAGAGGTTGAAGATGGCATACAGACTGTGATGAAACGTGTGAATGAGCTCACTGGCATCAAGGAATCAGATACTGGATTAGCTCCACCAGCATTATGGGATTTAGCAGCTGATAAACAAACTTTGCAGAATGAACAGCCATTGCAAGTAAGTGAAATCATTATTATTAGATATCAGCATTTTTTATTATGACAATACCTTGTTGATTGATACAATGATATGTCTGTTTCAAGTCTCAGATGTAGTGGCCTTTTTTATAGTTAATTGCATCACAAATGAAAATATTCCAGTCAACATGCTTTCACTACCAACATACAAAAAGCAGAGTTTATAAAATACTAAAATATGAAGCAATCTGAGCAAAATCCTGGATTTTGGTGAAATCCACAAGGGCAATGCCATTAATTAAAAAGAAGAAGAACAATATGCTCAGTGGTTTAGTCGTCAGTGTTACTTTTACATTACTATAATTAGTAAGTATGTTTTATTTGTTACAATCACAGGTGGCAAGATGTACAAAAATCATCAACGCAGATTCAAATGATCCAAAATACATAATCAATGTGAAACAATTTGCAAAATTTGTTGTTGATCTAGCAGACTCTGTGGCACCAACTGATATTGAAGAAGGAATGAGGGTTGGGTAAGTGCTTAATTATCTTTTTTTATAATTTCTAATGTTTTAATGAAAATTGAATTCACTCTAATGAAGTAATTTTTAATTGGATTTCTCTGTATGAAATAAAATAGGGAAAAAAAGTATGCATACCAATGGTAGAACTTTAAATCTTCTCAAGTGCTTATATTAGTCCAGACTGATTAAAAGATTTTAAATTGGAATTTATTATTATTGTGAATAAATATAGGGGGTAGATTTTAGAGCTTATAACAAGTATTTTATAAGCTGTTGCACAACTCCCTAAGAGTAGAGTTCAAACTTTTCAGCTTGTTTACATGAAGATGTTCAACAAGATATTATGTTGAACAACACCTACAATACATGTGTAAGTTGCACATCTGTTTTTCTTTAAGATTCATATAGATAATGTACCTTACTATTTGATTATATGCAAAATAGGCACTGGGTGTTGAATTGCAGAAATAACCTGTCGACATGAAGAAGACATTACTATTTATGTCAAATTTTGATATAACCATTTTTATATTTAGTGTGGATCGTAACAAGTACCAAATTCACATTCCCCTGCCCCCCAAGATTGACCCCACTGTCACAATGATGCAAGTTGAAGAGAAACCAGATGTGACATACAGTGACGTTGGAGGTTGCAAGGAACAGATAGAAAAGTTAAGAGAAGTTGTTGAAACACCACTGTTGCATGTAAGTTCCTAATGTCTTATTCCTCCCAAAAATATATATAAGTTTACAAGTATAAAATAGTTTTCATAGGGGGTTACAGGTTTCTTTTACAATTGCAGAACTTAAGTAAGTTTTGCAATAGTTCATGGTGATTCAGAAGGCACATTAAACTGTTGGTTATGCCGATGATAATGGTAACCACAATTTATGTTTGATGAAAAATACTTTAGTGATTGTTGAAATTATATTATAGCCCTGAGAGAGACCACAGAGGTTTATAATGGAGAGGTTATTTGATTTTTGACAGCAGCATTTACATTGTATTTTTTTATATGTTTTCTCCAGCCAGAGAAGTTTGTGAAATTGGGAATAGAGCCTCCCAAAGGTGTCCTTCTGTTTGGACCTCCAGGCACTGGCAAAACACTATGTGCTAGAGCAGTCGCTAACCGTACCGATGCATGTTTCATCAGAGTTATTGGTATGTGTTCATTGTTAAATATCTTTACAGTTTTATTGACTTATGATAATTATGAAGCTCAATATTTAGCATTTATAAAGTATGTACGTATATGAGCATATCAGGCTACCAAAAAATTTCTGCAGTTCATGTTTAAAGTTTAATATGAAGTTCTGAAAATTGATATTTGTATAACCCGAACTGCTGTTGACTGTACATCTTTAAACTTGTGTATTTATTGTGATTATTATTAGGTTCTGAGAAATAAATGAGCTTTCAAGGTGAGGTAGCCCTTACTGTAGAAATTGGGAACAATCATGCTAAGGATATTTATTTAATTCTGGAACTTCAGAGATAGACCCACTGGCGGACGAGTTACACTGTGCGTGCAGTAATAACTTTTTGTCACTGAGATGTTTTGCCGTTTACCATCTCTGAGAGCTATTGCACGCACGCAATAATGTGATAATTAGGTAATTTCCATCGAGAGCATAGTGACAATAACCATTATGACAAATAAATGACAAGTGTGTTCAAGCTTTAATTAATGTTTTATGTGAAAAGACTGAAAATAATAAAAACTAGTGAAGAATTTATTCGGGGAGTAAAGAAAGAATACTGGACATAAGTGAAGACAGTATTCTGATACACCTCCCCAAAATAAAAATACTATAACGAACATCTTTATCAAAATCAATTTATTGGTAAAGTTATTGCTTATAAGAACATGCATGTTACAATAATTTTGGAATTACTAATTTTTTCAGATAAATTACTTTCCTATGTTGTATTGGGTCCGAGTTATTGTGGTTCATTAACTTATTTATAACTCATTTTTCTCTGTGTGATTTTATACCTTAATTCATCGACAATTAAAAGCAGAATCGATATTTACCCAGTATTTTTTATAAAATAAGCAGTGTTTTATGCTTTATGACATTTGAAATGTAATATAGTAATGAACATAAATGAAATCATTCCAATTGAGGGATTCTTCAAATAGTGAGTAGTTGACAAATTGAATCATAACCATATCAAATAAGATCTATAATCTCCACAGGTTCCGAGTTGGTACAGAAGTATGTGGGCGAAGGTGCCAGGATGGTTCGAGAATTGTTTGAGATGGCTCGTAGTAAGAAGGCTTGTCTTATATTCTTCGACGAGATTGACGCCATTGGAGGAGCTAGGTAATTAACTATATATTTTTACTAAAGATGCTCAATTACATACTTATATATTCTCTATCTGTTCCATATAACATACATACTGTCGTGCTGGTAACCTTAGATTTTCTTTTTAACTTAAAATAATTCACCTACCCATTATAATCTATATTGGATGCTGTGTACACATATTTATTATTTCCATACACGCTAATTTCAATTATTCTTTAATAATTTTGTAATCTTTGTATGGGGAGTAAAGAAAGAATGGTGGCCGCAAGTTTAGGCACCGTTCTGATACACCTTCCCTATATTATATTGTATATTACAGTCAACAACTTTGTCTTTGTGAGTTAAATGACAAAGCTACACATTGTAAAACATTTTATCATAATTCAATTAAACAACACTGTCAGCTACAGTGAGTACGTAAATATTCTGTCAGTAGTGGATTCTATTCTGATGAATCTTTTTTTTTGTTTAAAAAGAAATATATTTTTTGAGAAGGTCCCATAATTTCTTTTTCAAATTTGGATCAATAGTTTTTACTAATGTCTGTGTTTATAGACAAAAAAAAATGCATTAATACAAATCTTCTAAAACAAAATGCTTTTGAAAAAAGAATGAAAAAAGTTTAAAAAACAAAAAAAAAGCATTCCTTAGAAACTACAAATGTGATGTAATAATCCTTGGCAGAATTCTCATTCAGAAGTTACTCGCATGTTTTACTGGGTTATGAACTGCTTTGGATTATTAAATGTTTTTTTATTTTATTTTACCATTAGATTCGACGACGGTGCCGGTGGCGATAATGAAGTTCAGAGGACTATGTTGGAGTTGATCAACCAACTGGACGGCTTCGACCCGCGTGGTAACATCAAGGCGAGTTAAAAAAAATTAAAGTGAAAGGAAGTGTCTGTTAAAGAAAAATTCACAATTAAAAAAGAAAACACTAGTCTCAGTTGCTTGACATGAACTTATATGGGGCACTGGTGAACAAAGATGCTGACGTTTAGGTTATTTTTATCTGTCTACGTCGTAATGTGATGTGACGTCACACGACACCTCGTCTTGGCGTCTCGCGTTTCAGTCTTCTTCATCCACACCGCAGATTTTATATAAATAATACTCACAATTTAATTTTAAAGTAAAAAATACCGCATAGTTATATTTACTGATGAGTTACTGTTTCCATAATATTTCATAATTTTATTTTGTCCCAATAATAAATGAGAAAACAAAATGATTAAATTTTAGAGGTAAATTCTCCATTGATTTTTTTTTAAATTAACGTTTGGATATCTTCTACGATCTGGATAAAAATGTTTAAAAAATCCACTTTGTCCCTGGCACTATGAGATGGGATTTCTAAGCATTATTCATTAGGAGTATTTTTCAGTATAGCATTGTGAATGCAAAATTGATCAAATATTATAGTTTGGATATCTTTTATTTTAATTTCCATTACGGCTTTGTACAACACCGATAGAAATTTAATTTTATCTACACTCATATCGAAAAATTCGAATTACGTATTCAAAGACGATTCTATACATACGCACTTTATAAACGCATATACTTAAAATTAAAAGTAAAACTCATTACTGCCAACTGTATCATAAAACTCATTATAGTACCGCTATCTTTTTTTTTTTCATTAAACTAGTCTGGTTTTAGGCTGAATATGAAAAAGAGGCGCACGCATGCGTAGTTTGAACTTCATTTCCCGCGCTTCACATACATTTTTTTTTGTACTCGGGATTCCAAAAAATTACTTCCTTATTACCTACCTACTTTGTTTAATTTAATTTTTTCCTATGAGTGAAGATAAACTAGTGTATGAAACTGCATATAAGTTAGGTATTAAAACACTAGAGTCAATCTATTATCGAAACAGACTTTCGTGTTTTAATACCCCTTTTTTTGGTGTTATTTGTAGGTATTGATGGCGACTAATAGGCCGGACACGCTGGACCCGGCGCTGATGCGGCCGGGGCGGCTCGACCGCAAGGTGGAGTTCGGGCTGCCGGACCTGGAGGGGCGCGCGCACATATTCCGCATCCACGCCCGCTCCATGAGCGTCGAGAGGGACATCAGGTTCGATCTGTTGGCGAGACTCTGCCCCAACTCCACTGGAGCTGAAATCAGGTAAACAAAACACAGGAGCCAGACTGAACACGAGCGCGGACTGTACGATAATAGGCTAGGTGACAACTATTTTTTTTTTTATTTCACAAATAAATAGTCTTTTAATATCTGAGAAATAACGTAGAAGTAACAGAATGTCTGCGATTAATAGTTTTGGGGATACGGTGCTGTGTTTGAAATGCTTCTAGTCGACCGAAATCAAAGCACTTACTGACGTCATACGGTGCTACAATAGCGAAAAACGTGTGGTTGTAATATCTGTTATTTGTGTGTGTGTGCTTATGTTTATAGTTGTTATAAAGAAAGTTGTAACGTTTTATGTAACTCATTTTATGCCATACTTATGTATTTTAGCAAATTGTAGCATATTCCCAAGTTTTCTAAGCGTAATATTTTCTAAATTAATGTCATAAATTTTGCCTAAAAAGCCTATTGAATTAAAGATAAAATTAGGACCAGAAAAATATATTTAACAACCTCCTTTTTTGAAGTCGGTTAAAAACAACTTGACCATCACAAAGAGACAGCAATATTAATGAGTGACCCAAGTAGCAAAATTCAGTATTTTAGATGTTTCAAGAACATATTATAATAGGCACATATAGCCCTAGTTCTTAAACATAAATGCTCTTCAGTATTATAGAATTAAATCTCTTTGCTGAAAACCGTTATAGTACAATCAGTCACAAGGGTTACAGTTATAGATATATTTTATCTATGTATGGTAACTAAAGGACTTAGTTATAAAAATAATGTTATTTGGGAAACTTAAGAGGAGCGCGATCTGTATAGATAAAATTAAGACAAGAAAAATATATTCAAAAACACTTGATGATCAGAAAAAATATGAAAACACTTATCTAAAGAGGCTGGCAAAGCTGTCGTTCACACACGGCTAACTTATTGTAAGACTGAATAGCTAACTACATAAATAACAACTTCTTTGACTCTTTATAGGTTATATTTTGCTTTTATACAAAAATAAATTTTATGCTAAACTATGAAACTCAATTATTCAAAAGATGTTTATTATTCCTGTTTTGAAAATAGATTTATATTATTGTATGAAATTAATTATACACGGTTTTTTTTTAATTTCTTTCATTACTTCGAACTTTTAGCACATGTAGTTTCAAGGGCAATAGTAAATTAATCAATTTCATTTGGGAGTCAAACTTCTAACTCAAAGCTGAACAGTTAAGACGTTATTAGACTGACGATGCATTTTTTTTTATTCTGAAATTTCTACGAAACCAGATACACAAGCGTGTCTAGTTCTCGGAATATAAACTTCAATAATAATTATAATGGTCATGATACTTAATTTTATATAATTATAATTTGTTTTGTCAGATCGGTGTGTACCGAAGCCGGCATGTTCGCGATCCGCGCACGCCGTAAGGTGGCGACCGAAAAAGACTTCCTGGAAGCCGTCAACAAAGTTATCAAGTCCTACGCCAAGTTCTCAGCCACGCCGCGATACATGACTTACAACTAAACTCTTTGATACAGCCGCTTTATTCACTAGGTCATGTCGTAGGTGAAACCATAGACAAAGTAAACAGAGGAGTTATGATGTAGTAAATGATTGATGGTTTCCTTACACTACACGAATTTTATGTTCGAATATTGTATTCAATAAAATTTTTTTACTAAATAACGATTGATACAAAATTTTGTCTATCTATAAATAAAAGACATTTCTTTCACAAATTAAATATTGAATACATAAAGTAAGCCATGAAGTTTACAGTTTCTCATTTATGAAACATAACCATAGACAGTGATTAAAGGTTTGTACTAGAAAATAAATGTATCTTAAATTTTGAATAATAAAATATTTATGAAAATGTGTATTGTTATTTTATTTGAACAAAGATTGTTCCCGATTGTTATTTACCTACTATCAGTTCGTTTCGAGCAATTGTCTCAAACTTTTTACTGTAATTAATTGGATTACTATGAATCTTTTTTTGCGGTTGGTTAAAAAAAAGCCTTTTTTACCTTTTCGTATACTGAATAAAAATTACTTAAAATTGAGTGTAAAGAAACGTAACGCGTTAAGATGTTGAATGAGGGTAGAAATAAAAATAATCATTTATAAGTTATGTTATCGTAAACTGTAAAGTTATTGTGCATTTTTAAATCGCTGTTTAAAAATAATTGTGTTTTAACATCAAGAAATATGCCCGTTAATGTAAGTGGTTATTAAAAATAAACTTAAAATGATATCTATACTGTGGTATTCACATTTTGTGTATATAATTACCTGTCAAGATCTTTTAGCTTGGAAAACTTTTAGGTTAGAAAACCTTATCCTATCCTCTATCTTCAATTCAGATCGATTCGTCTTCAGTGTCTATTTGTGGTATCTTGAAAAAGCTCATGAAAACCGATGTCCAAGTTCCATATTGTTATCTCGCAGTTGATCGAGTGTTGTATTCGTATGACAAATTTACTAACTCAACGCCCTTTCTTCCTTTTAAGTGATGCTTATGGTCAATGAGAACATAGTTCTAATATTTGCATTACAAAGTTGCGGTAGACTAGTCCCGTGTTGAAATAATTTTGTTATCGACAGGAAGCGTACACTGACGTTGTGGAGCTGTGTGCATTATTGCAGTGTTTGGGGTTTAGTGTGAAATCTTTAGACACCAGTGACCATAACGTAAGTCAAGATGGGGCCACCAAGACAGTCATCATCAATTGTCAGGTACTATACAGTTACATGCTTATAATAATTTTATACTTTAAAATATCAGCATAATACTATAACAGATTTTCCGCTAAATTGTTTATTTTTTTTTTATATTTATCAATCATCAATTAATGAAGAATAGAATATAATTTCATGATATTATATTTTTTTAACTACAATTATGTAGCTTATTAGTTCATAATTTGGAACATAGATGAAGCCGAGACTATTTTCTATATTTTAATCCAAAAATATTTCAGTCTTCCGGTTTGCACGTGGTATTGGAAAGTCCTGGATTATCCTGTTCATGTCCTTCCACACACCAGAACAGCGGGGTGTGGCAGGTGTCTGGAGTCACCGGCGGGAAACAACTTGACAAGGTAATAATGCGTCTGTTTGGTAAATAAATATAACACTCAAGAGCAAGTAATTTTCTTTAGCCTTTTTTAACTTATATTTTTTTACTAACTATTGTTTTTTAATAGCCAAATCTTCAGTCTTTATAATTATTTCGTTGTTAATAAAGATCATGACAAAGTAGTAAAATTAATCGAAATATCATCATAACATCGTTAAGATGTCGCGTGCTTTGGCTCCCGGCCTTTTTCACTTTTAGGGTTCCGTAATAAACAAGGAACCCTTATAGTTTCGCCATGTCCGCCTTTCCGTCCGTCCTAGATTTAGCTCAAAAACTATTGGTACTAGAAAGTAGAAAATTAATATGAGTATACACATTAATTAGCCGATATAGTGGTGTAGTAATATTTCCAAAAAAAAAATTGTGTACCTCTCCTTGTACATGTGAACTGGGGATGATGTTTTTCTATTCACTTCTCACAGCGTTAGATAGGTCTTTCAAAAATATTGGTTATGTGGGAAGGCCGTTTTTCGAATTAGTTTACCGTTTGTGACATATTAAGCTTTAAAGAGCTAATTTTCGTTTAGAGGTAAGTGTCCTCTCTATATCAACTATAAACAGTCGTTGGTGAAAATTCAACTTAACAAGTTTACGAGTAATAGTGGACTAATTGTACTTATTCAACTCAAAAATTTCAAATAACTCCATAGAAAACAACAAACGATGATTTAAACTTTTTGAATGGATAATGTACGGAACCCTTCGTGCGCGAGTCCAACTCGCGCTTGGCCGGTTCTATAAGTAATTAAAGTGTGACGCACACGCAGCGTAAAGTCGAGACTGTCCTGCATAGGCGTGCCCACGTTGAGGAAACGCGTACGCTTGCTCCACTCTCAAACCTGACTTGAAGCTATTTATGGTGTAGGTAACAAATAAAAAACCACACTTCAACTCAAAGATTTTCCTTAACGAATCTAATAGAGATACATAAGTATCATATGATTATAATGTCTATAGGAGTTCGGTTGCACTTTACTCGGTGCTCTGCCGAAAGCTCATCGGGACAAGTTGACGCAAGAGCTGCGCGAGATGATACGGTGCATCAAGCAACACAACGAGTCGGTGGACGTCGATCAACAAAAAGCGAAGGAAATCAACAAATCAACCAGCATGATAGAACTGAACACTCCCGAGAAGAGGTTAATTTAATATTTACATTTAGGCTAGAATTGCGCTGCATCATACTCTTTCTTGGCATAGTAAAACAATAAATTTATCCACCAAAGCTTAGGTGGTTAGTTATGACGTCATTTAAACATTGCTAACTGGTACAACCAATGGGTAAAACTCATTATGAGCTTATCCGGTACTATAACATGTTTGTTATGTTAAGAATTTGGTACAACCAACCTTTAAATTGAATTACGTCAATTATTTACGGTCAGTTGTTTAATGACGCCTTTAAGCTCTAACTAATGAAAATTTTACTCACATTATACGGGTGTAGATAGTAAACGAAAATAAATACATGTAATGTTTTTTCTGGTAGTGTTTAATATACTATTAAAATCACACTTTTATGCTAATTATATTTATAATATTGCTTAAATATAAAAATATCTAATATTTTATGTTCGTTGTCACGTGACCGCAAACAGTGTCCCCCACCCCCTACGCTCCCCCTTAGTCCGCCACTGTACGAAAGTCTGAAAGTTTGCGTCTTGTAACACACTGCCCGCTGGAAACACGAGCGAATTTCAATAACTACGGTTCTGCGTCTTCGATATGTTTACGTACCGGTTTCTGCATAAGAGGGCGCGCACTCCCAAAACCACGAACTTTTAATTATTTAAACTACCTACTTAACGTCACACCGTGAATTTATAAAATATAAAAATTATAGTCATTTATTGTTAAATTTCTGAATTCATTCAAATGCGAATCAGACTCGCCCATCAAGGCTGATTTAGGGAGAGCGGATCCAAAGAACTGGGAGTATTATGGGTACATTACTTATGGAGGAAAACAAATTCAATATTCGCACTTGCTCTATTCAATTTAGAATTAAAAATTATGCTTTATTTCAATATTGTCAGATTGTTTCAACCGAAAATGGACACACCGACAAGGTACAGGTCGTTGGACACGCTGACCAATACGAAGGGCGCACCTGAACAACAGTTACCTGAGCCACGGCCTTTAGTCAAATGTTTTCAAACTGGCTATTCAGAAGAGGAGGTTAATGATCCAAAAGCAAGTACCTAGCATTAAAGATTTATGTGTTCATCAGCAGTGCCATTCTGCTTTAAAATCGGCCTCGAACTTTACGAGGTTCACAGTCACACACTGTCACACCGTTAGAGGCTCAATTAAATGAAATCTACTTCAAAAAACCCTTAGAAGTAGATTTTATACCCATAAAGGTTTTATTTATCGGAATCTCTGTGCTGTTACAGATCTTTGCGCGACCTCGTTTATTATAGATTAGCATAGTACGTGCGAAAGCATTTTAATACATTTTTAACGCCATAAAAACTTATGAGCTTCTTGATGGCTGGCTCGAAAACGGACTACATAATTTAGTCCATTTTCTTTTATTATGGATATTTCACATTAATTTGTCAATAAGTACGTGTGACTCATTACCATACATACAGATTACCATTTTTTTCGAAATTTTGATAACTTCGATAACTCCGATGGGGCAGTGCAAATCGCCTTCAAAGATTTTATTGATTCCCGTCCGAATTGTTTTTTTAGTAAGGGGATCAATGAACTATCTATGAGATGGCAAAAGTGCATAGATAACAATGGTTTATACTTTGATTAAATAAATATGTTATATTAAAAAATATTCGACTTTTTGTTCCTCCCATACCAAACATCAATTTCATATGTAAGGACCTAATATTTGTTTTGTTAAGTATTTCTGATTCTGATATTGTAATTTTAGGCTAGATTGCACCATATCCACCAATCCGGGAGACTGCTCTCACCACTGAGCTACCCAGGACCTAACAGGACTGACGAATTTATCAAATAGTACCTAAAGTAACAAGTAACAGTCGCCCGGATTGCTTAAGATGATGGGTTCGAGTCCCATGTCAGAGTGCCAGGGGTAAAGTGGATTTTCATTACGAATATTGTAATAGAAAGTTTATATTCTAATGATGTCACTTTCCAGTTGGACTTCTCTGTAAGATATAAAACAGGGGATAAAAGCAGTCCTAGCCGAGTTTCTTGCCGGTTCTTCTCAGTACAACTTCTCCCATTGTAGATTTGCGGACCGATAGCATAGCCATCGACATTCAAAAGTGCTTGTAACAGTCTAGACTGAATAAATTATACAGACTTTGATTTTCCCAAAACCTAGTTTCGATTATGAGTACCGTTGGTATTGTGTTAATTAAGCAATAATATTAAATCTATAGGATTTATTGATGGAACAAACAGATTTATTATTTTTTAGCTTTCATTATCTATTAATTTCAGACTATGTGCCGTAGACAAAGTACATACACGCTATCTTCGTCGCCAGGAAGCATAAGACGTCGAAACAAAACTTCTAGGTAAACACAAATCGTCTTGCATTTTAGATATTTATACAGCAACTTTTTCAAACACCGCGACGAAAATTCGTATTTATATCCTATTTTCAGTCCAATACAATCACAACAAAATACGCTGTTGGAAAATTTGATCGAAGCCGAGAAAGCAGCAGAGAATCTAAGAAATAAGCTTTCGTTTGTCATAAGAGAATATGTGGAAGAGGCAAGAAATGATTCTTCAATGTCATCTTTGGCGCTGGATGTTTCCAAAATATCTGTTCTAAAGGTATCCAATTGATTTATTTTCTTATTAAATTTTTCAAAACATTAAGAGAATCTTTGTTAATGACACTATTTCGTATTTTGCTATTTAAAGAACCATGTCCACTTATTGACCTGTCACATATTTTTTTCAAAGATTGCGTCTACCCACCATTAGAGATAATTTAAATTACTTTTTGCAATAGAATAATATCTTAGAGTCTTTTTATTTCGAGGCCAGGGATATTTGTAATTTTTTAATAATGTTTTGGGGTTATAACAGCTATCAATACTCGAGATAATCGTGTAGTTACTTTAAAAATTAATGCATTTAAATCAAAGCTTTTTGTAGTTTGACTCTTAAATATGGTAATAACTTTTTGATCTTATGTCGAAAGAATATTTTTCCATATTAGATAAAACGAAACGTAGCAAACCGTTATTCAGTCCGAATCGCATTGCATAGTGCCATTTAAAAATAATTATCAGACTCGCAATTTTTATCCTGACTTTATTAAGATTTAATTTCTTGATATGTAATAAGCAAAAAATAAGCTACATTTTGAAATATATCAGTAAATTTTTATGTCAAAATTGGACATAATTCTTTGTAACTTCCTAAAAACAGTACTCACCGTTCCGATATTTTTGAATGTTCTGTTGTTTAGAACGCATCCTAATTACCTTGTTTTATTTAAATCATATATATTTTAGTACGTTAGGTTAATTTATATAGCCGAATGACTCGATTCGGTTATGAGCCATAACATCTTGATGTTCAACACCAAATTTTATTGCAGATATTTGATATACTGTGTAAATTATAATGTCCCACGTTTACTGTTTTAGGGAGACCCAACAAAAGCACAATTCGCATCCAGTCCCAACTTATCCGGCGTAGGAGCATTGCAAGATGATTTTGCCAAAAGTCGTCTCAAACGCTTCGAGAGCGCGTCGACATCAAATTTGGTACCGAAAAAAACTCCAAATGAAAAACCATCAAAACTTCGACGCATATCACCTAATGTTTTTAAATTAAAAAAGGATAGTTTGAAACCAGAAAAGCCGAAATTGACAGAAAGTAAAGGCAGCAAAATAGCCAGTAAGTGGTTTAATATTGCAAGGACTATAAAACTTACAAGTAGGATTTTAGGAAAATTTGCATAGGAAAAGAAATCGCTCAATAATCTTAGTTAAACAAGGATTCGACGATGGTCAACAGCCTTAAGTGTACACATTATATTAATGACTAAACGTGTAACAGATATAGGTGTATTTTGTTGCATTGAGATAAGTTCTGATTTAAAAATATTCTTTTACTACTGAATTTTGTTTTACAGGTTTGCTTAGGCCAAAAATAGCAACACCTGTTACAAGACCGACAGAATTCAGTCCAAGTATGAGCGCCACCAAGAAGAAGTTCAACCATATCAAATCTACTATACCAAGACCCACACCTGTGAAGAAAGAGTAAATGTTAACATAATATACTAAACAATACATATATCCCATTGTCATTATATTCTGTAATAAATGTTATTAGTACCCTTTTAATTTATATAAACCAAACTACCTACAGCGTTTTTATATGACAAACTTTGTATTTAAGAAATGCAAAATAAGTTTAATCTTTTTAAGAGTGTCTTCAATAAAACAGATGTAATGATATTAAATTAAGTGTATCTGTTAACTTAATTAGTTTTATAGAGAAATAAAATATTTTCACAAATACAAATAATTATTATTCTGTGACATCTGAATTTGAAGCAGCTACCAGTAGTTTTTTAACTTCTTTCTCTAGGGTGTCATTTTTTTTACTTGCTGACTGTACCCTTTTCTTTGTTTTTGATATTGACGATTTGTTCATGTTGTCATCTTTGTCTTTTTTAGTACATTTTGAGTCTTCATGATTTTTGCTGTTGTGCTTGGGAAACATTACATTTTCTAAAAATTCTTTTGTACACAAATCACCTTTAGAGTTTTGGTGCCCTTTCCTAGTTTTGTTTAAATGTTTATGATCACATTCTTCATATGAACTGTTCATTGATTTAGCATCTGAATCAGCTTCCAATTGTAATCTTTCACTTATCTCTTTTTCTTGAGTCTTTTTTGTCAGTTCTCTCAAAGTATACTTATTACTTTTGACCTCTTGTTTTTTTTCTTTTTTAGCTAACTTAAGGCATATAGTCGCTTTTGGATATCCAGTAAACTGCTGATAACAGTCACCTTTGTCTAAAGATATGAAACTGTTGAAGAATTTTCTGGGATGTATATCTTCATCGGTATCATTAAGTAAGACATAGGCTTTCTTTAAAAACAACTTTTTATCAATGGGATTCTGTAAGTGGAAAAAGTTTTCAATTTGTTCATGGGTAGTCAGTCTTTTTATTGCATTCCTTTGTACTATGTTATAAGATACCACAGCCATTAGAATAAAAGCAGCTTCATTGCTAAGGATGTGGTCCCATAAAATAAGCCATTCAGAGCAGCTGAGCACTTCACTGAAAGCTGTCTCTAATATTTTTAAGGCGTATGTTTGACTAGTTATACCTGCTTCACAATAGTGATTAAGGAGATGTTGATCATGTTCCGCCAGAATGTTTTCAACCATTGCCAATATACTTATCGGAGGGAAGGGAGCGTACTCAAACCAAAGTTGACAATAATTCATAAGTATAGTTGCGACACACTCAAATAACAGAAGAGGATCTTTTTGTAATACTTTCACAAATGGAAACACAAATTCTGGCAAAAATTTCATTACAGCAAACAATGGACACCAATGAGCAAGACATGATAATAATCTTTTTAAATTTTTAAGTGTAGCCGAACTGTGTATTGTAAACTGCTTTTCAATATCCTTATATGATGGGTGAATACCTTTGTCTATTAAGGCAGAATAAGCTACTTTGTTTTTAGGAGTATTTAACAGAGATCTCCAAATAGCTGACCTGAACTTCTCAGGGTATTCACCATATTGCATTAATATTCGTCTTAGTCTAGCACTATCCATGCAACACTTCATTTTTTGTTCAATTTCAACTTTTGATAGAGGCAAATCTTGTGACACATTTCTGTGTGCTGAGGTGCTAGGTGTTTCTTCTTTAACATTATCAACTTTTGCACTCTGAGGTATGTCTAATACATGTGCAGAATTATATATGTTCACTTCTCCCAATTGTAATACACAAAGAAAATACTTACCACTTGGACTGACAACAAACTTTCGTATACCTGATGATTCAGGGCATATTGTTTGTATAATACTTACCGATTCCAAGTCTAGTAAATTTAGGGTGCAGTCACTGCTAAGAATGGCTAGTATCTTATTAGCCCCACCATCAAATACCTGTGGGATAAATGCTACTTGTTGTGCTCCAGATATGTTCAGTTTTGTTAAATTTATGGACTTGAGAGCTTTCCAAGTGTCCATGCTGAATAAAATTAATGTTGGGGACAGACCAGACATGGCCATTGCTCGGCCGTTCATTGTAAATGCAATACTTTTCATATGTTTTAATTCACTTGGTATAATTTGTTTAACTGATTTCATATTCTCATGTTTCCATATTTGGACAGTGTCATTTTGAAAACAAGCCACGAGATAATCGCCCCCAGGCATGAACATGATTTGTTGTATCTGTGCTCCCAGGTATGTATTCAGAGTGAAATACTTTGTGTAATTACGCAATTCCCAGAGTATAGCTTCTACTGGACTGGCCGTTAGTAAATTATTGAGTTTGTTGTTAGAGAAGGAAATGTGCTTAATCGGTGCCGTGTGACCAGTTAATGTAAGTGATGTTTGACCGGTTTCAATATCCAAAAACGATATTTCAAAGTTTTTAGACTTTGCAACTACTAACATGTCAAGTTTGTTAGGTACGAAATGGAGAGCATTAGACGGCCCTACACCAGTATGTTTCCAAAATTTAAGATCCGTAAAGTCTAGAATGAAAAGGTTACCGGCGTTATCGGCGCATGCCAGTTTTTCTTGGCTGTCATCAAATGTACCAGTTGAAAACCGAATCCTACGAGTTTCCCCGTTTGAGCCGCGAACCGTGTGATGAAGCTGCAGGATAACTCCATCCTTTGGCCTAGATTTAAGCTTGATGTCGAACTTTTCCAAACTATCTTTATCACTTCGTTTGTCTTGTTCCATCTACAAACATGTGTCTAAATAGATCGACGGTAATTCAATTTCAATTGATTCATAGCAACATTGCTTTTGTTACAATATAATCTAAATTAATCATCAAAGTTTCAAACAGTTTAAATTTAGCGGAGGGCAAGCTTTCAAAATCAAAAGTTCAAAACAATTAAACGTCAAGTCAACTGTCAAGTGCTAAGTCCATGTTGTATTTTTTAGTTAAAGTCAAAGGGATATAGCTTATGCAGCTTTATCTGTCTGACATAAATATCCTAAGTAAAGACATACCTATACGGAGAGCAACAAAATGACCGACTCATCCGAAAGTTTCATGGTAGGTTACATGCAAATGTTCGTTTTATTGGACAAATATTTCAAAATAGAGGTGTAAAATGGAGTAAAAATTTTAAATTTCTAAGTGTTGACATAACGCGCATGCGCAATATCGATTGTGTGCACATTACAACGGACTGCGAAATACATTAATTTAATTTAATTATTTACTGATATCTTAATGATAGTCGATGCTGTAAATGTTCAGTTCCTCTCTGAAGACTGAGCTAAGCACGCTCTTTTGCATGTCGGTGCATAGTCGTAGACACATTTTGTATAAATCACAGAACACTCATCTGTGGAATTAACTCATTGGCTTATAATGACACAAAAAATATAAGTAAATTATACCCATATATTATGTAAGTACCGTACAGTACAATAAAACCTTATTACGTTTTGAACTTTGAACTTTTAATTATATTTTTTTAAGAAAATTCTTATGAGTGAAGTCTATTACTTAAAAACGGCATGATGATTATCTTAAAAACGGCAGCATTTACTTAACGGCCTCTGTTTTAGTCATATTATGTGTAGTTGAGCAAGAAGGAAATTATGATAAATATCTATATATGTCAACATAAAAACTTTATTTATTTTGAAATGGGGAATGGAATATGTGGGGCAGAAGTGCAAAAATAGAAAACTACAAAAGATATTATAAAAATATGTGAATGTTAATGGTAAATTATTTATTGTGTGCCGTGTCCCCTATTCGAAGAAATACCTATTGAAGGGTGGACCTGTGCTTTGACGTTTCACGTTTACTTATTTTTTTAAATTACTAGTAATGCACATGACATGACTCTGCGAGGGTGGTTTGAAAAGTTTTCGGCCCGACCAAGAAAACAAAGAAAATCAAAATAAAAACATGTTTTATTTTTCTATATATTCTCCCCTTGTCTCAGTACAATGGCACTTGGCAAACGATTAAATAAAGAATCGAGCTGTCGAATGACAATAAATTAGTTTACATACTACCCTTAAAATCTCGGTCAGGCCGAGAACTTTTCAAGCCATCACATGAAAAAGACATAAAAACCAGAGGAATTGACATTGAGCTGTTTTCATGTCCATCTTTTAAAGGTAATTAATATTTAATACCAACAGTAAATTCAAACCTTCACAGTTAACTTGACCTTCAGTTTAAGAAAGTTACAAGGTATTCTGCAGATGAAATTAAAATCAAGATATCATAATGTTTTCGATCAAAACACAAATGATTCTATACCGACTTAACCACTATAGTATCAAAGTATTCCAATTATAGCCGTTATTGCTGTAAAAAGAACTTAACTTTGTGTAATGTCTATCTAATGTACATTTTATCATGCTAATAGTCTTTAGTATAAATTTTATTACGTACAAATGACCTAAATATACGACATCTTTTCAACCGTGACGATAAAATTTCGCCTTTTTTGTAGTAGTTACCTATACCTATACGGAATTTCCGAGTTTCGTAAGTAATGTATAACTAAGTAGGTTAAATTTAAAACAAAATATCGATACCTAGGTATACAAGTGCCTACTAGCCTGAGATTTCGTCTGCGCGGAAATACTTTTTCATTTTATTTTCATTAGGTACACGTACGAAGGCCGTGTGTACACTCAGTTTTTCTGGAAACGGAACTTCATCTATTTTCATAACGCTAATATGAGTCCTTAGAAACAATATATCGATAATTTATGATGCAACGAAGGTAAGACCAGCAGAACGAATTTATACTTATACTTAATCAAACATTTTTGTATATTTTTCTTTTCGAAATAGCAATTTACATTAAGTAAATCTAATCTAATTTCAATAATTCAATAGAGATAACTAAAAGCATTGATTGAATGTGTAAATAGTAAAACAAGAACATTGTATTAAAACATTAACATATTCATTGATAGAATCAATAGAACGTAATTATAGAAAACAGTAACAGATAGATCTTACAATCAAAATCACGGATACATTTCCGTGATTGTACGTTTGTAATTGTCTGCTCTGTTATAATTACAAAGTAGAAAATAAATATAAAGTTATTACGTAGCTAGTTTTGCATTCTAATCACAATAAGTGCCGACTACCGTGTCAACGAAATTAAATATTTTGCAAATGGACAAAGTAATTTAACAACATAGATAACTTTATATACTTAACCAAATTTTGTGGTTGTCAAGAAAATAAACAGAAGTTTGTCTGACACTGATTATTATGTAAGATGAAAAAAATGTGCGACTTGTTATTAAGTTAAGCGAACAAGAAAAAGTAATAACCGATAGTGGTGGCACAGAACAGTGATCTTATTGTTCGTTTAAAAAAGTATAACGTAAAATTATCTATACGACAGAATTGGACGTAATCAATTATACAATGTTGTACTTGACATTACTAATCGATTTAAGAATTCCACGAAGTTGCAAGTTATCATCGGTTATCATTTCCGTATTGTTGTTTTGATTTTTCTTTTATTCATATTACTATTACTAAGTTATTGATTGTTAGTAGCTTGGTAATAGACAGACTGCGAAGTTTTAGTAATAGATTTCTCGTTTTACCATTTGACACGGAACCCTAAAACAGAGATGTAGGTATAGGTCACAATCGCTTGTGTATACTGATTACAATAATGTACAACATTGAAATTGTATGTACATAATCTATTTGATGTAATAAAACTTAAAAGACTCAAAGTAAAAGTAAAAATAGTTATTACTTCACTACATATTAAAAACAAAGTCTATCTGTCTGCCTATTCGCGAAATCTCGAAAAGTACAAGACGAATTTTCATACAGTTTTCAATAAGAGGGAGAGTGATCCCTGAGGAAGGTTTAGTTTAGTGTATAATAAATTTAGCTTTGACGATATTAGTTCAAAATGTCCGAAAAAAATTAGCCGATCGGGAGATTTCTTCGAAAACGCTGCCAAAACCTTTTGGTTTTATAACAAAACAATGTATAGTGATATTGTACCTCTTTAATAGGTCCAAGGATAACATACAATAACAATTTTTGCTTTTTACTAAAATGATATTAATAAAATTATAGGTTATTTACGAACCTATTTTTAACAATACAGTATCAATCCTTATTTGATTAATTATGTTATTTAATATGCATTTAATATAGATCAAAATTGCCTTTTACACTATACGAAAGAAACGAATATCTGATGAGTTACCGTAAAATAAAGAAATGAAGCCCTATTTTCCTTGGTCACGCCATCACACGTGAACGGTTGTACCGATTTCGCTAATTATTTATTTGCTGTGTTTGTTACTGTCAGGAGAAGGTTATTCATTATTATAAATGAAAAAAAATAAGAAAATTGTGTGTATATTTAACCACCATTAAAATTATTTCTAATCTTAGTGCTTTGGATATTATAAACTTTTGTAATTTAGCCTTATAACATTTGACATAGATTTGACAGAATGCGAGCGGAAAATATCGTCAAATAGGATGTAAAAAGACTGAATATCGTTTAAAACTGATGCTTCGGTCGGAGTTAATGGCGTTCCCCGGGTCAGCTATTTATTTATATGCTAATTATATTAATGTCGACAATGCTGGCATTTCATCGGTGCCCTTTTCCGAGCTCTCGAGGCACTTTTAGAAGAAGCATTATTGTGTTACAGCCTATAGATTGTGTACTGGTTACTTACCAGGTTGTGCATTATTTATTATAAAACAGTAACAAATCTATCTTCTTCTAGAAAGTGTCGTGTCCATTACTGCGGTTAACGGCTGATTGCCGCTTGTTATGCTTTTCAATCAACTGGGGGCCAATTCTACTAAATAGATTTTGTTTAAATCGAATCGAAAACGGATCGAAACCGAACGAAACTACAGTTTTTAATGGTTTTCCTATTCTACAAAGTGTCATACGATACAATTCTAGTTCTATTTTAGCTAAAATAGAATACCAGCTAAAATAGAACGTTTTATGCTGTTACCATAAAACTATGATATTATGTATGGTTTTTCTGTTTTGTTTCATCACTTGGTTTGCTAGATGTGACAATTTGGAAGTTCAGCTGACAAGTCGAAGGTGCTTGGATTATGTAGAAAACCATAATTTTATACCTACCTGTCTCGTATGTTCGTGATTTATGGTTTACTCACTTACTCCTCTGGCTTAGCGCTCCAATGTAGCTCTTGCCTTCCAGCACCAGAGCACCGGATTTGCGGTATGTTCATTCGAAATTCCAAATTTCTTACTGATTCTTTATTTCTAAGGAGGATTATAATTAATATTTTATAAATTAATGCTTTTATTTAATCATGTTTTAATGTAAGTAATTAAAGGAATTACTGACAATCTGAACGTGTCGTCTTTTTTCTTCAAAATAAAATATACCTACCTACCTAACATATTTCGCTTCATATTATGCAGTGATCAAGAAATTCTAAAATCGATTTAGTAATTTTTGAGAACAAAAAACAAAATATCTATTATTTGGATAAAGTACTTGACAATGTTCTTTTTTGATAAATAAGATCCATTGCAAACTAAATTCCGTGAAAACTGTTAGAGCCCTTTCCCGTAGTCAGATTATATATAGAAGACTTGCTCATTTAAAAGTTTTAAGTAAAAAGGTTATACGTGACATAAAATCTATAAAAGGCATTTATTGCCAATCAAAACGTTCCACTCCAAGGGTTGCAACGAAAGTGCCACGCCCATTGTACCGAGACAATTTTCGCTCAATCGTCATGCTTAGAAAGCGATATTGGAAAATGATATAAAATTGTAATAATATTTTATGATTTGTTTATCAATGCTTAAAATATTTGAATTTGAATATCGTCGATCATTGGAGCCTGTCTGATAATTTAAACTTACTCTGTTTTTTTTAACCCCGACGCAAAAACGACGGGGTGCTATAAGTTTGACGTATCTGTGTGAGTGTGTGTGTGTGTGTGTGTCTGCTGTGGCATCATAGCTCCCGAACGGATGAACCGATTTTGATTTTGTTTTTTTTTGTTTGAAAGGTGTATTAGTTTATTATAGTAGTAGTCGCGGTAAAAACGTTAAATGATTAATTAATTTCTACTATTTATCAATTTTCTATACTTCAAAGCTCACTTATTATAATTTTAGTCATTGTCTGTTTTTTAAGTGTTTGTTTAAAGTGTTAAAGGTTAATGCTGCACAAAGTCCCAAATCAAATCGCGATTAAAAAAAACTGCCACTATATATCCCAAATAATATTTAATAAAATTCCGGAATCTTTAAAGAACAACACTAGAATTAAGAAACAAAGATATAACTGGTTTGCTGACCGTACCTTTTACTCCGTAAGGGAATATCTACGATATCGAAACGAACGTTAACTAGAAGTAGACCAAATTCAGTTCTAATTTGCGTTTATATGTCTTAGTTGAAAATTTGGTCAACGATTATTGTATTTATTTTTCCTTTTCTTCTTTTTCAATCTTCATGATATACCTTGTTCAAATGCAAATAAACTTTTATCATTGTTACTATTTATTCGCCAGAGGCTGAACGCGTGGTCTTATGTCCTGTATTATAAATATAAATCTTGCTATAGCCGCATTTAAATCCATTGTGTAGTTTAAAAGATCTCAGCGTACAGACAGTGGGAAGCAAACTTTGTTATATACTTTGTATAGATAGATTTCGCCTGCCTAGGAACATATTATAAATAATAGTTTATTGTCTAAAACATTTACATTCTCAGTACGTAGGTTGAGACCTCCCTTTAAGTGCCAGAGCAGGCGCTTGTTATATGATAATGAAAAATAAAATAAAGAACAAAACAATTTATTACATAAAATTATAAATATTATACATTACATAACAGTGACCAAAGTTGATGAGCGATCAGTTTAAAATCACAATGACTGACGCAAAGACAATTACGATTTCTCATTTAGTTATTATGACGTCGGTAGGTAGAGAACCGCAAATAAGTATTATTTTAGGGCATCTCGTTTACCTAATCCATAAAGATTATATTAGAATTTACTTTCAAAATCAAATTTGCCAGTTTAAATTTCTTATCCTGTCGTAGTATTATACAAGAACGAACTGGGATCCGTGACCGCGTCCGCAGGTATATTAGCCATGTTGTATATTAATTTCTCGTAGAAATCGATTCCGTTTAAGAACGTGTCGACACTGATATGTTCATCGACGGCGTGCAACAGTGTAGGTGTGTTCGGTTTTGGTGATATACCGAAGGCCGGGACTCCTGCTAAGCGGACGTGACGAGCGTCCGTTGATCCTGGAGGCACCACTGGGAGCACTTTGATGTTCCTGACAAAGTGATTTAATTATGATTTTCGAAGCTTCACTGAAAGCGATTTATGGTAAACATATTGACTATAAATTGTTCAGAATGAAGCTGCTCACATAATTTTGATCGAAGTTCATATAGTAAGTTTGTCTGATCATCAAATATATCTTACACGATCGCGAAACCATCATCAGCTCATTAATGTCGCAACAGCTGCCAAAGGCTTCTCCTAATCGAATTCCATCGAATTGAATAGGAAGAACCCAACTATATATAACGACTGACATGTAGTAGTGACTTACTTAGGTTAACCTGTAATTTAAAGCACGGCAGAGCTCGCAAAATTACTTACTTTAAACTGTTTTGTACAAAGAAATGACGCCCAAATAGGCTGTAATTTAAAATATATCAAATTTTTAAGGGCTCATTCAAGTCAACTATTGTAATACAAAATAATAAAATTATTCAAAAAACATGTGAATCTGAATTTATAATTTGAAAAACTTTGAGTCGCTCTTTGTAGCCGAGGGTATTACGCACTACCTTTACAATAATCGTTATAGTTTGCGAGAACAAGTGATTCATTAAAACGAGCTTTTGCTACGGTGTCAGTGCCAGCCATTCTAGAACCGAAAGGGCTGACTCGCGTCGACGGTAAGAGACCTGATGGAATGGCTTTGGCTGAAACGGCGAAAATATTCAGGTATAAGTAATACCTACATATTTGAGCCGTTTGGGGTCGAAACGATGGGTCCGTGGGGTCCTGGAGCCCAACGTCTTTATCAAGAGTTAAAAAAGAAACTTTTTGACAGGTCAGGTGATCAGAAGGCTGGTTTGTACCTCGCCCAAAGAATTAGTGTAGCTATTCAAAGAGGAAACGCTCGCAGCCTTCTGGGTACCTTACCTGTAGGCAATGATCTGGGAGACATTTTTTATTTAGTATAGTTATTATTTTAAGACATAGTTTAGATAAGCACGACTGGGTAATTTATTTGCTATTATTCCCAATATCACATGTAAACGTAATGATAATAATTTTTAATGTTCTTACAATGCGATCTTTGGTGTTATCTTAAATTGAATATAAATAAAGATTATGTATTTCTCTAAAATCGTTTTGTTATTTTTGCAACATTAGATTGTATAAGACGGGTATTAACGCGATAGATAGAACCTAACTATTAAAATATGTCGCGTTAATACCCGTCTTATACAATCTATTATAATGCAACGTGAAAGTTTAGACATTTTTGCAAAAAAAAATTATGGTTGGCAGAAATAAGTCAAAATTCAATAGCTTACATTTCTTCAGCGGTTTTCTCAATAGCTGTCCAAAACGGATTGGATGAGTTGGCGACTGTGGCTGGGCTTTGTGGGTTCTTTGATAAATACGTGATCGTTATGTTGTCTCCCGCTGAGTATATGAGACTCTCCAACTGTAAGAATTTATATTATGCTTACATTCGTACAAAAACAAATATCACGACGGATTCAGGGATGAGTTATAACTATTTATTTTAATAATAAATTCATAAGATTTCAATGCAAACGTTTACATCGGTTATTCTTTTGACAGTAATACAAAGAGCCATCAATGCGGCAGATTATATTTTAAAGCAGCGAGTATGCAACCTCCAATAATAACCGCCTTGGTCTAGATACTTGCTTCAATGGAGCGAACATTGCTCTTTTGCAATGAAAGAGCGCATATCCAATATGGTAAAGATATAACGGGTCTTTTTGCATTGAGGAGATCGAGGTTATAATTATTTGGTCACCCATCCAATGACTGACGCATTGTTAACATGCGGTTAACAATGCGTCAGAAAGAAATTGAGCGCTGCGCTGCTCTATTAAGTTTCTCAATTTCTTTGTGATTTCGTCATCAGCCTTCGGGTGCAGGAGATATATTATAAGTAGCAACTATAGACATTTTTATAATCCATGTGAACAGGTTATGAAAGAGGGAGAAAACACGTAACGAATACAAAATTTATAAACGCACTGACAAAATTTTTTTCTTATAGAATTAACGATCTTCCTATTTCATTTTATCCGTGCCAAGTAAAAGCAATAAAGTTATAAGATACATTGTACCTTTTCTTGGAACGTGGCTAGATTTAGTCTCGTATTTAGTCTGATGTCGAACGTCAGGCTCACCACTCTTGGCACCACGTTATTGGCTGTCCCACCCTATATAAAATAACAAGGTTATAATATGAGAAATACACGACACAGTTTGTTTTATGTTATCAAAAAATCATTCAAAATCAAAGGATTTTTTTTAAATAACTTTGTTTAAATATTTTTAGCTGACTTCAAAATATGAGAAAGTTCTCAATTCGACTGCATGTCTCTATGTCTGTTACGCGCTTACTCTACCAATTTAAAATAAAAAAAAAACTTTTTATTCTTTATTAAAGAGCTTATGTGCCCGAATTTTGTATTTATGGTAGTTTTGTATTTATAACAAAACAAAATATGATTTTCACCAATTATTACCAAAATACTTAGACATGTTTTTATAAGCGAAAAACAAAAGATAGCGTATTTTACATTCATTCAAAATCCGAAAGGAGAAATTTTTATGTTCAACGGGTGGTACGTATATTTTAAATGTAGTATTAAGTAGGTATGTACATCGGTTTCTTTGTGAATTGTGAACCAATTTCTATTAAAAATCTAAATTCAATTTCATTATTTAAGAAGCTGCTATTGAAACTGGGCGGGTATCATCAAGTAATACCCCACAGAATACTTCATCCCGACTTCAATAGCAAGTTAATTAATTAAGTCGCTTCTATGATAAGTACTAAATCTCTTTTTTTAAGTTTGAAGTCTGTTCTATTTTTGGAAAAATATATGTTATTAGTTAATCATTCGGAAAACCATTACAATTACTCTAAAAGTACTCAGTAAAGCCCTCGGTTACAAAGTGACACACACACATTTATTAAATTATTCAATAAACATATAATTATAAGAAAATTCAAGTTTTGATTATGACGAAATCCTTAAAATATAATGTAGTTTTTTTATTTTATTACAATTTATTTATACGTTATTTCCTTGTATAAATTTAAAGTAGTGGCTTTTGGATAGAAATGTTTTCTTATTACATAATAATAAGATTAATATCTTGTGGAATTATCTCTTATGGAAATCTTTCATAAATAAAAAAATATAGAGCTATAGACTGACATTGCTTATAAAGATGTTATTACTTATTATTTGAAAAGATAGCTAATTTTAGAGTTTTCTTGAAGTCTTTGTTTTCACAGAATGATATGTGTGATATGCTGTTGATTGTACCATCATGATAAAGATCTAAACTTCTTATCTGTCTACTACTAAAAGAACATCATTATTATCACAATCATTCTTTGATAGCGTGAACTAAAAGTGTAATTAATTTTCATATTTCATAGTAACTTTGTAACTAAATAAGCTGAAAGCATAGTATTGGTAAAATCATTGAAAAATAAAACTTACAGCCATTTTGTTAAGGTTTAAAGATGTGTAAACGCCTGCGTCATCAATGGGCGCGTTCATGAATAACAAGAACTGTTCGTCCCGAAACCTAAACAAATTGGATACAACATTGTCGCACTAGAACAAAAAAGAACCTATTAGGTGGACAGCATGATATCCAGTCCGCGTTGTGTGTCGCCTCACATAGTAGGTTGGCAATCCGACTCATAAGTATATTTCCACGACAAGCGTGATGTCTAACGTAATAAATCTCAAAGCTATATTAAATATTATGAAATCGATTCAATACACAACACGACACGTGGCACGGGCTAGATACAATTTCGTTTGTTTTCATTCACACAAAAGAACGTACTTTCTGCTATTTTTTACTTTCTATTTTTTAATATTATATGGAATTTTGTTATATAAAAAATACACAATGATGCATATAAAAAGTTTATCTATCTATTTCGTCTAAAAGAATAATTTTACCTTTCCAGTTGCAGTAATATTGGTGGGTTGGAATGCTGATCCATGTTCTGTAGTACCGTAACAATTAACTCTGATTTCTAAAAAGAATATAATGCAATGTCGTTAATTTAGGTTAGACGTAGACTAACTCGTTTGATGCCTTGATACTTGACTGTTAAAAAGCTTATGAATAAATAAAAAAAACTAACTTATATCAGATTTGTAAATCTACGCCGAAAAAACTCATACTGAGAAAAGTTATTTTTTTATTCGACAGTTTCATGTGCCGAGGTGGTTACATTTTAATTTTATCGAAATCAAAATACGCTTTTCACAATATATCACCTAAATGTTTAGATGATATGTTTATTTTAGTTAAAAACAAAAGATTGCGTTTTTTCAATTCATTCAAAATCCGGAAGAAGGATTTTCTATGTTCAAGGAGTATGTATATTTTTTTATGAAGGTAGGCCCTAAATAGTTAACCAACAAAGGTGTGCTCTAAAAAAATCCTGGTGATGTTATTCAAAAGCCTACCGCTCTACTTATTAATTTTTTATCATAGAGAAAACAAAGAATAATAAAAGAAAACCTGGACAGAGGACTAAAGCTGTTCCAACGACAAATAAGCGGATGTGAAGTGCCAGAAAAAATACTTACGCCACGCCACTTTATCCTGGTAAAATACAGGCACCTCAGGAATATTTACTGGAGCACCTTCATCAAGGCTAACGCCAACATTCATCGCTTTAAACTTCTTAGACTGTAAAAACGGCATCATTCCGAATTCTCCACCTTCTTCTTCGTCTAAAAAAGAAAATTAATTTTAGGATTTACTAAATTAAAGTAATCCAAAAACTATTACGAAGAGGAAAAATGTATTGTTCGTTTGTTTGTATTGAATAGGCTTCTAGCTAAGTACTGGACTGTTTCTACAAATTCTTTCACCTATGGGAGGCTACATCAGTATAAGTCGCGGGAAAACAACAAGTATATGTGTAAAGTTTTCTAAACGAATTTTAGTACAATACTCATTGTAGTCCCCAATAATTTTTCACTTGGGACTGTTGGAAGTTATCATAATTGTGATGGTCAGGTACTTGCCAGGCATAAGTGTCATGTAGACAGTCCTCAAGAGAGACACTTTTTTTTCCTTAATCCTCTGTAATGCCAGATAATATTGAATCGATACTGATTTCATATCTTGAGTACCGCGCCCGTAGAATTTGCCATCCTCCGTAATATGACCAGAAAATGGAGGATAGAGCCAGCCATCCTGCAATATTATGTACAATCCTGCTTAATATTAATCGATCCCAAGCTCCAAAAATAGAAACAGTAGAAGAAACTAAATTTTATTTTAGAATTTTTCTTTCTGTATGCTGTCGTTTATACAGATTGTTACCTACGAACGTTTTAGGTGTTGGAACTTCAATTATCGGATATTTTGGAACTCCATCGCTTTTACACGCCTGCCCAAAAAAGGGCTGCATTATGTTTAGGGTTAATGTTCGTGTTTCATTATTCTGCCTTAACTTTTGAACGACTTATCGAATACAAATATATAGCATATCATAGAGATTTCTAAAACCTTACATCATCCCAAGTAACACTGGCTATATAATTTTATAATATTCAATATGGCATATGTTTTTAAAAAATATGAAATATAATATTTCTTCTATTAAGACAACGTGAGTATAAAATTAAAGGTCTTGATGAGCAAGTACATTTTAAAAATATATACTTTGTATACATTTATTGGTCACTAAATGGAATAAATAATTGTTATCAATCAATTTTGCAATAATAATGCTTATACTGAAAAAAAAGCTCCCTCAAGAAATACTTGACTTTTGAGTCCCATCTCAGAGTGCCAGGGACAAAGTGGATTTCTTCGACATTTTTCATGAAGAATAAATAATTGTTCAAGCAAACTTATAAGCGGAATAATATCCGGAAAATTACCTCTGCCGATGCAGGCACCACGTCCATATGCGAGTTGAGCATGACGCTGAATAAAGTCGGGTTGGTACCTGGCCATTCCAGCACCAATATCGGCAAATTCTTTTTATAAGTATACTTCTTTATTTCCACTTTTTCTGCAACCGCCAGTTTTGTCCAAAATTTTACAGCTGCCCCTGTAATTTTTCTATTGGTGATAAAAGTACAAATATTTCTTGTAGTCGTATAAGCAGGATAAAGGATTGGTCTATTATTATTTCAGATGTCGATGTTTCGCTTGTTATGTATATTTCCTTCTAGGAAGCGACCACCTTACTGTCCCCCCCCCCCCCCCCCCGGAGGGCCCCGTAACGGTTTTTACGAAAGGTGTGAGGTGTGAGGTCGGAGAGCCCTGGTTTAAGGTTTATCAAAAAAAGGTGTTTACTTACCTAAATTATTATGAGCTGTAGTATTAATTTGTATGTACCGCTGGAGTAGAGCCACCGAAGGATTATTGTTGTACTTAAACGAATCAAGTTTACATAACACCATACTTAAACATAAGAGAAGACCGACTGTATACATTTGAAAGTATAACATTGCAATAGATATATGAAAATTCTCGCTGTTTAGTGAAAGCGAATAACCTATATAAAGATATGGATTGCCTTTTATATTGATTGACATGCCCATATTAAAAGATAAAATTATCATTAGTGGACATATCTATACACAATAGCAATTATTTAACGCTAAATTTTAAATTAAAAGTAAAATTTGCTACCATAAAATATGATAATGATTTTACTTAAACGTTATCTTAGCGTATGTATGTTTACATATGTATTTAAATTTAGCTGTCCCGCGATTTCACGCAGGTGAATTATGTCCATTTAGGTATAATTTACACTCAAATTCAACATAAAATAGAAAAAAACTACTTATGTTGTTATTATTATACTCTTTATTGCACTTAAAATTTTACATAAAACAAGTAAATAAATTTGTTACAAAGGTAGGCTTATCTCTAGAAGAGATCTCTTCCAGCCAACCTAGGAGTCGTGGGAGAGTAAGATGTAAGCGGGTGATAGAAGTGCAGTTAAATAATGTCAAATGATACCCTCACCATCATCATCAACTTTTACGATCATAATCTTTTACGACCCTCCCTTAAAGATAGATGGTTAAGGAGGCTGGGCCATGATAGGGGATATAATCCCGGGGTTCCGGTACTGGGCAAAGCCAAACCCGGGATTAGTAATTCACACAAACAGCCGAAAGAAATATCTTTACAAATATTTAAACTTCCTTTCAGAAATTAAGTGATTTCTCAATACGTATACTTTGTTTGTTTAGCTGAAATAAGTCGTGCCATAACATATCATTTAAGATGAGAGCTATTGGAAAGCATATTTTGTTTTGTTATTCAAGGAAAACCAGTTATCCGATTTCGATAAAATTTAAATGGTGGTCCCCTCGATCCAACAATCTGTCGAATAAAAAAGAATAATGAAAATCAGTCATCGATGAAAATATCGGTGAACATACATAAAAAAAATACATCATCGTCGAACACATAATTCCTATTCGATTTTGAATTCGGTTAAAAACTAGGATTTTTTGCGTTGTGAAACGTAAAATACTTAAGTTATTGCCAATAATCAGTTGAGATTTAGCACTTTTCTCAATTCAGAAACCGGCCGCTTGTGTTTTCGTTTGCGTTGTTCAAAATTTAGTTTGTTTAATAAAATGTTGATCAAAGATTTATCACCTCAAGCTCCTTCGTGATTGGGAAGGCAAGTTAAGTCATTGTTCCCGGTGGGTCAACGACCTAGCCTTCCTATTTAGATTTGATTTCATCCATAGGAATCCTGTGTTCTGTTAGTGGGGTTATTAATAGGCTGGTGATGATAATGAATAAAATGATTACAATGCCATCTTATCACAGTTAACCTTTACTTTTAATATTCAATCTTGGCTAATTGCTTTATATCATTAACGTATGACAGATTAACTTAAAAGTCAAACTCAGTGTCATTGTAAATTTCTTGAACTGGAAATGATAACTTTCATAAATATTCCGTTTCTGATAATAATAATTTTATTTAGGTATAACGTTTGATCAATTTCGCATTCGTAAAGCTATATTGATAAATTTAATTATCTTAAAGATTTTATTTAATAATAGACGATTATCTGATAAAATATGATTGATTGTAAATTAAATCGTCTACTACATGATGTTGTAGCAAAGAAGTCTGTCAAGTAGGTACGTAGACGATATGACGTCACGAAGGGAACATCAACCTTTTTTTTGATAACCGGGGTAACTGCACCTCACGCCTTAAACTAGGGCTCTTCGATCCTTCACGCATTCTGGTAAAACCTGCTGCGAGTCCTCCCAAGGAAGAGGGGGGGAGGGAAAAAAGGTTCACAAATGTGATCTTTTTATTTTATAAGTACAATAACAGAATATAAATTATTCAGTATAGTATGCAAATTAAAATATTTTATTAACCATAGTCTCTATTAGATTTAACCTATTAAGTTTCTTCACTTTCAATTTAAAAGGTATGTTAAGCTGTAATTACATTTAATCTTGTTTATTGGGCCACTGGCTTCCATGTCGTGGTAACCTTTAATTAAGGCAGCACATTATCTTTGTTATAAATTATTAATTTATTTGCATGTTTGCATAAAGTGTAGACAGAACAGAGTATATCTGTGATACAGCAAAGCGACTGTTGTCCGAGCTAGACGAAAAAAATAAATAAAAATGCATGATGAATTTTTCACTTATAGTTGCAAAATTGAACAAAATATGATAAATCAGAATATAAATTGTACATATAGTTTACATTTAACAGATTACTTTATTAACCTTGGATCATAACTTAGAACATACTGTAAGGCAACACAGCAGTTAATATTTTATCGTCTAGCTCGGACAACAGTCGTTTTGCTTTATCACAGATCACAGACTACGCAGTCTATGTTCTGTCTACATTAATTTTATAAAGAGGAAAACTTTGTTTTTTTGCAATGAATAGGCTCAAGAAAGCTACATTATCCACGAGTAACATAGGCTATATTTTATTTTGGATAAAAATAGGTTCCGTAAGATATTTGGGTTTTTCGGACACATGGTGTAAAAAAACAACCAGAAATGTTACTTATTTTGCGTATCTTATAAATATCTACAAAAAAGTCCGCGACACACTACGAGTATACCTATCTATGTCGAGTGAGGCACAACAACCATTTTTTTATTTAAAAATCTTGAATTATTTTTGGACTACATTTAAACGCGTTTATTTTACTCATCAAAGTCTTAGTTTTATCAAATCTCCATCAACTGATCAGTCAAAAATTATAAATCAGTAATAAAACCCTGTTTAAATGACGTTAAAAATGGCTTAAGCAGGGTTTGAAACGTGCTTAACTTCATATTCTCAATTCAGAAACCGGGTGTTACACTTATAGTAGAATTTATATATTGACAGTTAGTAAAAGTTATAGTCTGTAGTCTATTGAATTTTTATTTATTTATTTGAGCCACCAACAAGGTCAAACACTGTACATGCAAATAAATTAATAATTTATAACAAAGACAATGTGCTGCCTTAATTAAAGGTTACCACGAAATGCATATGAAAATGTAACCTGGAAGCCCGTGGCCCAATAAACAAGCTTATATGTAATTAAAGCTTAACATACCTTTTAAATTAAAAGTGAAGAAACTTAATAGGTTAAATCTAATAGTGACTACCCAAGTAGGACAAAACACCATTATATCAAACTTATGATAGCACGAGTCCAAGCGTTAAGCATTAT